GGGGGGTTCGTACAACCGAGACACGCATGACCGCGACATTTTACATTGGGCAGAATGGCTATGTACCTATGTATACGTGCATGTAATAATATGTATTATGTGCTTTTTTCATTTCTCGTGATTTAACTAATTCATCAGTCTAATATAAAGACACACTTCTAAGTTTGCCCCCTTTGCGCATTGCAGGCACACGTCGTATACGCTAATTGCCGACTAGGAATAATAAAATGAAATAAAAATCTTGAGCTCGGCCTTTCATGAACAAAGCTTGAGTGCATGCAAATGGCCACCAAGCTCAAACTATCAGTGCGCCAACAAACGCCAGGCGGAAAGTTATCGAGCGGGCCGGCTAAAATTAACCATCCTAGAAACAAAATTAAACCAAGTTCAGCTAGTTTGCTGTCAAATTACATGACAACTAAATTAGCTTGCCCGTTAGTCGAACGAGCTAGCAAGATCCAGATGTATAGATCTGCAACTAAGTTGCTCCTCCCGTATGGAGTAAGTGATTGACTCGTCCGTCCCCGAATCCCAATGGATTGCTTTGTTTGGGTACCGCGGAGTCCGGAACCGGGGGCGGTGTCTTGTCAATGTCTTGCTAGGCGAGCTTTACCTACTCCGTAGTTAGCATTAGCACCCGAATTCGGTTTGTTGCGCTTTTTGACTTCCCCGTCTACTTTGTGATGGATAACATTTATGTCATGATTTGATTTATTTCACTCCTTCCCCCCCCTTTTTTTTTACTAATTAAAATTACGCAGACGGCATTGGATATGTCGATGTCGATGTTTGCTTAACTAGCTATCCCATATTTGTCATGTACCACCTTCTTTTAGTTACTACGGAATCACTCTCGCGAGGTACATGCCTTGATTTTCTCGTTTATGGTCACCCAATGAGCGTTCACCACATGCCGTATGTACTAGGCTTATAAAGAGAAGAAATTGCGTCAGCCCCAGGCGTTCGTTCTCGGGGGTTAGTTAGTCGATTTGTCAGAGGGATACCTAGGTCCTGTGCAGTTCGTACCGAGTGACGAATTGAATGACTATACAAGTAAGGTTTTTTTTTTTTTTTTTTTTTTTTTTAAAAAAAAAAAGGGCAAAGAAATCGTCAAGTCTGGACTTTTGTCGGCACTCTACGAGGTTAGTAGTTGGGTGGGTGACCACCAGCGAATCCCGTCTGTTGTATGTTTTTTTCCTTTTTTTTTTTTTTTTTTTTTTTTCTGGAGGTTTATTCTAGATTTCAGCCACCACATTCCAGGACGCCACTGAAACGCAGCGAGATCCATGGCTACCGTGCCATGTGTCTCAGTTCAACAGCCTTACTGACTCACGGATAGAAGGAGGAAATCCCTAGATCATATCATATTCCATTCAGGATACATTGTGTATGTATATTTAGGTAGTATATGCGGAGTATTTGTCGCACCGCCAAGACCCTCGCAAGTCCCCAACTATTTATTGATCCACATGGCCAGTCAGGGCTGTCTGTCTATTGAACTCCGTCCTTCCGACTGCTTTCGATGAGATCAGAGTTGCCTGCGTGAATACCTAGTAAACGTAGTAATAAAATTGTTATTGGCAGCAAGGACGATGATGTCCTTGTAAGTTTGCAACTCACGTTACTCAACAAAGCATCGCCATTTGTCACTACTCCCTTGGCTGATGAATTCGGCCTGATGACGAATACGCCGCTGATCTAGGTATGCCGTAAGGTAGTTAGCCTTAAACCGAGCTATCAGCTACGCTTAGAATAAGTCGTCACTCCGTCTAGACAAGAGATAGTCGAATCGTATAATTCGTATAGTAGTCGGTTGCTATAGTTAGGATTCTTCCAAACCGGTGCCGAGTCTAGTTCTTCTGACTACGGACGAAAAGGGTGATAAACAGAGGTAAAACAAAAAACAAAGCCAGAGCCAGAGCCAGTGCCAGCGCCGAGTCACGAGTAACAAAAACAGGATGATTTTATTAGTTTATTTAATCCCGTCGTGACTCGGATTTCAGCTAACTAGGCCAAGCAAGCAAGCAGGGAGCGGATAGAGGGAGGGCCCACCCCGAAGTATTCTAATTTCTTACCCTGTCGGTCTGCATGCATAAATGAGTCTTGTTTCTTGCCCTGCCATCGGGAGGTGTACAATTGGCAGGACAGGGCAGGGCCTATGTTGCGACCATGTGGGCAGTAAGACGCAAAAGGGGGGAACATTTGTGCGTTTACGCCGTACGATCTCAGTAGTTATTTAATTAGTTACATACCTAGTTACCATTCACGTGCTGACTCAGTCCTATTTCACAACGAGGCATCACTCTTGTAACACCAGCTATCTTGGACTGTGGATCTTTGGGAAAAAAAAAAAAAAAAAAAGAAAGGTACATCCATGTACAAAATACACTCATCAGCTTTTTTGTCTTGCATCTTGTACCTGACTAAGGAGGCGAAACACACCAGGGTCGCGTAGTTATGCCTTGATAGAAGCTCGATTTATTTCTTCAGTACTCCGGAAGCTGAAGACCGTTCGTTCGTTTTTAACACGCTCATTGGCGACTTGAACATTGCGAATAATAACATCGCAAAGTGATTTAATTTCTGCTCTGCTCTGTGCTATAATATTTCATTGCACAATTTTAGAATATATTTCTTCCAGTCGGTGTTTCCAAGATCCAAGCATTGAGCAGCGGCAAACTGACATCCAAACAGACAAAAGTTCAATGGCATCTCGAATGGAGTCCGCCGACGCTGCGGCCTCTCTCGCTTGTTATCTACCATGCGTGCGACACGCACATGGTGTTACAGGGTCTCGGCGTCGTATGAGTTCGCGAATAAATTGCGACTCTCAAAAAATCAGACAAGTTTTCAAGACAGACGAGAATGGAGCGAGAAATTTGCTTCAGGCAGCCTGGGCCATAGTCCTTCATCATTATACTGACATGACTGAGGTGTGCTTCGGTTACGATGAAATCGATATGGCTGTTTCCGCGCGAAGGTCGGGGCCACCTGCGATTACAGTGCGGGTTGATCAGGATATGCGGCTGAATGACTTTCAGGACCGGTTCAAAGGTAAGGAAGGTAAGTACGGTATTCCTTTGCGGAGTGACATCCACGGAGGAGCTAGCAAGTCTCAACTTCATTTCAACACTGCGGTGGTGCTTCAGACCCGGAGCTCATCAGGCAACATCCCAAGTCCTGCAGCTGTGGCATCTCAACAAGCGGCAATGGCTCTTCCAGAAGAGGTAATTGGGCGCGACTCATCTAGTGTCTGAGAAATAACTAACAGTTGCTTCAGTGCAAGGTCCGCGTGTTAGCAAAATATATGAATGACGCTTTCAGTGCCTTCCTGGAATGGCGACATCCAGATATCTCTGCTTCTTTCGCGTCTATTGTGTCCGAGACGTTTGGCCGCGTGCTTTCTGGCATCCTGGATGAACGGACATGCACCATTCGGGAATTGAGTAAAATCACCGATAGCGACAAGAAGCAGATTATGAAATGGAACACAGTCCGGCCTAGCACCGTAGAAAGATGCATCCATCATCTGATTGAAGATCAAGCGAATCTTCACCCCGACAAGGAAGCTGTATGCGCCTGGGATGGAACCTTGACATTTTTTGAACTCAATAGTTTGGCCTCGACATTGGCGTCCCACTTATCAGTACGTGGAGTGCAGCCGGAAACTCGTGTTGCACTATGTTTTGACAAATCGGTAAGCTGGAGCCTGGCTAGAATTGAGGATATCGCTGACAACATTATATTGTAGAAATGGAATATTGTAGCGATGCTGGCTGTCTTGAAGGCCGGCGGTGCCTTTGTCCCATTAGACCCATCACATCCCATAGCACGTTTACAATCGCTAGTTCGGGAAGTTGACGCTGGCACCGTCCTTTGTTCTACCAATCATTCTTCACGCCTGTCATCAGTCGCCGACAACGTTGTTGCTGTTGATGCAGAAGAGCTGGAACAGCTGACAGCATCAGAAAGCGAGCGTAGGCTTGTCTCACCGAGTAGTGCAAATGCAGCCTATGTCCTGTTTACTTCCGGTTCTACCGGCCAGCCAAAGGTAAGGTGAACGTTCTTGATAAAGATTGCGGCCATTGACGTCTCATAGGCCACGGTGGTAGAACACCAAGCGTTCTGTTCTGGAGCCCAGGTTCACGGGCCCGCGATGCTGATTGAATCCGACTCTCGTGTGCTTCAATTTGCAGCGCACACGTTCGATGCCAGCTTGGTCGAGATCCTCACGCCGCTCATGCGCGGGGCTTGTGTGTGCATTCCCAGTGAAGAGTCGCGACTGAACGGGATTGTGTCTGCCATCAACGAGCTGCGGGTCAACCACGCCTTCCTCACGCCTTCCTTTGTGCGGTTCATCGCGCCTGCCGACGTGCCCGGCCTGGCCCGCCTGGTCTTGGCGGGAGAAGCCCTCACGCAGGCCAATATCGACACTTGGTCGTCCATCCACCTCGTCAACGGCTACGGTCCCACGGAGAGCTCGGTGGCAGCCGTCGTCAACGCGAACATCACCAAGTCGACCGCCTGCCACGACATTGGCTTCCCTGTCGGTGTCCGCTGCTGGGTTGTTGACCCCGAGAATCACGATGTCCTCCTGCCTGTTGGGTGCACGGGGGAGCTACTACTCGAGGGTCCGTCCTTGGCCCGCGGCTACCTTAATAACCTCGAAAAGACAACGCAGTCATTCATCGCCAGTCCAGCTTGGTCGCAAGACGCGGAAATAGCCATTGGTGAAAGCCGCTTCTACAAGACGGGAGATTTGGTCCGCTACAACTCCGACGCCGGGTCCTTCGACTTCATTGGCAGGAAGGACACCCAGGTGAAGTATCATGGGCAGCGGATAGAGCTCGGTGAGATCGAGACACATCTCATCAAACACTCTAGTGTCAAGCATGGACTGGTGCTGCTCCCCAAGTCTGGTGCTGCTGCACAGAAACTAGTGGCAATCATATCTTTTAACGACGCCATCATAGACAACTTGCCGGCAAGCTCGTCTCCGTTAAGGGTTCTTGACCTGCCTAGTCGAGAGGAGCATCTCGCCAGCATCAAGGAAGCGATGACCGACTTTCTGCCGACATACATGATTCCTACCACATGGCTCTGCGTGGAGGCCTTTCCCATGCTCGCGTCTCGCAAGCTGGACCGGAAAGCTGTCTCGACATGGCTTGAAACCCTGCCAAGAGAAATCATCACTTCATTCATACCGGCATCTGATAACTTAGTTGATGATACCGAGCACGACATGAGTGAAACCGAAGCGAGTTTGCGTCAAGTATGGAGCGATGTTCTCAACATTCCGTTGTCAAAAACCAGCTTACGCCACAGTTTTCTGAGTCTTGGTGGTGACTCTATTACCGCCATGACCTGTATGAATCGATGCAAGCAGAAGGGCATAGGCCTGATGGTCCAAGATATCCTCCGCAGTCGATCTATCAAGGAACTTGCAAGTCGAGTGAAAATCGTTTCCAGCCAGAGCGAGTATCAAGAAGATATCGACGTGCCCTTTGAATTATCGCCAATACAGAAGCTTCACTTTGAGGTGCGCAATGATGACACTGGGCATTTCAATCAAAGTTTCTTTCTCCGAGTCAATCGCACTATTACATCTCAAGAGCTACAGAATGCCATGGAGGTTATCGTCAAGCGCCATTCCATGCTAAGAGCTAGATTCTTTTACGATGAAGCAAAGGGGAAATGGCTACAACGTTTGACAGATCAGACGCAAGAGTCAATTCGTTTTAGGGTCCACGATTTATCTTCTCTCGCCGAAGTCAAGGACGCTATTGCGGATAGCCAGGCAAACCTCCATGCCGTAAAGGGACCTGTTGTAGCGATTGACCTATTCCAGGTGCCCGACCAAGGCCAACTATTGTCGTTGATCGGTCATCATTTGATTGTTGATCTAGTATCTTGGCGAGTGATACTCGAGGATTTGGAGGAATTACTTCTCCATCCCCAGTCTGCGTCTTTACTTAATGCTACACTGCCTTACCAAAGCTGGTCCCGGCTCCAAGCAAATCAAATTTTAGAAGACACCCAAGGAGCAATAACTGATATTCGGGACGCTCCAATCTGTGACCTCTCTTATTGGGGGCTTGGTGCTTCTGACAATACATATGGCCAAGTTGCATGTGAAACCTTCGAACTCGACGCCGAGACAACTTCGTTAGCACTCAATGAAGCCAATTCAGCCCTACGAACCGAGACAGTTGACATCCTGGTGACTGCTTTACTTCACTCTTTTGCGAAAACGTTCACCGACCACGTAGCCCCCGTTATTCATAATGAAGGCCATGGACGGGAATCATGGGACAGCTCAATTGATGTCTCCAGAACAGTTGGGTGGTTTACCATCATTTACCCAATCTTCGTGCAATTGCAAGCACTTAATGACTACATTGATACCCTAGTACAAGTCAAAGACCGACGAAGGCGCGTCGATGACAACGGAAGGGAGTACTTTGCACGAAGTATTCTCACCGGAGAGAATCTCAAGGCGTACAATCCAATGGAACTTACGTTCAACTACCTGGGCCGTTATCAGCAATTGGAGAAAGCTGGCGCTTTGTTCAACCCTGTCGAAGGTCTAGCCGGCGAGACAACCCAAGGAGGAGGGGCTGCCGACTTTGGAAAAGATACACCACGTTTTGGCCTATTTGAAATATCCGCGGTTATAGTTCAGGACGTTCTCAGATTCACGTTCTCGTTCAATGGGAAGATGAAGCACCAGCAAAGAATCAGGAAATGGGTAACGGCCTGCCAGGATACACTTTACCAACTAACAAAGGATTTGGTCTCATTACAACCCCGGTTGACGCTTAGCGATTATCCATTGCTGTCTCTGGACTACGGAGACCTCGACGCATTAACAAACGTGAAGCTGCCAGCTCTGGGGCTATCTTCGCTTGACCTGGTTGAAGATATTTATCCATGTTCACCCATGCAACGTGGCCTGCTGATCTCTACGACTCGAGATATTTCATTCTACGCCGTTCGGGGTACATACAAAGTCAAATCACCTAATGATCACCCAGTAGATGCACAATGTCTTGCACAGGCATGGCAACAGGTGGTAGATAGACACGCGATGCTTCGAACTGTCTTCGTGGAAAATCTCAGTCCAGAAGACCTATACTCCCAGATCGTCCTGCGTAAATATTCTTGCACCACTCAAATTATCCGCTGTCCTGGAGACGACGAAGTCCAAGCTACATTTGACAAATGTGCCAATCACACAGACAAATATAGACCGCTACATAAGTTTACCATCTGTGTCACTGAGACAGGTAACGTCTTCTGCCAACTCGAGTTAAGCCACGCCATCATGGATGGAGCATCCATCTCCTTGATCTTACGTGATCTCGAACGATCATACAGTGGAAAGCTTCAGAGCACGATTAAACCACTATTCAAAGATTTCGTTTCATATCTGCAAAAACAACCACAAATTGCTGCGCTTAACTACTGGAGATCTTATCTATCTGGCGTTGAGCCATGCCACGTCTCTCCACTCAATGATGGCTCAACTGCTGAAAGAAAATACAATACGCTTCGGCTAGATTTTCAGAAGTTTGACCTTCTACAAGCTGCTTGTGAGAAATATGGCTTGACAATTGCAAATGCCCTCCATGGAGCCTGGGCTCTTACACTTCGTTGCTACACTGGAAGTGATGATGTTTGCTTCGGATATTTGCTTTCAGAAAGGGATGCTCCCGTTGACATGATTGAAGAAGCTATTGGTCCATTCATCAATATGCTTGCTTGCCGAGTCAATATGTCTGCGGAATCTGTTCTCATACAGGTTTTGGAAGGTATTCAAGCAGATTACATGGAGAGTCTTCCATTCAAGCACATTCCGCTGGCCGATGTGCAACATGGCCTGAATCTGTCAGGTACAGCTCTCTTCAATACATGTCTATCATATAGAAAGCTTCCATCACCAGACTCTGGGCGCACGCCAGTCATTGAATTCTCAGAATGTGCCGGACTACACGACCCCACTGAATACTTGGTTACTGTCAATGTTGAAACCTCGGATGAAAGTGCAGTTATAGATTTGGATTTCTGGACAGACATGCTGTCTCAGGAGCAGGCCGCAAACATTGCACAAACCTTTACTCGGGCTCTCGAAAATATTATTGAATGTCCCAGCAGTCCATTGGGTGATTTGGACTGCATTCCACTAAGTAGCTGGCAACAAATTGCGGAATGGAATACTAATATGCCACAAACTATCGAAAAGTGTATCCATGAAGTCTTTGAAGAACAGGTGCAATTGAATCCCGAAGCACCTGCAATTTGTGCTTGGGATGGCGAATTTACATATGCTCAAGTTGACATTCTTTCTACGCGTTTGTCTTATTATCTTACTAACCTTGGCGTCATGCCAGAGACCTTTGTGGCCCTGTGTTTTGACAAATCTGCCTACACAATAATTTCCATGCTAGCTGTTTTGAAAGCTGGAGGAGGTTGTGTGCCATTAGATGCTGGACATCCAAAGGCTGCTTTGGAGCTTCGAGTTTTGGAGACAGGGGCTCAAGTTGTTCTTTCTTCTCCATCTCGTACTTTTCTTCTCGACGATGTCGTCCCCTACGCCATTCCTGTTGACGAGACACTTTTTACACAGCTTGAAGAATCAGACCCCTCTGCTGTGACAAAAGCAGCGCCAAACAACGCCGCATTTGTAATTTTCACCTCGGGCAGTACCGGCAAACCAAAAGGAGTCGTCCTTGAACATCAAAGTCTGGTCACTAGTGCTGCAGCACACGGTGCAGCTCTTGGAGTTGATAAATCCACTCGCTTCCTTCAGTTTGCATCTTATTCGTTTGATAATAGCCTGGAAGAAATATTCACTCCTCTAATGAGAGGCGGCTGCGTTTGTGTCCCCTCAGAAGAGGACAGAATGAACAATCTGGTCAAAGCAATGAACGACTTAGATGTCAATTTCACCGATATGACAGCCACAGTCGCGGCCTTTTTGCAGCCTTCGGATGTTCCCAAACTAAAAGGCCTTGCCATCGGGGGAGAAGCTCCCACAAAGGAGATCAAAGAGACATGGTGCCATGTTTTGGAACTTCAAAATATTTATGGACCGACAGAATGTTCTATCAATTGCTGTCATAATGCAGATGTTGGTCTGACAAGCGATGTAACGAACATTGGTCGGGCTGTTGGAGGTGTCTCTTGGGTAGTTGATGCAGACAATCACAATAATCTCGTCCCAATCGGTTGTGTTGGTGAACTCCTGATCGAAGGTCCGATCCTAGCCAGACATTATCTCAACAACCCAGAGAAGACTCAGCAAAGCTTCATCGAGAATCCATCTTTTATGTCGTCATTAGCAGAAAAGATCGATAAGCCAGACTTGTTCGCACCAACTGGACATAGAATGTACAAAACAGGAGACTTGGTTCGATATAACTCTGATGGAACGATTGTTTACCTTGGCAGGAAAGACACCCAAGTCAAATTGAACGGCCAGAGAATTGAGTTGGGCGAAATCGAACATCGGATTCAGAGCGCCTTGCCATCAGAGGGTCAGTGCTCCGTTGACCTCGTCATCCGTCAAAATGGCGAAACCACTACAAAATCCCTAGTCGCATTCGTTTGCCTACAAAATGAAAGCAGAAAGCCCACACAGAGCGACTCCGACTTTGTGTTGGAAATGACAGACTCCTTCCAGTCAGTAGCCATGGATACAAAGTCTGCTTTGTCTTCTCAGTTACAAAGTTACATGGTACCGAACGTGTATATCCCGGTGTCCTTCTTTCCCATGACCTCTTCCGGCAAGTTGAATCGACGGCTACTTCGTCTTACTGCCGAAGAACTGCTGTCCACAAACGCATCAGCATACAGACTTGGGGGAAGAAGCGGTAGAGAACCTTTCACAGGCGGTGAAAAAGTTCTACAGAAATTATGGTCCTCCACTTTGTCCGTGGATGCTTCAAGCATCAGTGCCGAAGATACATTCTTCAGGCATGGGGGAGATTCTATATCCGCTATGAGACTCGTAACAGCAGCCCGTAGGCAAGGGTATGCTATCAGTGTCGCAGATATTTTCCAACTACCAAGGCTTTCAGATATGGCACAGAAATTGATCCGCTCGGCATCGCCCAGCTCCGAAGAACCAACCGAGGAGGTTGCGCCATTCTCCTTGCTAGGCATGACTAACTCCGTTGCTGATATTAAAGATGAAGTTTCTCTTACCTGCCAAATATCTCTGGAACAAATAGAGGATGTACTACCATGTAGCACAATTCAGGAAGGGTTATTCGCTATTTCAAGTACACAGCCAGGGTCGTACGTCACCCAAAATGTGTACCAACTACCAGACTCAGTGGATGTTGAAAGGTTCAAATCTGCCTGGCAGAACCTATACCAAGTTGAGCGTATACTGCGGACTCGAATTGTCCATTCCAAATCGAACGGATTTCTTCAAGTTGTTGTTCGTGAGGAATTAGAATGGGAATCCTCTCCCAGCATTAATTCCAGTACTTTCCCAACTAGGTTTTTGCCAGAAAAGAATGGAGGTCGACTGTCTGGATACGCAATAAGGAAGGACAGCTCAGGAAGATTACAGTTTATATGGACTGCCCACCATGCTATCTATGACGGATGGAGTATTCCAAAACTTTTCAACAAGGTCAAGCTCTACTATGAGAATAGAAGCCAGACCATACAAGAGGCATCTTCATCTTACTCACACTTCATCAAGTACCTCTCTGGTATAGACTCACAAGCAATGGAAAGTTTTTGGGTCAAGCATCTAGAGGGGCTGGCAGCGATGCAATTTCCTGCATTACCCAATGCATCTTACAAATCAACACCAAAAGCACGACAAGCATTAACATTCGATCTACCAACAAACCGCCCCACGGAAGTTACACTGCCGTGTATTATCCGTGCGGCCTGGGCATTGACTGTTTCAGTGTACTCGTTTTCAAAAGATATCGTGTTCGGGGAGATTCTTACAGGGCGTGATGTCCCTGTGCCTGGAATTGCAGATATGATCGGTCCTGCATTATCGATTGTGCCTGTGAGATTTCAAATAGACCCAAGCCTCAATGTTCTTCAATTCTTGCAGCACATACAGGCGCAGACGGCTTCGATTATACCCTATCAGTCAGCTGGGCTGCATAACATACAAGGATTCAGCCAAGATGCCAAGTCAGCCTGCGAATTTCAGACATTGTTTTCTATTGCTCACGGCGATAGCGATGACGTTGAAGGAGTAATGAAATTTGTGAGTGCAAATTCGGGCGACGCAAACTTCTTCACATACCCGCTTAACGTGTCCTGCTTCATATGGGATTCACAACTACAAGTTGAGGTTCACTATGATCAGCATATCCTTCCCTTGGTTCAACTGAAGAGAATCATGGGCCAATTTGAGACAATGATGCATAAATTGTGCTCCGCAATCCAAGATGAGCAAATAAGCAGCGTCCAGCTCATCAGCAGCACTGATGCCTCTACCATTAAGAAATGGAACTCAGAACTCAGTTTGACCCAAGTCGATAGGTGTATTCACGATATGGTTGATGAGAATGTTTGTTTGCGTCCTGACGCGCTGGCAATCGACTCCTGGGATGGGTCTTTCACCTATGCGCAATTAGGACAATACGTGACAGCTCTGGCCCATTACTTGAGAAACACCATTGGAAATGATAAGGAACATTTCATACCAATATGCTTTGAGAAGTCGGCCTTTGCTGCAATTTCGATGCTAGCTATCATGAAAGCGGGTTATGCGTTTGTCCCAATCGATCCTCAACATCCGAAAGCTCGACGACAAGAAATTCTTACTGATATAGATGCTGAGCTTATGCTTTGCTCACCTCGATACATACCATTGTGCAAAGAGGTAGTCAATTATACATGCGCAATTGATATGGCCTTCCTCAAATCACTCCCAGAGTCAACCGGGCCGCTTGGAATGTGTGATCCTCGTACTGCGGCATATGTTATTTTCACGTCTGGAAGTACTGGTAAACCGAAAGGGTGTATAAGTAAGTATCTTTAGGTGAAACTGAACGTATGGATATTTACTAACAATATTCTTAAGTTGAGCATATTGGCTTCTGTTCTGGCGCAGTTAAAAATGGCCCCGCGTTCTCCTTTGAGCCATCTTCACGAGTTCTTCAATTTGCATCGTATACATTTGATGCCAGCCTTCTTGAGATTTTGACCGTTCTGGTTATGGGAGGATGTACTTGCGTTCCCAACGAAAACACTCGTCTAAATGGCGTTGCCAAGTTCATCAATGAGAAGAATGTCAACACTGCCCTTCTCACCCCAAGCATGGCACAAACAATCAAACCTTCCGAAGTTCCATGTCTTCAGAATCTGGCACTTGTCGGAGAGGCTATGACGCCAAATCACCTCTCTATATGGGCAGATAAAGTACGACTAATTAACGGGTATGGGCCGACGGAAACATCCATTGTTGCTGCTGCAAACCCACGCATGTCGTTGGATACTGACTCATCGAATATTGGAAAGCCCGTTGGAAACGCATGGCTTGTTGACCCGGACAATCACCACCGACTAGTACCTGTCGGTGCTGTCGGTGAGTTATTAGTTGAAGGACCAACTCTGGCTAGAGGCTATCTCAATAATGAACAGAAGACTCTGGATGTGTTCATCATAAATCCGACGTGGAGCTTCGAAGTCAATGAGCCAAACAGTTCACGGATAAGAAGAATGTACAAGACGGGTGACCTTGTGAAGTATGCACCCGACGGTTCTGGCGAACTGTTATACGTTGGAAGGAAGGACAATCAAGCCAAGCTTCATGGCCAGCGGCTTGAGCTTGGAGAAATCGAACACCACCTGAATGGTGATAATGAAGTTTTGAATGCCATTGCCCTTTTGCCAAAGGCCGGTAAATGTGCAAAGAAACTGGTTGCTGTACTATCGTTCCGCAACCCAGAGGACGAAAACTCCCAGAACCGTGCCTTGCAACTCGTGACGGACAAGTCTTCGTTTGAAAAGCTGCAACATGTTGAGGATCGCCTAAGAGAGAAAGTCCCTGCTTATATGACTCCCTCCAACTGGATTATTTTACAGCAACTACCCTTGCTGCCTTCAGGGAAATTGGATCGTAAAACAGTCATTCAATTCGTAGAAGATATGGACGATAGCACTTATCAGAGAATAACTGATACTGCACAAGCTGTCTCGACTGATAAGGTTGTAGTCATTACGCAGACTGAAGCAACTCTGAGAGACATTTGGTGTTCCGTTTTGAACCTTTCTCCTGAAAGAATCAACCTAGACAGGTCTTTTCTACATCTGGTAAGTACTTTACAACGTGATCCCAATATAAATGCTTTACATTATGCTTACTGAATGGAATCAACTATAGGGTGGTGACAGCATGTCAGCCATGGCTATAATGTCAAAATGTCGAGCCCAGAACTTAGGTGTAACAGTCGAAAATATCATCACTTGCAAGTCCATCCGTCACCTTGCTTCCTTGGTTACTTTGCCTCAAAAACGTGTCCACGAGGAGGAGAACTATCAAGACTTTGATCTATCGCCAATTCAGAGTCTCTATTTCCGCGCCATGAAAGGAAATACTAGCCATTTCAATCAAAGCATAATGATGCAAATCACGAGAGCTGTCACCCAAGAGGAAGTACGGAACGCAATATCAAACTTGGTAACTGTGCATCCTATGCTTCGAGCTCGATTTTCTCGAGACGGAAATGGAATTTGGAAGCAGCGCATATTGAAGGATACTGCCTCATCTTTTGCTTTCCGTGTCATCAAAGACTCCGATCCCGACGACATGCTCCAGGAGGTCGAAGAAACTCAAAAGTCGCTGGATATCACTCATGGGCCTGTTATGGCAGTGGCATTGTTCGAAGATACCACCGCACACTCAAATCTTTTTATTTCTGTGCATCATTTGGTGGTCGACGTTATCTCATGGGGCATTATCTTGCAGGATTTGGAAGATTTGATGCAAGGCCGCCGTATCCCTGACAGCGAAGGTATCTCTTTCCAAAGATGGTGCAGGGCTCAACTGGACTATGTTAGAGAGAATAAGGATGCCAATTTCCTACCAGCGGACGATGTTCCGGCATCAGATTTCGACTTTTGGGGCATGGAAGACAAGCCCAACTTGCAAGGTGATGTTGTGACGGAGGAGATAAATCTTGGATCTACTGCGACGGGCGAATTACTAAAGTTGGCCAATGAGGTATTTAGTTCTGATATTGTTGACATCATTTTGGCAGCACTGCTCTTTTCCTTCGCGCAAATATTCGCCAACCGGAAATCTACTCCATGCATATTCAATGAAGGCCATGGCCGGGAATTTTGGGACTCGAGCATCGATCTCTCTCGAACTGTTGGATGGTTTACAACACTTAGTCCAGTGTATTTACCATCGGAAGCTATTACGGGAGATGGAAATGACTTGCTGCAGTGCGTCAGCTGGATCAAAGCACTTCGCCGGAGGACGCCTGGGAAGGGGATGCCCTACTTTGCACAACGGCTATTGACTTGGGAGGGAAGTGAGAAATACCGTCATCACTGGCCAATGGAGATAGCGTTCAACTATTTGGGTCAGCACAGTGATTCTAAGGATTCAAAGAGCCTATTGCAACTTGTCCATGGTACCGGGCAGTCAGTCAATTCGGCGTCAGATATAGGAGCTGAGGTCCCTCGCTTCTCACTCATTGAGATTTCCGCAGTCATAGTTGAGGGAAGCATGAATATTTCATTCTCGTATAACAAATATATGCAGAGACAAGGAAGCATACGACAATGGATTACGGACTGCAAAGAAGTGATTTCCGATGCTCTGGAAAACACCGTTTCCACCAAGTCACGACCAAGCCTAGCTGATTTCCGTCTTCTTCCACTCTCCTATCACGGAATCCACAAGGTCGGTCAAAGCTTACAAAAGGCTGGAATTGACTCCTTCGAGAATATCGAAGATGTCTATCCCTGCTCATCAATGCAACATGGAATACTTCTGAGCCAACTGAAAGATTCTAATACTTATTCTTACCGAGCGATATTCGAGGTGCAGTCCTCGGCTACGGGCCAGCAGGTAGATATACAGAGACTAGCTAGGGCCTGGCAAAGCATCGTTGATCGCCAAACTGCTCTCAGAACAGTGTTTATTGATGGCTCCCACGAGTCATCACTGATGGATCAGGTTGTGCTGAAATATTTCCCTGCAAACATAGAGATCTTCGAAAAATCCGATGAAAATTCCAGGGAAGCGCTGTCAAGGCTTCCGAATCCCAACTTTAAGAATGGAAACCAGCTTCATCGTCTATCCATATGCAAAACCACATCCGGAAGAGTACTGTGTCGCTTTGATATTAGCAATGCCGTTGCTGATGGAACCTCGATGCCAATTATATTCCGGGATCTCTCTCGAGCGTACATGGGACAGACTCCGATTACTGCCGAACAACCAAAGTACAGTGACTTCATTGCCCACCTATCATCAACGCCCAAAGAAAAGGGCATTGAGTACTGGAAGAATTACCTGGCAGGCTGTGAACCTTGTTTATTCCCCTCGTTGGTTAATGAGCGTAACCGTGAGACGGGACTTGGCTCTGAGATCCTTATATTGAAAGAAAACGCAGGTGTACACGAGCTTTGCAAGAGCATGGGTATCACAATGTCCGCGCTCTTCCAGTTCGTATGGGCATTGGTTCTGCGAACTTATACCGGATCCGATGAGGTTTGCTTCGGCTATATCACCTCTGGCCGTGATATTCCAGTTGAAAATATACAAGAAGCAGTCGGTGCATTCATCAACATGCAGGTATACAAGATCCATTTAACAGACGACCTGCTCTTGATGAAGGCATTGAAAAAGACACAGAAAGACTTCATCAAGAGTATGGAACATCAAGCTGTCTCACTCGCAGAAGTCCAGCATGCACTGGGTCTTGCAGATACCCCGTTATTCAACACAGCCTTTACATTTCAGCGACGGAGTGCTCTTGAAGTGGAATCCACGCCTTCGTTGTCATTCAAGTCTTTTGATTCGCATGACCCCAGCGAATATAAGATAGCCGTCAATATTGAACTGATGGAGTCGGTAACAGAAGTACATTTCAGTTACTGGAAAGATTATCTGTCAGACGCTCAGGTTAAAAACCTAGCTGACACATTCGAGCAAATAGTGAATGACATTACGAAGGCCGTTAACTCAGATAGGACAATAGGAAATATTGACTGCTTCGGATCGTTAAGCAGCCAAAGTGTCAGTGAGTGGAATAGCGTTGTTCCTCAGAGTGTGGACCGATGCGTCCATGAGATGATTGAAGAGCAAGCTCGAAATAGACCAGTATCGGCTGAAGCAGTTGAGGCTTGGGATGCACGATTTACCTATCAGGAATTGGATGATTATGCTAGTCGCCTTGCAAAGGCTCTTCTTACACATGGTGTAGGACCCGAAGTGATTGTTCCTCTATGTTTCGAGAAGTCAGCGTGGGCAATTGTCGCACAAATTGCTGTTCTCAAAGCTGGAGGCGCCTTCGTATCGCTGGATCCATCTCATCCAGAGGACAGACTCAAGAGCTTAATTGAGGATGTCAACGGTCGTGTCATTTTATCTTCATATCAGCAGTATGACAAGATATCCAAAATATTCCCCAACACTATTAAGGTGGATAATGCTGCTTTGGCTCAGCTTTCGAAGGTCGACTACCCCATTCGCAGTTCTGTAAGGCCGTCGAACACTGCTTATGTGATATTTACATCTGGTTCAACGGGAAAACCTAAAGGAACAGTTATCGAGCACGGTCAATTTTGTACAGGCGCTCTGGCACATGGCAAGGCTCTTTACATGAACTCGGAAACACGATCATACCAATTTGCCAACTACACCTTTGACGCATCGATTCTGGACATACTGACAGTACTCATCTTGGGCGGCTGTATCTGCGTGCCAAGTCAGGAAGAGCGCATGAATGACATTGCTGGAAGCATCGTCAGATTACGTGCCAATTGGATGTGCATTACGCCTTCAGTTGCCAGCACTTTGAAGCCTGAGAGTATACCTACCATGAAAGTGATCGCCATGGGTGGGGAGAAGATGACCCCCGGTGCTATCGAGAAATGGTCAAGGTCAGTATGTCTAGTTGAAGCTTACGGGCCCAGTGAATGCTCCGTAGTCTGCGCTGCCGGTGATAAAGTCACCCAATCAGGTCAAATTGTCAATTTCGATCCTGCAGTGATTGGCAAAACTGTCGGCAGCCGGTCTTGGATCGTTGATCAACGCAACTACAACAGGCTTGTACCGGTAGGAGCCATCGGTGAATTGATGGTAGAAGGTCATATTGTCGGTCGTGGATACTTGAATAATGAAAAGAAAACAGCTGAGGCCTTTATTAAGGATCCAACCTGGGCAACTAGCCACAGATTGCAAGGCCTTATCTTACCTGGAAGCCGAATGTATCGCACAGGCGATCTTGTTCGTTACAATGAGGATGGTACGATTACATACATGGCAAGGATGGATATGCAAATCAAGCTCAATGGTCAACGTATCGAGTTAGGCGAGATTGAATATCAATGCACTCAGCATATGCCAGAGCAAGTACAACTAGCGGTTGATCTAGTCAGCCCAGGATCGAACCCTGGTCCAAAGAAACTTGCAATGTTCTTCAGCCTCGGCGATAACACTGGACAGCCTCGCGGTTCAGTCCGAACCATGGACAATATCCTCTTGGAGATGAATTCCGAGACTCGAAATGTTATCCGAGACCTCGAGAAATCAGTCGCAAAAGTCTTACCATCTTACATGATACCGCAACTGTTTTTCCCCGTTTCTGCTATACCATTTACGACATCAGGAAAGCTAGATCGTCGTAAGTTACATGGAGAAATCAAAGATTTGTCCCGGGAAGATCTGAAAAACTATTCGCTGTCCACTTCTGTGAGCAGGAAAGCTCCCAAGAAAGAAAAGGAATTGACCCTGCAGAGTCTATGGGCAGAAATTCTTGATATCCCCGCAATTTCTATTGGAAGTGACGACAGCTTTTTCAGACTTGGAGGAGACTCGCTCGCAGCAATGAAGCTGGTAGGGATCGCTAGGTCACGCGGGATTACTCTCAGCGTTGTTGACATCTTCCGCTTTTCCACACTGGAAGAGATGTCCAAGGAATACGAGATTGCACATGAAACTGGTAGTCAAGGCATTCAAGAACTGGCTATGCCGTTTAGCTTACTGAGAAACCCCGCGGTTAAAGATGCAGTTATCGATGAGGTAGCAGGCGAGTGCAATGTGGAAAGGGAGTCAATATCTGACATCTACCCGTGCAGCCCTCTTCAAGAAGGCCTGATAGCATCATCTGTTCAGCAGCGTGGCGCTTATATTTCAAGAAACGTCCTTCGACTGGGTAAACATGTCGACATTGAACGATTCAAATCTGCCTGGCAGCAACTAGTAAATGAGTTTGATATCCTACGCACTCGCATTGTCCATACCGCCACCTCCGATTTCTTGCAAGTCGTGCTGAAGCAAGACACGATTTCATGGCAACTTCCAAATAGCTTGGAAAGCACTACTGACGACAATTCGGAGCTATTTGGTTCTGAAGGTGGCAAGCTGACACGATATATCCTGGTTCACGACAAAGAGTCATCCGCTACGTATTTTGTCTGGCTGATTCACCATGCTCTTTACGATGCCTGGGGCCTGGAAATCCTTCTCAAGAGAGTTCAGGAAATATACGAAGCTAATAACCAATTATCTCCAAAGAGCACCTATGCATCTTTCATCGCCTATCTCGAGAAACAGAACCTGCAGACTTCGGGGGGTTTCTGGAAATCATATCTTGCCAACTCATCACCATCTCATTTCCCTCCACTCGTGAACCAGAAAGGGTCAGAAAGTGAGCATCATATATCTCAAACGTTGACACAAAGAATAGAACTTCCGCAAAAGTTCCTGAACCTTGGAATCACTACACCAATCCTAATAAGAGCGGCGTGGGCACTTGTTTTGTCGAATCGTGCACAGTCGTCTGATATCTGCTTTGGAGAGACCTTATCTGGCAGAAACATTGATGTCCCCGGTATTACTGACCTAGCAGGCCCGGTGCTTACAACTGTCCCCACCTGTGTTCATGTCGACATGAAATCCAAGACAAGGGATTACCTATTAGAGATACAAAAAATGTCAACGGAGATGATCCCGCATCAGCACTTTGGTTTGCAGCATATCAAGAAATTAGGACATGATGCCGCTGCTGCTTGTGAATTCCGAAACCTGATCGTCACCCAAACCGCTGAGGCTGAGGGCAAAAATCAGCTTTGGGAAATACAGGACGATGGATCAATCGGCAGCTTTTTCACTTATCCTCTCGTTGTGGAGTGCAAACTTTCAGGTTTTTATGTCGATGTCAATTTCCACTACAAGGATAATGCCATCTCTCGGTGGGAGCTTGAGAGAATACTGCTTCAACTGTCACATGTTCTTCGCCAGCTTGGTTCTGTCGATCACTCGTCCAATGATTGTTTACACGATTTTGATATGTTGAGCCCCGAAGACAGGAACGAAATCACCCGGTTGAATAAGCGCAAGCCTCAAATCATTAACGAATGCATTCATGAACTCTTCCACAAACAGTGCTTGTCACAAGCTGATGCCCCAGCTGTCCGCGCGTGGGATGGAACTCTTACATATGGAGAGTTGAATAAATATGCCACGGGCCTTGCATCATATTTGAGGTCGCTCGGTGTTCAACCGGAAGTACTTGTGCCCCTGTGTCTTGAAAAGTCTGCATGGACAATAGTCGCTATGTATGCTGTTTTGATTGCCGGCGGTGCTATTGTCCCCCTAGACCCTTCTCATCCTCTTGACAGACACAAAGAGATTGTGGTACAAACTAGTGCGAACGTACTTTTGTACTCGTCGATATACCACACGAAATACGCGGGGATTGTGAAGAGTGCTGTTGCCATTGACGAAAACATGATCAAGAATATTACGTCAAATGGCATCGTATCAGAACAAGCCATTCATGTAAATCGATCAAATGCAGCATATGCAATCTTTACTTCTGGAAGTACAGGCAAGCCGAAAGGAATTGTCATTGACCATCGGGCATTCAACACGAGCTCGGTAGCCTTCGGCAAAGCCTTGCAAATGAATTCCAAAACTCGAGCTCTTCAGTTTGCTTCACTCAGTTTCGATGCTGCTGTCATGGAAATATTCACGACACTCACAGTTGGAGGTTGCGTCTGCGTGCCTAGTGAGGAGCAGCGTCTACAAGACCTTCCGGGAGCCATATGCGAAATGGAGGTTACTTGGGCACTACTGACTTCCTCCGTTGCTAATGTGATTGATCCGGCTTCTGTTCCGTCTCTCAAAGTCCTTGTCTGTGGTGGTGAAGCTATGAGTCCGGAAGTTATTGCTAAATGGGCTGACAAAGTACATCTGATCAACGCTTATGGACCCTCGGAGGCTTCCGTCGTAGCGGTCGTTAATCCAGACGTATCAAAAGATGCACCAAATAACATTGGCTATGGTATACAACCTACCCATACTTGGATCGTCAATCCTGATGATTGCAATCAGTTAATGCCGCTCGGCGCTGTGGGAGAATTGGCATTGGGTGGTCCTACTCTTTCAAGCGGATACCTAGGCGATGTTTTGAAGACAAAGGCCGCATTTGTCGACAATCCTTCATGGGCTGGAAATTTCGTTTCAGAAAGCTCTGGTAGCCAGCGCATCCATCTAACTGGTGATTTGGTCAAATACAGACCCGATGGCTCCATCGACTTTATTGGGCGAAAAGACAATCAAGTCAAACTAAATGGCCAGCGAATGGAACTTGGCGAGATCGAGCATCGCTTAGAATTAGATTCTCTGGTGCGCCACGTTGTTGTTTTAGTGCCCAAATGCGGACATCTACAAAAGCGACTGGTTGCTGTTATTTCGCTCAATACTGGAGCTGCGGACCAATCAGTTGTCATTTCTCAGTCATGTCAATTCGTAAAGATGGAGTCTGAACTGTTGGAAATCAAGAACAAACTGTCGACACAGCTACCATCCTATATGATTCCGCAAGCTTGGGCTGTGGTCAACACGATACCAATGTTGGTGTCAGGGAAGTTGGACAGAAAATTTGTCAAGAATTGGGTCGAAACCATCTCCGAGGAGCTTTACCAACAGATCACAGGGGTTGAAGAAGCATATGATTCGAACACGGAGGTCACTGGAGTTGTTGCAACGCTCAGGGAAGTATGGGCGCAAGTTTTGAATCAATCTCCTACAAAGATAAAATTGAATCAGTCATTCCTAAGTCTCGGTACGCCTCCATTAATATATACATGAGACATTGTCGTTCTCACCCGTTGTTCATCTCGCTAACAATATGGTCTAGGTGGCGACAGTATTACAGCAATGGCTGTTGTTTCTCGAAGCAGGCGGCAGAATATCAAAGTAACCCTTCATGACGTCCTACGTGCATCGTCACTCGTAGGGCTAGCTGAGTCGGTGGACTCTGGCATCATGACCGTGCCGGTCCATGACGAAAAATTGGATGAAAGCTTTGGACTTTCCCCTATCCAACGTCTTTATTTCCTAGGAGCAAAAGGACATCAAGGTACCAGTCGCTTCAACCAGAGTTTTACACTTCGTTTGTCTCGTCATATCAACCCTGAGACTGTGCAATCAGCACTTCATAATATCGTTTCTCGTCATTCAATGCTTCGGGCCCGCTTCAAATTAGGTACCAACGGGGAATGGGAGCAGCTGATTTCAAGCGTATGTGATATCCCCCGGGTTATTGAATGTAAAATCTGATTTAGCTCTTAGGATATCAAATCTTCCTTCCGATTCCGGCACCAACGTCTCACTGCACTCAAAGAAGCTGCCAAGACCATCGGGGATACTCAGAGAGATATCAACATTTACGACGGCCCTATATTTGTTGCAGACATGATTGAGACTCTCAGTAATGAACAGTTCTTGTTCCTCGCTGCTCATCACCTGTCAATTGATGTGGTCTCGTGGCGTATCATCATACAAGACCTGGAAGATATTCTGGAAGCTGGTACTCCTCCGGTCGATAAGCCTCTCCCATTCCAGTCTTGGTATACACTGCAGTCCGAACATGTTAAACGCAATGCCGAGGGTCGCAGCTTGCCGTTCGATGTAATGCCCACTAATCTTGATTATTGGGGAATGAGCAGTGTCTTAAATACTTATGGTGATATCAAACAACATACCTTCACCCTGGATGAAGGAATGACGGCTTCGACGATGACTAGCTGTCACGACGTATTTGGTACGGAGCCGGTGGATATCTTACTAACAGCCATCATTCATTCTTTCCGCCTTGTATTCAAAGACAGATTCTTACCGACTATATTCAATGAAGGCCATGGAAGAGAATCGTGGGATTCAAATATTGACCTTTCTCGAACTGTTGGTTGGTTTACAAACCTTTCGCCTTTACAGGTATCATTAGAATCAGGTTTGTCATTACCAGATGAGAAAGGTAGTACGATTGTGTTCTAATTTGATATAGATGACGTTATTGAGACGCTGAAGAGGGTCAAGGATACCAGAAGAAGTGCCCAAGAGGCCGGGAAAAATTACCTGGCTCATCGCTTCCTTGCGCCGCACGATCGACCTCACTCTGCACGCTCCGACATTCCCATGGAAATCCTATTCAACTACCTCGGAGCAATGCAAGACCTAGAACGCAGCGACTCATTATTTCAATCTGCCAATATGGAATTCGAAAATGCAGATCCTTTGGAAGTCGGAGACATGGGACGTGATACCGTACGGCTAGCACTCTTTGAAATCTCAGCAGCTGTTGTACAGAATCGGTTGCAATTTTCGTTCATGTTCAGCAGTCGTACGAAACGTCTCAACGAGATTCGCCGTTGGACCTCTGAGTGTAAGTGGATTATCGAGGAGATTGTTGTTCGACTACGGAGATGCACTCCTGAACCTACTTTGAGTGACTATCCCCTGCTTCCTATCAATTACGATGGGCTTAGACGCCTAGTCAAGAATTCATTCCCTCAAGCGGGCATCTCACATCGAGATCAAGTTGAAGAAATCTACCCCTGTTCTCCAGCCCAGGAGGGCATTCTCCTCAGTCAGCTCCGTGACCCCAGAGCTTACATGATCTACGTCATTTTCGAAGTAACGTGCACAATTTCACGGAACAGTATTGAGCCCCAAAGATTGGTTGAAGCATGGCAAAAAGTTGTTGACAGGCATGCTGCTCTACGGACTGTATTTATCGACAGCGCCTATAGAGGAGGCGCTTTCTATCAGGCGGTCTTGAAAAAAGTCGACAGCAACGTTACCCATATTCAGTGCGATGATTCTGCTGTACTCGCAAAGCTCCAGTCAATTAATCTTTACGACAAGAATATCAAACGGAAACAGAAGATGCCCCACCACTTCACACTTTGCGTTACTCCCTCTGGCAGAGTCATCGTGAAGATGGAAGTTAATCACGCAGTCATCGACGGGGGGTCGACTCCTATATTGATGCGTGACCTGGCACTCGCTTATGATGGACATCTACCAGGAGGTCAGGGACCTCTTTACTCTGACTACATCCGATTCCTAAAAAGCCATTCTGTGAGAGACGATATTGTTTTCTGGAAACGGTACTTAACGGGCGTACAAGCATGCCATTTTCCTCATCTCAAGTCTACATTCATAAGCCAACGCCGTCTTGCTTCATTTGAGTTTAGCTTTGATCATTGGCCGGAGTTGCAACGTTACTGTGAGAAAACGGGGGTTACATTAGCCAATGTCATCCAAGCAGCGTGGGCTTTAGTCCTTCGGAAATATACCGGTTCAGACGATGTTTGCTTCGGATACTTGTCAGCCGGACGAGATGCTCCAGTAACAGGCATCCAGGAAGCAATTGGTGTCTTCATTAACATGCTCTGTTGTCGAGTCCGGCTCTCTCCATCACAACTTTTAGCTGAGATCCCAAATACCATTCAGGAAGATTATATACGTGCCATTCCACATCAGCGTTGCTCTCTGGCGCAAGTGCAGCATGAGCTAGGGCTACAAGGGAAACAGATATTTAACACAGCGCTGTCAATTCAAAATACTTCATCGCCTGATCATCCAGATGAGAGTTCGCTGACATTTATACTCCAAGAAGCGCATGATCCAAGCGAGGTATGATACACAAATATACAATTCTATTTTTTTTATTAGGGCTAACCGACTTTTGTCTACAGTATTCAATTACGCTCAATATCGAGACGGGTCGAAATCAGGAGGGAATTGTATTCCGGTATTGGTCAGATATGTTCTCAGCTGACAATGCCTCTGAGATTTCAAATACGTTGGCCAGTGTCCTTCATTCTTTCGTCCAAAATCCCACGGAAATTGTATCTCGGTTGAATAAAAGCGAGTCTAAGAGAGCCGTTGAAACGACAAACAGCAACAACAATAACCCATCTCTTGAACGCGGTGACGAAATTAACGAGCTATTGGAGAAATACCCCAGTCTTCAAAACTTGATTGACGAGAGAGTTCGCATGATCGTGCAACAGATGTTTAGCTCCAGTCGACCAAGTTCATTGAGAAGACATTTATCCAATGCTACGGAACATGAGGTTGCAGCAGTTGCTCAATCAGAGTTTGACGCATTCTCCAGTGTATCCGATGATATTTACAGGGAGGGTGTCGCAAATTCAGCCATTCCGGTCGCTGCACAGATCCATGAACGTGGAAGACAAGCAGATATTGAGCGAAAGTTGCTACGCCTTTGGAGTGAAAAGCTTGAATTACCTTTAGACACCATCACCAAAGACGACAGCTTCTTTGAACTAGGTGGAGATAGTATCACAGCAATGGCACTCGTCGGGGATGCGCGTGACGAGGGGTTGTTGCTCACTGTTGCCGATGTTTTTCGTAATCCTGTGTTCAAGGACATGGCAACGGTAGCTCAAACTGCGAGTGAAAAAAGTTATGTCGAAGATGAAATCAACAATATGAACATCATGGGACAACAGTCATCTTTCACGTCCACCAACGCCGGTTTCTACGAAAGGTTTGCTCTCATCAAAGCAGCCAATATTGATGAAGCTTTTCTGCAAAAATACATCTGTCCTCGAGTTGGTGTGTTTAAGGGTGGTATTTTGGACATCCTGCCTGTGACGGATTTCCAGGCCTTGTCAATTACAGGCGCGCTTTTGGAGTCTCGCTGGCTGTTGAACTTCTTCTGCCTCGATGGTCGCGGCCCTCTCGATTTCCGACGTCTCAAGCAAAGCTGTTTCCGTGTCGTCCATGCCTTTGACATCTTGCGGACAGTTTTCGTTGCTTCCAAGGGCCGCTTTTTGCAAGTTATCCTTCGTAAAGTCCGACCTGAATTCTCAGTTTATGAGACCGATGAAAGTCTCGATGAGTTCACTGCCGTGCTACAACAGCGAGATGTGACTGAAGGAGTTAAACAAGGCGAGCCTTTCGTACAGTTCGTGGTGGTTAGAGAGAAGAACACAGACCGACATCGTATTATACTTCGTCTTTCTCACGCTCAATACGATGGTGTATCCCTCCCAAGAATACTCTCTGCTATTAAAGCAGGCTATGAGGGCGGTCCTATCCCTTCACCCGTCTCTTTTGCAAACTTCGTCCGTGACTCAGCGAGGATTGTGACGGCAGATCATTATGACCACTGGCGAACCCTTCTTAAAGGTTCAAAAATGACCGAGATCGTCAATCGACGCCAAACCTTTGAACACAAGAAGCTAAGGGGCAGCAATGAAGTTTTACGCAAAACGATACAAGTACCATCCCTGGCAAATGGAAATATTACCACTGCGACCGTAATCAAAGCCGCATGGGCCTTGACTCTTGCACGCATTACGGGCAGCGCTGATATTGTTTTCGGACACACCATTAGTGGAAGGAACACAGCAGCTATTGCTGGGGTTGAATCAATGGTTGGACCTTGCATGAACATCGTACCGGTACGAGTTGTGTTTGGGGAGAAGTGGACAGTACTCGACCTGCTACGTTATATCCAAGATCAGCAAGTAGCCAATATGCCTTTTGAAGCACTTGGATTCCGTCAAATCATTCACCAGTGCACAGATTGGCCTCGCTCGACCCACTTTAGCACAGTATTGCAACATGATGTTGCGAATTCATCCAACGAGATCCGGCTTGGGGAGAATACCTACACAGTTAAAGCCGTTGGGAGCGATGAGGAGCTATCTGACTTCTCCATTAATTCAAATGCATTAGACAAAGATCGAGTGGAAGTTGTTCTTTCATTCTCCATAGATGGAGCTCTTACAATGCCCCTTGCTCAAAGAGTGCTTGATATGCTCTGTGAAACTGCAGAGAGTTTCACGACAAATCCAGATATGACTCTTCCATCACCTGGAGCGCTCTCTGCACTACCTATTCGGAAGCTAGGAGACTCCGAGCAGCAGGTACAACAAGAAGGAAAGCAGCGGAGTGAAAATAGTTCACTCACATCATCGCAGCTGGCCAGTCTAAGCCGTGCAGAAATCTTAGTTCTATCGGATGTTCTCCGTCGCGCATGGGAACAAGTTCTCGGTGTCAGCAACAATAACGAGGGTGGTCATGATAACAACAACAACAACAACAACAACAACAACAACAACAACAACAACAACAACAACAACAACAACAACAGTCCACCCCCTATCAAGCCCGATTCTTCATTCTTTGATCTTGGCGGAGACCTCATCGGACTAGCCCAAGTAGCATGGCTGCTTGAGCAAGAAGACTTCAAAGTTCGACTGGATGATTTGCTTGAGCATCCTACGATGATGGGTCAAATGGCGGCTCTTGTGCAGTCCAATAGCGTGACAGCACAACGCATGATGGCATCTTATCAAGCCGGAACAGCAGGTACTACCTCGTTAGCCACTGTTACCGATGAAAGTGTTGCAGGAGGAGGCGAAGAATCAAATTCAAGGTCTGCAAATAAGCCTGGGCCGCGAAGGGCCATGACCTGGGCATCAGCATTTGGCTTGGCACGAAAGATTGTGAAGAGAAAGGTTGAGGTGGAAGCCTAAAATGAAATAATTATGAAAAAGAAGCAAGTCTGTTTAATTCTTGTTGTTCATTCTTTTCGGGCATATGTTCATTTATTTTTGTTCACTGTTATAATCACAAATGTTTCGCATTTTTATTTGTTTAACCTCTCTCCATATTGACTGTCTCATTAATACATTTGTATATACACTCGCACAATTCAATTTTTTTTGTCTATCTTGAAAACAAGAATTTCAATGCTAGACTAACTTCCTACATTGTCTATGTATAGCTACAGAAATATTCAAGTAATGAATGATTCATTCTTCGCAGAACGTGGAGTCATCTGAGACTCAGCGAAGAAAACAAGTCCGCCTCCTCTAACACCTCCGAAGGGGTTCCTGAATGGATGACACTCCCTTGCTCCATAACAAGCACTCGATCATATCCTAACGCAGTTTCTAGTCGATGTAGAATAGAAATGGTCGTTTTACCCTGCATCCTTTCCCTCAAGCGCATAATTTGCCGTTCCGTTTCGATATCGACACTACGATGTAAATTGTTAACCTAACAATTTCTAATATATTGCCAGTATATATAGATAGATAGGAAGAACCAACCTACTCATAGCCTCGTCGAAAAGGACAATCCCACCAGGCCGCTGTTGCACATCGAGAATGGTGCGAGCGAGCGCAAACAACTTTTTTTCGCCGGCTGAGAGAGATACATCCGTCAACGCAGTCTCCAGGCCACCGGATGTCTCAATTTTCTGCCTCAGTGCACAATCGGCCAGAATGGTCCAGATTACGTCGTCATCACTAAACGACCCCTGCGGATCCAACGCGTTCCGAACCGTTTCCCCTTATATATAGGCATCTTGCGAAATGACATGGAATCTCGACCATAGTAATGGAGCCTTAACACATGAAATGTCAATCCCATCAATTGTAATACTGCCTTTACGTGTCTCCATCAACGATAACAGCATAAGCAATAGCGTGGACTTTCCGGATCTGCTACAGCCGTAGATAGCTACCTTTTCTCCAGCGTGGATAGTCAGATTAATTTCTTGTATATTCCAGACTAGCTTCTCAGTTAATGGCGCGTAGCTGGAGCTGATATTGTCAAATATTATTTCTCCTAATTCCATATAAGATAGAGGTACGTCAACTGAAGATGTAATGCTTGGCTCTTAAGAGATTTATTTTCAAAACGTCTTAATACAGGCAATTGTGCCCAGGAAAACCTCGAGTGAAGTCTAGGATGTCAATAAATCAGTTATTGTCTGTCTTAGTGTGGTTAAGTTGAGGAAAGCCACTCTAATGACTCCCAGGCTTGTTTTATCCCTGATCCCTATAGCTATGCCCGCTACAGCTATAGATAAATCTGCCATGACAAGATCTAGAGTAAGTTGCAGTTAGTGTTATATTGTATATAGTAGATAAATTAGCTCCTGTGATCTATCAAGCTGCTTATAAAACTCTTGTTTTAAAGTGCTCTACCATCGGTGGACGCGGTGTTATAAGGCCTATACAGATTTCTATTAACTTTGTGTGCAAACTCACCTTGGATTATAACTTATGCTGTCAGAGCTGCTTTAATATTTAGAGATAAAAATGTTAGATAAAATAGATGGCAATTAGCAGTACTAGGAGTATTATAAGGATATAAACAGCTGTTACAACCACTAGTATGATCTGAATTATGCTGGTGAGTAATTAATAGATGGTGTTAAATAGATTCAGCGGCACCGATATATCTATTATTATAAGATCTTAATTGAATCAGTTAAGTAACTTATCTATATCTATGCCACTAATAAAATAAAAAGTGGTGTTTAAGACTGTCTCTAATAATTGTTGATAAAGCCCTATTCTGGAGGAAGGTACAATTTTGAAAAGATGTCTGCAATTAGATTAGTAGAGAAGTTAGCAACTATATATAAATGTAAAAGTACGTACCCCAGCCATATACACAGCATTATCAGCGGTAGAGTCTGCAGCATCGCATATAGCCCAAGCCAGTACCCAACATCTTGTGATGATGGTCCATCATCCTCCGACCACCATTGTGTCCAGATATCTGACTTTCCGTTAGTGTTTCAGAGTTAGTCGTGGTGAACATTATGTTTACTCACCAGGAAACTTTAAGCAGAACGCAAAGGCTATACCGAAAAGAACGAAAATCACCAAGTTTCCAGGCCCGAGCCCTAAAGTAAGTACGATACACGGTCCGATCCCTTATCCGAGAGGCAGGTTGGGATGTTTGTAGGGTATCGCTTTCTGTTGTCTTTGTAGGGCGTTCCTCACCACTATCCATGAACATATCTACTTCATCGTCGTTTTCTAGCGTTTTCTCAGCCCCAAATTCGTATGGAGACAGGTTACCAGCCTTGTCTAGCTGGTAGACTTAGGCTGTCTTTGTAGTCCAACGTACTTGAGATTGAGTCAGTGATGATCAAACAAACATGAACGAAAAAACATGGCAGCTTACAATCCTGAGTTATCTCAATAACAGTGGTTTGGAACAAGCGAAGAAGTCCAGTAAGACTAAAAAGCCGTTCTCTGATGTATTTTGCTGTCTTCCTGTCCAAAGCACTAAACATGTTGTCTAGAAAAATGATATCAGGTTGATTTGCAATAGTCCAAGCCAATACCTTTGCCACAGGTTTAGATTAGCATGAGACTACTACAATTGGCGGCATAATGCAAAAAGGCATACCAGTCTCTGTTGTTCCCCGCCACTCAGGCGTATTCCTCCACTGCTGATTGCCTTGCTGGATGACCCCTGAGTATTTAGCAAATCATTTAAAGTATAAGCATTAATAATCTTATGGTGCCATTCTTCACTAGCAGCTGTAGACTGAAATGCATTTTTGTGTAGTATTCTCTAGCTAGACCTCCTGATCATAGTAACCAATGCGAGCACTGCCTATATGGACGGTGCTAGTTAAGCATTTGACCTCACCCAATAATGCTTTCAATAGCAGTGATTTCCCACAGCCCACTGGGCCAGTGATAACTATATGCTCACCCTTGCATATAGTTAGAGATATATCATGTAGGCAAGCTTCTGTTGTCTAGCCGAAGTCGGCTTTTTGGATCAAGGCTGTAATTATATCCTATGAAGGCTCGACTACATTTGACTTCAGATCAGTAGTTTCATGTGTCTCTATAACTAAGTTATCAGGAGAATCAGAGGCAGTGGAAGAAATCTCTCAAAAGTCTACTCTTTCCAGTCTTTGAAGAAATGCGTTTAGACATTCAAAACAACCTTTCGCTATATTAAAGGAAGGAAGCATCTACAGAAGACGCACCAATAAAGTTATCAAGGGGCTGATCAAGATCAAGGTACTAAACAGTTTAGAGAGATCAAGATTCTGTTGATAAGGTAGGATTATTCCGATATATACTTTAAAAACAAGAACAAAGAACAGGGTCAACGTAGTATAAGCTGATTTCAGGATTAGTTTAGCTGCTAAAACAAAAGCAGCTGTTACTACTACTCATATGACAGAACACTGCCAACCAGCAAGATACGGAACATCTTCAATGCAGCAAACTCCTCAGCTCACAGTCTTTGTATAGTTGAACTGGCCTGTTGTTCAGACCTTGTGGTTTTTATTGGTTTCAGAGAAGATAGCATCTTTCTAGTTGCTGCTATTCTTTTTTTGGTTCCTGCCATCTATACCTGCTGCTGCTTGCCAGTTGACTTTCTGATCAACGTGGATATTGCGGTGCTCACTGTTTGCCGTCAGCACGATTAGTGATAAACATGAGAGGCGGACGTACCTAATGCTAATCCAAGAACTGTCAAGCTTTACGGTCCTACCTGTCGCCATAGATTGCCAGTGATGTTTCAAGTAATCCAGCCCAAACTTCGTGCAGGAACGTCAGGGATGTCGAAATGCGCTGCGCATCATTGATTATCAGCGTCAAAGCTTTAGATACTAGTTCCTTTTCCTCTCGCAAACGTAACATTTTGTCAAAAATCACATCCACCAAGCCGCCTCAAACCATCGTGATAACCTTGTAAGTTAAGTGCGAGTACCAGCTATTAGAAATCTGTGCCAAGGCCTGTGAGTCGAAGTCGAACGAAGTTTGAATTACTAGGCGGGATACGTACTGCTATGCCTCCGTAGACAAGAAAAGAAGCCCCTATCAACCCGTATCCATTGTCCGTCGGCTCCGACTTGTCCTTGTCAGACAAATATGGATAAGAGCGGTGGTGAGGAATGGCTGAGCGAAAGTGAACCCAGTAAGGCATAGCCGAGGCAAGACAGCCTTTACGGAGTAGGTCGACACCAAAAAGGGAGGGCTCTGCCTAGCGCCGTGACGACGCAAGAAAGACTCTATGTCAGCTCGGCACATCGATGAGAATGCGTGCAGGGATGTGCCGTGCAAGCGTCTTCCGTCGGTTTTCGCGCAGCACCGCGTGCAGATAGTATGCGCCGGCATTTCCGACGTGGAGCATGCACGTGTTGGTTTCGCCGGTAGTACGTAGACAAAGTAGCCAACGTAGATCAGAAGTGGATGACGCGACTCTACACAGACTAACGTAATCCACACCCGAGTGGTCACCACAACCGAGTGGTCACTTTTCTCCGAGAACCGCGCTCTATATTAATTATCTATAATTCAACGCGTTAATATGCCACCAATTTGTAATAAAAATCAATCAAATTCTAAGGAACAAGAAGGATGAATTCTATTAGCAATTTCTAATTTACAGAATAAAAAAATTCCCAATATTAGATGAGTAGCAAAGATTTATAATATTCCTTAGATAACACTTTTACGCAGATTGAAGAATATTTAATAAAGATCTCAAACACGCACTAATAGTCATAAATTAACTAAAAATAAAAAGGAATTACTTATAAAATAGATATTAAATCTAGATAAGTGAGGATTACCTCTTCAGCCTTTTATAATATAAGATATAGCCAATATTTTTCTTTCTTAATATAGAAATTAAATAGTTGATAAGAACTAGGTTTTTAACCTAGTTAAACATTATTTAGAGTTAAAAATATAATTTTTATAGAAATATAATTACAAACATGCTAAATATAAAGATTTAAAGCTAATTAAGGAGTATTTTAATTATATATAAAAGGTTATAATCTAGTATAGAATCCTAACAGAGGATATTTATAACTTTAATAAGACTAGTTTTATAATAAGTCTCTATATAAACGCAAAGATTATTATTAGAAATAATTAATACAATCATCTATATCTACTATAACCTAGTAATTAAGAATAAGTAACTATAATTAAGATAGTTAACTCTACTAGTTAGGCTTTACCCTTATATATAATCTTTAAAATAATTAAATACTTCTAGAAAGACTGGTTTAAGATTCTTCTAAATAATTAGAAGATTAATATAAGTGATAATAGATAAATAATAGATAATATTAGTATAAATTAGCTTATTAATTACTTTATTTCTTATATAAATAATCAGATTATTAGATAATATTATATATTAATTCTTAATAGCTATAAAAGTTATTTAACTACTAAATTTAATTATATATACACTAAGAATAAGATTATTTTAATCTATATATCTATACATTTCTTATATCTTATATAGCCTCTTAATATTAGCTGTTTTATAATTTTAAAATAATAATATAAAAAATTTATTAAGTAGTAGATGAGATTTAGATTTACTTATATTAATAAAATTAATTTTCTTATTATATTTCTAGAGGCCTATATAATAGTATATAAAACTAAATCTATTTAGAATAGCTTTAGAGTAATTAGATTAATGCTATTAGATCTAGATTAAGTTTATAATTAACTTACTATCTAATTAAAGACTTTAATACCACCTTTTTATCTATCTAGTAATTTATAATTGTCCTACTTATAAATACCTTAAAACCTACATCAATTTAAGTGTTAATTAAGTACAATTAAGTAGTAAATCAACTAATATATATGAAGTCTATCTAAGATCATTAATAAAGTAATTAGCTATATATTAAAAGCCTACAAGATTAGTATTAACAAGCTTCTTATTATACGGAAGGAAGTTCACGATTTATGAGCTGTAAATAAGAAAGAGAAGCGAAAACATATACAATCTAAAAAATAGATATCTTATAAGTAAGATATTACTAAAGAGGAAGCTTAGGCACTTATAAATCAACTAGTTGAAGTATTTTAAGCTATCACTATTACTCCAGCTAAGCCTAAACTTCCACCCTTTTAACCACATATATGCCGCCAATTTTAATATAGTAAGTGTGGAATTTTCGGGCATAGAAAGCCTTAATGCCCTAATTATACTAGTAATTAATTTTTTATATATAATTATTATTTCAGGTTGAAATTTCAGGTTGAAATTAATATAGAGCGCGGTTCTCGGAGAAATGTGACCACTCGGTTGTGGTGACCACTCGGGTGTGGATTACGTTAACTAAAAGTTAGCTAACGTAAGCAGTGAGTGGTGCAGGAACATTAAAGCTGAAAATCTCCTATAAGCATCATCCTTCATAGTAAGGAAATCTAGCCTACGATCATGCTCATGAAGTTGGTATTCTAACTTTAAGCGTGCCAAGAGACTTTTTGTTCGGCAAGCGGCTTACGTGGGTCACGGTGCAGGTGTGGTGGGGCTAGACTGTAACTACTAACAGCTTAAAATCATCGACGAGATAGTCCAATTTAGGGTATCGCCTTGTAAGATTTATTGTAAGGCTGGGAGCGGGCCTATGTCGAGGAATCGCCACGATTCCTCTGATGTATATATCACATGACTTGGTCACCCTAGCCAAGCCGTACTAAAGAAGAACCGAATCGTGAGAAGGCAGCGAACAGCTGCTTAGTGATTAGTAATCTGCCTTTGAATACCCTTACATGTATTATTCTATGACTCATTTTCTTGTACGGAGAGGTAAATATATATATATATATATATAAACAATACTTTCTGTAAAATAGAATCACTCTAGATGATGTAACACGCTTGTTTTCGACGTGAATTTGGTGTGAAAGCTCTTATAAACCTCCTTCTCTAATTCTTACTAAAAAGCTTAGATGCCCCCGAGGTTTGCGGACTTCTAGCTTGAGTATAGCGTTGTCTTTGTATGCATTCAGGCCCTAGGGCTAAGAATGTTACCTAACCTAGGCCATTCTTTGGATTTAGCTGCATTGATTCGACAAACCCTTAACTACGGAGGTGCGCACACAAAGTACGAAGGTGGGATTCAAAACTATTCGGAATACGCAGACTGGTAATTTGTGTGCTTTATAATACAAGTGCTTACAATAAGCTGAAGGACCCACCTCCACTGTAAGGAATGCCAAGAGTTATAAATACTAGTTCCCGGTAAATAGTCCTTTTCAGACCACTATATACAGTAATGTAATTCATTTTATAAGTCTATCCGTATTTAGTTACCTTATTTTAAAATGAAAAAAATGTATTCTTAAAATCAGATTATACGCTTTGATAGAGATTTCTTTTTGCTAGATTTATATATCTTTATATTTCTGGATATCTCAAATAGACATGTGACTAAGAATATTTTGGTTACACTACCATGATAAACTAGATGGCGCTAATAGTATTAGCGTTTCTCAATATTTTGTGCGCCCACCTCCTGAGAACCGAGATTGGGCCGTACTAAGTAATGCTTCTGCCTAACAAATGCTGCTCTTCTTTTGCCAGGCCAACTATGATTTTGAAGTGGCATTGCCCTGCGAGGTCTTAGTTGGGCTACAGAAAATCTTTTATTTAAGGGAAACACGTCCATCCACAACCCGAGTCGATACCCTCAACTTTTGTTTCAAGCAACAAGATGGCTGCCACAAACTTTGACAGTTGCGTTTATACCTCGGCTGGGCCAGTCGAGGCTGAGGTTTCTGGCTGGGGTATACCTATTCTTATCTTACACGGGAGTCCAGGAGGCATCGATGCCGCCCGGGCAATGAGTCAGTTCCTCGACAGGGACAAATTCAAAGTAATCTGTCTCTCACGCCCTGGCTATCTTAACACTCCGCTTTCTCCGGTCCACCATTCGATTGATGCCGAAGCAGATCTTCTTGTAGCGTTACTCGATGCTTTCCGCATTCCGCGCGTTGGTGTTCTGGCTTGGTCAGGCGGAGGCCCCGCTGCATACCAGCTCGCCTCTCGATATCCGCACCGTGTGTCTGCCCTAGTTGCCATCGCGGCCCCGAGCTCGCCCTGGATCGCACCCAAGACCCCTATCCTAGAGAAAATCATGTTCGGCACCAAAATCGGAGACCGGCTAATCAAATACTTGACTTCACATTCGCCCGAGCACGTGATTGAAGGAGCCCTAGAGGGGGAGGGTTCCCTGCGCGGCGACGAGCTTCATCTTCTTACCGAGCAGGTGATGGCTGATCCAGCCCAGCGCCAGCTCGTGCTTGAGATAGCCACGACCGTCAACACGGGCGGTAGGCGGAAGGACGGTTGGCAGAACGATGTCGAGAACTTCGCCGCTATCAAAAGTTTAGGTCTTGAACAAATCCAATGCCCCGTGCTGCTCGTACATGGCGATGCCGATACAGATGCAGTCTTGAGCTACAGCGAAACCGCCCATGCGCGCTTGCCACTCAGCTCGCTTGTGGTTATGCCCAGAGGTACACATCTCTCATTCTACGCGCACCCGCAGGCGCGCGAGGTTCAAGAGATGGCAAAGAAATGGTTCTTCGATCACGCACAAAGTTTTTAGGTCTATAGATGCTGCCACCGGAGTTGATGTCTCTTTGTTGATGCAATTGAAAACCAAAAATTCATTTACTGAAAATTGCAAAAAAAAAAAAAAAAAAAAAAAAAAGGGGGCGGGGGGGGGCGCCTAAGGAAAAAGAGCAAGTCGTGTGCGGGAAAGAATTAAATCCTATCCCCACGTTCCTAACAACGCCATTCACATGTCCCATTTACTCTGAGCAAACAGTGCGAAGACCACAAAAAGGGTTGGTCCATGCGCTTGCTTTGGGGGCCAGGATTATTTACGAACCCCTCTTGCATGACACTAGGAGAAACACTACTGTAAGACATGCTTAGCTAAAGTACCAACACGGAAAATGGGCATTGCCAGCTACTAGGGGATTACTATACAATGATAACTAATCAGCTAACGACAGCCGATAAAGCGCTAATCTGACGCATCACATTTATCGTTTCACACGTTGCTAGCTACATACTTGACAAGGTTAGCTATTTCCGTGGCGCAATCAGTATATAGGCGTATCAATAAGCAACGATATATTCGTATGCGCTCAATAAGGTTCGTTATAGGACACTTAATGTAATCGGACACCGAGTTCGCCGAGAAGATTAATCCCGACGCTTTATAAACTGTCTATAACACAGTGGGCTCCCCCAGCCGACAAATCAATGTGTTATAGATATAGAATCTATTATGGCGAGCTCACCAATAGTATTACTTTATTAGATTACGATGAGGTTTGTTTGAGAGAAAGCAATGGGAGTTATAACTATTCCACAATGTACTATAATCATTTGCTGTTGGAGCGAGCCTAGGAATCATGCTAAGAACCACTAGAAAGCTTACCAGAAACCAAGCATTCTAGGCATCATGCCAAGAAGCCTCTAGAAAGCTTACTACAGATTAAATTATACGAGGAAGCGGAGTAAGAACCGTACCGAGAAGCCGACAGAAAGCTTGCCATATAACACAAAATCCAGTCAGGCCCAACAAATGCATCTTAGTCTATCAGGGGTCTGATCCCTCGCGGAGCGTCCGTTTCACCTCATGCCGTCTCTACAGCTGATGCACAGTATATGGGGAATCGGACGCTCTGCACGTTTTCGCCAGGTTGCATTGCATTGGGGCTGAAAATCTGATTCTACTTCAACTTATTAGATTACTGGTCTTTTGCATTCATTCTACGCAGAGCTCGTTTCCGCACGTGGGGGCTAGCTTCCTGTAATCAGCACCACGCAGTCGGAATCTGGGTATCCCTTCTCTGTACTTATATATGCTACACCAGGTGTGCCTTGGCATACTCACACACACACACACACACACACACACACAAGGCGTGCCTTGGCTTTCTCTAGCGTCGTCTCGTCGAACAGGAATACATGATTCCTAACCTCCTGTCGTGATGGACGACTCGGACGTTTTCGACGCCTATGGAGGGCTCCAGACGCAGCCTGGGATCCAGGAAGATCAACATGAGCAGCAATTAGAACATCACCGACATGTTTGTCAAGACAGTGGCATCGAGGGCCCCACGCCCGCTGCTGCTTCCATGTCCATGAGGCTATCATGCGACCGATGCCGCCTGCAGAAACTGAAATGCACCGTACCTAGCGGCTCTACTATCTGCGCGATGCGCCAGAGCGAAGGTACCATGTCTCTTCAGCCGGAGAAGCTCCTCGAAACCCAAAAGACAGAGTAGTAACAAACCCCGCACCTCGACCACGACGCTTCCTCCACGGGCCCTGGTAGCCATCCAGAACCCCCCTGTCCTTGGAGATGCTGCAGTGCTTGGGGCCAGTGGGACACCAGGACTGACTTCTAAATCGTCATCGGCCTCATTGTCGACCCAGTCCGCTTACCGCTCCCTATCGCCGGACTGGAACTTGGACCCCTTGATAACGGGATCTGCTATAATAGACGACCCCTTCGGTATGTACTCCTTTGTTGAGCAACAAAATTGCTGCCCGGAGGAGACATATGGGACTGCTGGTCCCGAGTACGACAATGGCTTGGATCAGTTCGCGTGGCTGCAGCACAGTCATGCATTGGAAGATGAAAGACTAGGCCGAGCGGGTGCCTCACCACAGCAATCCTCCACCAACCCCGTCCTGCTGCTGGCTCCGGCAGATCCTTCTTCCCAACAGATCAACATCAACATCTATCCACATTCAAACAGCTATAAAGAAGTTTCTTCTTCTTCTTCTTCTTCTTCTCAGACCAGCCTGCAGCTTACCTGTCTGGTATCACAGATACAAAGTCAGCTGCAAGAGCTAGAGGAGGGCTGCTGGCAACAATGGGAAAGCAGAACCAACCTCGACGACCACCCAGTAGGTGATATAGTCGAGCTGTCGCAAGAATTCGGCGCTATGGCAGCGGGTCAAAGGATGCTACTACTGGTCTCGACCCCAGCAGCAATGGCCGCCCGCCGTCGCAATCAGAAGCAGCAGTGGATACCCCAACGGTGCGGCTCATTACGGCCAGCTATATGTGCATGATGCAAATACACAGCCTTGTATTAGACCACTTCAAGCGATGCTTGGCCAATATACCCGGGCCTAACATGAAGCAAGGCCTTGAGCAGATCGTCTGGATTGACTTTCACAACCCCTTTGCCTGCTTACGAGGCCGCTCGGTGTTGCTGACGAGCGCCGCCCCTCTATCGCGACGCCAGATCAGCCAGGATGATCCGGCATATGTCATCTACACGAGTGGATCGACTGGAACTCCCAAGGGTGTGATTACGTGTCATAGCAATGCAATAGCATATCTACGCGCCTGGGATTCGAGCTCCGCCAGGTTACCAATTGGTCCGCGCTTACGCTGGATGATCATGTCGGCACCGACATTCGATATCATGTTAATGGACAACTTCATGCCCCTTCTCAAGGGCGGCACCGTTTGCATTGCAGCGCGCCAGCTGTTACTTAGCAGTCCAGAGAGCATTATGCACGAACTACGAGCCACCGCCACATTCACAGTAGGAAGTCTAGCAATGCTACTTCGACCCGAGAGGCTTCCGACTCTAGATACAATACTAGTGGGTGGTGAGCCAATGGGACAACGTATCGTGGACAATTTTGCGCAGAAGCCCGGTGAAAGAGAGCCCCCTCGGCGCTTAGTAGAAATATATGGAACCTACAGAAGCGACGGTGGCGGTCACAAATCACATCTGCCACACCGATTCACGCCCATCTGTCCTTGGTGCTCCATTGCCCGGTACACGACTTGTTGTTCTCGATGAGACTAAATTCAAAGAAAACGGACAATGCGTTCTTGCGCCGCTCGGCGTAGCTGGCGAACTGGAGATCAGCAGCCCCCAGCTGTCACCTGGGTACCTGAACAGGCCTAAAGAGACCGCGCGAGCTTTTATTCATGACATAGAATTCGGCCCCTTGTACAAGACCGGTGATCGCGTACGGATTGTATGGACCGGAGACGGAGAGCCAATGATTGACTATATCGGGCGCATTACTTCAGACCAGGTCAAGCTAAATGGTCGGCGCGTGGAACTGCCCGAAATCGAGGACGTGCTTTCCCGGGCTGAAGTAGCCGCTCAGGTGGCGGTACTCGTCTTCAAGTCCAGGCTGGTGGCGTGCGTAATGCCATGGGCCGGCGATGTCAAGAAGGATGAAGCTGTGATCGAGGCACAGTGCCGTGCAAACGCAGAACGATTCCTGCCGACATGGATGCAGCCAAGGCAGTATCTTGTTATGGACAGGCTCCCTTATTCTGTTAACGGCAAGGTAGACCGCAGAGCTCTTGAGGCCATCATTGCTCACAACGAAGAGTCTGCGACAACAGCAGTGCTTCCGGACCAAAACAGCATCCAAGATTCAATGACCGTGGACTCGAGCTTGCGAAACGGCAACACTTTACACGAAACCACAAATGACCGACTACATGATGCGCCGTCTATTGACGTGGCTTCTGCTGTCCACGAAGCCTTGGCCGACGCGCTGGAGGATATTGATATTCAGGATTCTACCGTTCTGGCTGATACGGGGCTTGATAGCCTGCGTTCACTGGTTTTTTTGCAGAACCTTGAAGATCATGGCATTGTTGAATTAGAAATACAGGACGTCCTGAGCGCTATCCACGTCGATGACATTATCAAAATGATTGATGAGCGGAAAAGGCGAGCTGGTAGCAAAAAAGCAAACACAGTGCTACACGAGGCCGCCAACAGTCATCCTGCGGCGGCAACTAACGACACTGCTCCTGTCGTCCACGAAGCTGTCTATGATACTAGCCTCGATACGATGATCGATGGCCGGCAATCAGGTGGTATAGAGACATGGAACTTGACCAACGCTATAGCAGCTCGCGACCCCAATAACAATGAAGCTCACATTGTCGCAGCCACTACTTCTACCACCGCCATCACCAGCACTCCCAGCCCGCTTGTAGATGGGATCGACGTTAGCAAAATTGCGGCGGACGACGCTGATGAGATATTTGACCTGTCGGTAGCGGCCAAGCTCCGACACTTTGACTACCATTGTCGAGCACCCGCGCTCGCAGCTTTGGGGTTGGAAAGCACCCAGGTCGAGCAAGTCCTGCCCGTGACAAACGTACAGACAAGGTTTCTAGCACTGGCTATTGACCCTGAGTACTTTGACAAGACACGACTGATTGGGAGACCGCATGTCACACATTTCCCATACGCGCTGCCCAGCGCCATGGACCCTGCACGGTTTCAGCGCGCCGTCGACGCCATCCTCCCGCGATATGATTGTTTCCGTGCGGTCTTCACGCCTGCAGTGCATAGCCTGGCGCCTTTTGCACAGGTCATCCTTTCGCCTTCGGCAACGAAGATTCCGAAGGTGGAGATCATCTGTGACGATGCTGATGCTGATGCTCCAGAGAGTCTATGGCGAGAAACAATCAACGGAGCCCAGTTGGCTGCAGAAGCCGCCATGAGCATTGACCGGCCGGGTATCACTATCTCGTGGGTCTGGTCGCAAAGCCGCGCGCGCTGTGTCTTCATTATGTCATTGTTCCATGCCAGTTATGATGGAACACAGCTGCAGTATATGTTTGATGCCGTCCTCGCTGAGTACGAACTGCCTGGCTGCAAGCCACCAGTGGACGTCCTGCCCATGCGTCGAGCAGTCGAGTTGAATCTCAGCTACGACTGGGTGTCGACCGTCGCCTTCTGGGCCAGGCGAGTCGGAGGTGTCCCCGGAAGTAGACTAGGGTCCCGACAACCTAATCCCAAGGCTCTCCTTCCCGGATCACGAGCAGGGTACAATATGACACATATGCGAAGCCTCAGCGTCAAGGCAAGCATGACCATGCGACAGCTTTCCCAGGCAGCTGTGGCCATGTCTAACACGATGCTCACGGTAGTGGAAGCGGCGTGGGCCAGTGTCCTGGCACAGACTTTCACTGAGCAGCAGCGCGTCAACCCCCTGGACATACAGTTCGGGACCGTCTTGAACGGACGGCGGCATCAAGACTCACTGCGCTGTATGGCACCAATGGTGGCGGCACTGCCCTTGCGTCTCGTGGTGAACAATGACGGTACACAGCGACGCATCACCAATCGCGAGGTCTGTGCACTCCTGGCTACACAACGGAACGAAGCACAACCATTCCTACAACTGCCTTGCCCGACACTAGCTCACGCGCGAATGGGTACAGACCGCTTCGATACGCTGATACTGCTGCAAGCTCTACAGCCTGAGTCGAGTCGGCAGACATTACGCGAGCTGCCAGGTTTCAACTTTGACGAGAACATGATGGCGCCGTATAAGGAGATTGATGTTGGTTTTCCAATGGTGACGGAGCTGTGGCCGGGAAGCTTACGTTGGGACGAAAAAATGTTCATCCGGTGTGCGTATAGTACGTCCCGGCTTGACTTTTTGAACCGCGAGTGGGTATTGGCAGCTTTGTCGGCGCTGGACGAGGCTATTGTGCGCATAACGTCTGAGCCAGATGCGGCCTTCTACACGGGGTAGCGATGTATGGCGAGAACATGTAATGATTGATTGTAGTGAGGTGAAATTAGTCTAATGCAGTCAATCGATGCTCAACAATTGACCTTTGTCTATGAACTCCTATATTCTGCAGATTTTCACGCGTGTTTGGGTCGCGGTCCCTTCTCAAAAGAAACGCCCATTCCTTTTTGGCTTTTCTCAACCGCTTCGATTCTTTATGCAAGAGTAGTTGATTTATCTGCGAGCCTCGATTAGGTGTCTTGAATAAGTTTACTATGTTCTTCAAGGACAAAGGGCTACTTATACATTCTAGATCGGGCTTTTACATACTCTCTTACTAAGCATTGCTTTGAATTGAGATTTCTTGGGACTGTATACCTAATGATGTCTAGAAAATTGCATTCTAATAAATCCCCCTGCTATTAAACATGTAGGTCAAATATTGTTACCACGCAGCGCTCCCGAATAATGCCGGATTGTTCAGGCATTCACCATGCCTGTATTCTTGGTCAAACAATTTGACAAGCATTGCACCTGACTAGAAGGTTCCTAAACAAACAAAGAGTGTTGCCACTGCCTCCACAAATTTTTTCTTAGGGAACAAAGAGGTCCAAGAATAAATACCCTCCCAGAGTTTTTCTTATCCTTTCTTTTTCTTTTCTCTCCCATGCTTGTTTTCTCGTCAATATACCAATACCTTGCTATCTATCAAGCCTTCGCAACTGTTCTTCACACTCTAGTGTCTCTTGACTACCATTATGCCCAGAAACTTATCATGGATCAATCATTTTCAAACCTTGACTTTTCTTACGACTTTACGGAACGACTGCAACAAACTTAGTCTATTCCGGGCGGAATCCGGGATATAGCATTGGGCCTCGCTGGGATTCTAGTCTTTCTATCAATTATGGACAGATTCTTCGAAGAACACCGACGCGTCGACTGTGTTCGCCTTACAGGAGCTCAGCGCCAGGTCTACGACAGTCTACTAGAGTCCGCTCGAAAAGAGTTCGAATTCGCATTTCCAGAGACAGCAAAGAAAGAAGAGCAGCATTTACAAGGCATCGCAGGCAATGAAAAGGAATATCGCAGAGAAGTTCAATCACAGAACCGCATGGATATACTCGCCCGCTCTCCAGCTATGACATTTAGCAAAAAATCACCAAGACGCTGGAACGCATACCACACAGTAGAAATATTGAAACTATTTCTCTGCAGCGCCTATCTGCTTTTATTAGTATTGTGGGATGAAATTTTCTTTGCCCCGTGTCCGTATCCGCTATATACCATCATTATTTACATTATTTAAAGCTCCTGAGACGAATCAGCATTATTAAGATATCATCAAGTGTTAGAACCTCTCCCGTAGATTTACTACAATTATAAGCTTTCTTCCTCCAGAATACTTCTTGATCTATGATACCCAATAAGCTCTGCTTAATTTTAATGTAAACACCTGCTTCTAATCTTTATTTTTGTTAAATCTATCAGAAAAGACGAAATGAAGTAATCATTACTACTCTTACCTCCAACATCCCTCACTCTTTATAAATACCCGCTGCTTTCCATCATCTTCACCACTTCGTCATCAGAAATCTTTCTTCTTTCATAGTTCTACATCGCTTCGCTCCATATTTCGTCACCTACAGCGCATCGCAAATGGTGTTTAACGCACACTATAAGGCCGAAGCCCTGTCAGGCTTAGAGGAGGCTCCGGCATAAGTCACACTGCACCGTCGTGCAGACAGCGATGGCAGTTGGTTCATGCAATAAATCACTAACGTCATGATAATGGAAGAAGGGCTTGCTCAATATTGTCCTAACAGTGCTTGCTTTCCCTCACATACTTAATTCATCCTAGTGGTTCCAAGAGCAAATAGAACGAATGAAGAGATGAAGCGAAGAGAAAAGCCGGGGGTGGCTTTCTTAGGGTTATTTTGTTCACGATTTAAACCAAGGGCTTATCCGCGGTACCCACCCACTTATACTCTATTTCGGCCCGGAACTTGATATACACACAACTGACAATAAAATCGTCACAGATCGCTCAAATTTGTTCCAAAATCGACCGGAGTTTAATATATAGACTCCTTAAGCTTCAGAATCTTTAGCCAAGCATGCCCGGTTATCTCAATCGGTAGAGTGTCAGACTTTTAGTCATGAAATCAACCTATCCTTGACGTGTTATTGATATCTGAATGTTCGGGGTTCGAGCCCCCGATCGGGCGAACCTTCTTTTTCGCTTCTCCGGGTATGAAAACAATATTTTTTGGTTGGCAAATTTGCAAAAGCGTATGCAAAGGCGTACGTTTTCTCGGTTCCAGGCTCCGAATCTGATTGGTTGAATCAAAATGTATTGGCGTGCTCCCGCACTAGTGCCTTACTTTTCAGGCAATACATCCTGGGATTCACGCTGCAACAGTTGAGTAACTGAGTTGATTGAGCGAAAGGTGCCGCAACTGTATCAGGAGAGCCTGTCGGTTCTTTTGGAGAAATTATTTGAGTCGTACTAGGTAACTGCAAAGCTACTACGTCCATCATGAATATTATTTATCCCGGCACAAAGAGAAAAAGGCAAGGAAGAAACAATCTGGAAATCAGAGTCATATCATATCCACATAGGTGTAACTCTCTTCAAAAACTTCATAAACTTAAAAAACCCCACCGCATGCTCAACATTGCGGATGGGATCAGCAACTCTCTCAGGAAACGCAATACCTGCACCATGCAAGCCCGGAATAACTTCTTTGTGCTCATCCAAGAATCCACCAAACCCAGAGTCCCACTCAAGCTGTTTGTGGTCGTCATTTAGAAGTAATACACGGCCATTTCGACTAAGCCGCGGTAGCGGATTGCGCTTATAACCTACTGCGTAAAGTATATGCGTGCAATTCGGGAAGTGGCTTGCATAAGCTGCCGTTTCTTTACCCTTGCTTGTGTCGACTTTTTCAATGAATTGCCCAGCTTCAGAGACGGGTAGGCGCGAATCTTCAAGTTGTTCGCGTGCGAATTCCGCTGCTTGACCTTTCAGGCCTGTGTTGTCACGCAGAATCCAGCCATCCATGAATTCTGCATATCGAAGCGGGTGTCTCGTGAACCATTTCAAGCGTAGGTTGGGATGGCTGGTGCGTGCCAGATCAACCAGGTTCATGATTGCTAAGATGGCGCTGTGCGATGCGCCAATGACTGCGACTGTCACAGGCTCGTTCTTGGGCAATGCTTCGTGGAGGATGCTTGGCTTCAGGACTGTGTCGAGGTCAAGTTGCTCGATGGCATTGTCTGCTACGACTGGCTGCGCGGGTGTTGCTATCGGTGCTGAGCCTGTGCACAGAATGAGTCGAGGAGCGAATACTTCGGTATTGGACGTAGGGGAATCGGCTAAGCGAATCCGAACTGTCCATGTTGAGTTCTATTTATGATTTCAAAACAACGATTAACAAAAATGCAATGTGGCGGCTACACGAAGAAGGTGCTTCTTACATGGTCTTCAAAATTGGCACTTGTCACTTCACCGCGGTAATGAGAGACTTGTTTCATTTTGAGCAAACCAGCCGTAAGATCTTTACACATATCGGCAGCATAGTGTAAAGAGCACGTATCATCCTGATCCAGCTTATTCATAACCGAAAAAGCATTAGGAGTTCGGGTGCTTTGGACGATGTTGCGAAATGGTTGTACGCTGGTAGCATAAGAGCGAAAAAACGATACTTTGGTATTGCTAGAATAGCTAATGTCAGCGCTTGAATGCCTGAGGGGAATTTCATACTAATCCGATGGCTCTAGTTTTAGGACAGCCACGAGCATACCTCGGGACTTCTCGATATTTACTGTTTACACGTCCCCCATCGAACGTTGGGTCGATCCAGGCGATTTTGTTCAGCCCTAACTCGAGTAGGTTTCCCAGCACCGCGACGCCGGCCGGACCAGCTCCGACTACGACTGCAGCGTAGTTGTGCGATACCAGTCTGCTCATGTTGGAAAAAGTTGTCACGGATCCGTGCTACTAGAGCTCTTCAGGTGGAATCGGGAAATGATGGTATGAAAAGAAGCTATTCCGAGCGAAAGAATAATTGATAAAAGATTTGTATTGAGTAATTATCCAATTTTGTGATCAAGACAAACAGGATTCAAGTGCAGGATGACAGACGTATTCGTCCGCGTGGTCCTCGTGAGCGGGGAGGTCCGGTACGGTAAAATAAAACAGCGGCCTCGTAAGGTTTTGCCAGTGGTTTACCAGATTGTGCCTGGGGAGAACACGTGTGGTACCATACGCCGTACACCTTGAATTTGCTTCGGCGGTAAATATACACCGACATTGTGGTCGCATCGTTCTGGGGTGGAAATATTGTTTCCTTGGTCATTTCTCCATCTCAACAGACATTTCTCTCCCTTTGCCTTGGGGATCATTTCGCAAAATGGCATTCCTCAGCAAAATCACCCACGGCATTCCTTCCATCGCTCACCCGAGCTTATCGGCCGACAGCCGGGCTATCTTCGCACTGCGTAGTTAGCACAGCATGGACGTCTTTCATTGGTCACTGGGCCTTGTGTGGGCGGAAATCGCAAGTGCACGCTGGATATGTCGCACAGCTGTCACCGCTCAACCTCCACGGTTGGTCGGGGAAAGGAAGAGCCATAATTGACGATGGACCATAGTGAACCACAGCAAAATCGGCAGAGAGTGTCAGGAAGGAGCAAAAACGACGCTGCTGGGGGCGCGCTGCTGCTTTATATCTGGACAGGCCCTGGATGCGGCTTAGCGCCGGCCTTAGCGTGGATGGCGTGATTGTAATTTGTATGTGCCTGGGTGCCTGGGTGCCTGGGTGCCTCAGGCGTTCGATGCCGGATAACTATCACGGGCGCGTCGTAGCTCACACGGAGAAGACACCCTGCCTGGTTGTAAATATGGCAAGGAGCTCCTGGCTTGCTAAGAGCTGTCGAACATGTATCGCAAGAAAAGTCAAGGTCGGGATACTACCTTGCATATTTATCCTCGCAACCAGCACTAAATACATGTTTGCAGTGCGATAAAAACACGCCCCAATGCTCCCGATGCCAGTCTTCCGGCAGGATCTGTGGTGGCTACTATCAGGGCCTGAAGCCGTAAGCAGACAGTATTTCTATCAGTGGCCAGAACCATCCTGACGCATTACAGCATCCTCCCTGCACGCGAGGAACAATCTCTTGCAACACACCAAAGGCAGACACTGGTCATCTCGCAGTTCCTCGATGACTATCTCCCTCCTCAAACAGCGTCTAGTTCAGTATCCCGCCAGTCACCGGTCTACTGGGTCGAAACATTCTATAGTTTCCTTGACTCGCAGTCAACGATTGTCAAAGCATCCTTGTCTGCTCTGACACTGACTTACTTGGCCAACTCGCAGCGTGATGACGCACTCGCGTATAGTGCTAGGCATTATTACATTCAAACCACGCGATATATTCGCGCATTGAGAAGAATAGAACATTCCAGCGACCTGATTCACACATGTATGATTCTGGCCCTTTACGAGGTTTACAGTCACCCACCAAGCGACGAAAATGCATGGCATATCCATGTGCAGGCGGCCTATAACTTCACGCGGGAGTCAGATTACCAACAACAGCAGGCTCTCAGCAAGCATGACTTGCGTCGGCTTTGCACTATTGAAGTAACATTAGAATTCCTATGATTGTTGCTTGTGAGTTGCTAACAGCGTTTAGTTCCTCCGTGTATGTATCAGCGGCCAAGGCATGACTACTCCCAGGCTAGATTTCCAAATGCAGTCGTCACCCGATGCATTCGATGGGCTCTTGGAAATCTTGTTTCGGACTACTCCCCTAATTGGGTCTCTGCGACAGAAGAGAACCAACAGAACATCTGCGAGTGAATTATTACGAACGTCTGCATATAGTGAGAGAGAACTCTTGACCTGGTTCCATGAATTGCAATCTATGACATCCCCCATATTCGTTGACGCACCAGAAAGCATGTCTGAGACGATAAATTTTACAAATCCTTCTAGTATACCCCTTGTGGTACTTTATTGGCTAGGCATGGTGGCAGTCTATACTTCTATGACCAAAGCGCTACGCGCTCTCGCACAGTACACAAGTCCAAGAAGCCTGCAGAACAGACTTGAAAGAGCTGAGACGCTCTCCCATCGCTTTGCCAACCGTATCTCTCAATGCTATGCAGGATGTGTGGGAATGGGTCGTGGGACTAATATACTAGTAGCGGCAACTTCTTCAGCCGCACAGCGGATTTTGAGATTGGACGATCAGTGGTAGCTTCGTGGTATTTACGAAAGTTCCGCCAAGTATACTGTGAAACACGTCTTTGGAGCCCGGTTTAATAACGAAACTTTTGGCCCACAAGTTCCTCACTAACAGTCCACAGCCTTTCTGCATTCTTCGGGTCAACAGCGTACTCGGCCGCGTCGTCATCATGAATCTGGTTATTCACAAGATACGATCCATTGCTTTCTATAGGCTCGCCATTAAACTCAATACTAGTGTCACTATGTGAGGAGGGGGTCTGCTTACCTTCGATACTTAAGTCGTAAGCCGCCACGATCAATGTAGCAGCTCCCTGACTCAGTGTCCTCCAGTTCAACTTTGGATCGTGGATGATCTCTCCGTCCTTGTTCTTCCATCCTTTTTGACTCGTTAGCAAGCTTTTACCGAAAGAACAGGAAAAAGGGGGTGGGAATAACACACCGGATTTTACCCAGTCTTCCAGTGACAAGTGCCTTCCAATTCCAGTCACAATGCGACCTGGATAAAGGCTGAATGACTTAACGCCCCTCGGACCCAGCTTCTCCGCCAATGATACCGAAAAAAGCATATTGGCAGTTTTACTTTGACCATAGGCCTGCCACTTGTCGTAGCATTTTCCGTCCTCAAAGCCAAGATCCTCAAACCGAACCGGGCCCCTCTTATGTCCAGAACTACTAACATTAACCACCTTCATCTTCGTGGTATTGTGGCGCAGTCTCTTGCTCAAGATCAAATTCGTGAACAAGAAATGACCAATATGATTCGTTCCGAATTGCAACTCCAGCCCTTCTTTCGTCACGCCGTACGGTGTAGCCATCGTACCTGCGCTGTTGATGAGGACATCTATCCCCTGAGGCAAGGCATTGACTTCTTCAGCGGCTTTGCGAACGCTTTCCTGCGAACTGAGATCCAGCAGCAAAAGTCTGGTATTCGCGCCCGGCGTGCCCGCTCTAATTGCGTCTTCGAGCAATCGAAGATTCTCAATTCTCCGACCTGCAAGGACGAGGAGGGCTGGTGCCTGCCTCGAGATTTGTAGCGCTGCCTCACCTCCTATACTTCCGGGTGTGACGCCGGTGATGAGAACTACATTCGCTCTAGTCAGTCATGTCTCCTCTCTTCATGTTATCATTATAACGAAATAGCCTACCTCTGCTTCCTTGTATCTTGTCTGAGAGATCTCTACAGACTTCTTCGCTGGTGGATTCTGCCGTGTAGCGGCTCATGGTCGAAATGTGTACAGCAGTGAACTCCTTGAATGATGAGAGTTATACAAGAAAGAATGAAAAAAAAGTGATTCTACATGGCTGGAATGAGACTTAAATACCTTTCTTTTCCTGCTTGAAAGGGAGTGTTGAAAAAATACAGTAATCCCAGACGTGGAGCCCTTACAGGAAACTCTCGGTGTTGTAGCAGCTGCTATTGGCGGTCATCAATCTCACTCGGGGATTAGGCCCTAAACCCCGAATGAATACGTTCTTGAAGAGCGCTCTGTAAGACTGCGATTGTTAAATATTTCATTTGGAAATTAGTTTATAGCAAAACTGATAAACAAGCTAGGAGTCATTAGTATTTGCGGTTCTATATACGTAGTTCTGAAATAGTATCAGCAGCTTCAGATGGAAGAAACTCTTCTCACGAAGCACTGCATGGGCTGATCTTTGAAAGAATTTTTCTGAATACATATCAATCGACTTCCGTCAAGAACTATTAGTTAAGTCAGGATTTGTGTGCTTGAATCTTATAGTCGACGTCGGGCTGGCTGCCAAACAATCAACTGATCGCCCTCATTCCGCGCTAGATACATAGCACAAAATTCAACACCGCTGGGTAAGGGCGTATTTGAATTCCCATATTTGGTTGGTTCATGCAGCAATGTTGTCCGGTATCTGGTAGGTTAAGCGCATGTTTCATTTCCATACTTTTGCTGGCCTAGACTGAACAGTCCCAATGAGACTGCTTTTGCCTTTTGGTGCATGATTTGTAAGGCCGAAGAGTCATAAAGAACCGAGGTAATGCTGGACAATAACGAATGTATCAAATAGCTATTATGTATTAAATCAGGGTCCCATCATAATCATTATTGCTTTCAAGCAATATACTAGATAGTATGACAAAGGAAGCACAACCACCCTTTTCCGCCTTTTCTCATGCACATCACGCAGGAACAGCACGGCATAACTAGAGTCGATGAGGCTCTTCTGTCGGTCAAGCATTGCTTAATAATCCGACGCTTTGGCGATGGCCGAATCAGAGGCGTTCTGGTGCAGCTGAGGCTGCCTCCCCTACCAGCACGGCACAGCCACGCCCAGCACGACAAACAAGGCAGACGATGTGATGTCAACAAATATGCATTCAAGGAGCAAGGCTCTTGAGCTTACAACCCAAGGCACACAGCGAGGATATGGCAAGACAGAGGCTGACGAGTCCCCGACGACGGAATTGGTGGACTGAGGCAGCCTGAAACCGCTATGGCTGCACGGCATCGGGCCCATTGGCCAATCACGTGGGCCGGGCTGGACCGCCGTCCAGTACCAAACCAGCAGTAGCCGCCGGAGCCTCTTAGGGTCCTTTAGGGCCATTTTTAGGATGCCTTAGGCCCTGGCTCCCTGCGCTCCTTCCAAGTTGCTGCTCCCCGCGCGGGCATCTACGACGGACGTGCTTTCTTCTCTCCTCGCTCAACCTTGCCTGCCTCAGCTGCTCGTTCTCGTTCTCGTTCTTTTCTTTTTCTTCTTCTTCTCCTCTCGTCAATTGACTGCTCCGCGTCTTTTCCAGCACCCGGCGCAATTCTATATTAGCGGGCCACCGCCACACTTCCACCAGCTCAGCCTCATTTCCTCTCTTCCTTGACTCGGTGTCGAATCACTCGGTGACTGTCGTACCTGCGTCATAGCATTTATATGCCTTTTTATTCTTTCCTTCATCTTGCTTGATCCTTTCCAAGCATATCCAACATCTCTCTATATATACACATATTTACACCTTCGGATCGAGTCGTGCTGCCCGTGTCATGGCAATGCGTTGACTGACTCTCGAGCGCGCGTATCCTTCCTTTGACGTACTCAGTCGTCAGCCGCAGGTCGTGAGCGTGTCCACTTGTAACTACGTAACTCCATTATCCGCTTTGGGGTTGGGTGCGCACCGTATTCCCATATTAGATACTATAACGCTACAGAACGGCAAGCGCTTGCTCAGCCTTGTCACATCATGGCCACCCACGATCAACTCGGCCTTCCGCACGCTGCGTTCAACCAACAGGCTTTTGAAGACCCCTACTTATCCGGGCCTTCTGATCTAGACGAATTCTCTCTCGAACAACACACGCCAAGCGCCTCTTCGGTTGATCACCCGAGTCGCTTGTCGTCTAGATCTCCTGCAGACAGTAAACTTTCCAGCGATCCACCGAATCAAAGTTATGGATACAACGAAACTTCGTTTGATGAATCCAAGTTTATCAACTTTGATCAACCGGGCCTTTTCCTAAGCGACATGCTGTCGGGAACGGATGGCCGGTTGGATACGGCTCTATTGATTCCGGATCCCCACAATATACAGACAGAGGGCGATTATCAAGGGTTCGAGAATCAAAGGGCATCTCCACAGCTAGTTAGCAATGCTCAAGTCCAATCGGGCTTTATTCCGGTCCCTGCCGATGCTACTCAGCAACAACCAGATCTCATGTCGACTGGGATACCACAAACGCCCCAACCGTCGAGACTGGCAATACCGGACTCGGCTTATAATTATAACAGGTCTACAGCAGACCCCCATGCAGCATCAGTCCCATCACTCAGTCCCGTCGTGAAAATATCCCAGGTCCACCGTGGAGACTCTCCAACAAGGGATGATGATGAATGGGCTGGACACGGAAGCAAACGTTCGTCTGTCCATTTATCTACCACTCCAGGGTCTCCTGATGAGGCTGAAGGAGTTGACCAGAATCACGAGATTAGCGATCCCAATCAAAGCTTCTCTCCTTCCCGCGCTGAGGATGGGTCTTGGATTCGGGATACAGCTACGGGCCAGGCAGGTCTCGATCCCTATGCTCGTAACAACGACTTTGTTCTAAGCCCGAAGGATTTGGAGGAAGAACGCCAGCGTGCTGAAAAGGATGTCGATATTCGGATATGGTCAGCCTCCGTTTCTGCAGCTAATAGTGAGATAGGCGACGAATCTAGTCCCTTGGGACAGCCTCGAGGCAGACCCCGAGCGGTCAGCGCGGTTGAAACCCGGCATGACTATTTCGGCATAATGCAGCCCGATGACTCTTGCATACCGGGACCCGGGAAGCTTATATACGAACCTGATCCAGGAAGTGATTTTGAAGCTTCCTCTGAAACTTCACGTTCGGAGTCGCTGGACGGGCTGCCTCCACTGGAGCTGACTATTCCGAACGAACCACTCGCTGGTCAACTCAATCGATCCTATCCATGGAAAGATACTTCTCAGTTTCCATTGCCCCTTGCAATCAAAACTCAGCCAGAAAGCTCGCGAGCTGCTATGAAATTATACGATGATTTGACTAAACAACTAGAGACTGCTTCGCGCGTCGGAACATGGGGATCAAAACGACTCAATGACGCTGAGGTTGATAGCCTATTAAAGTCAGACAGCTTCTTCAAGAATCTTTCCCTCAACAAGTCATCCATTCTCAAGTACCTACCCAAGAGAAGTAGCAGCAATTCGAAGGACAAAAAGCGTCATTCTGAGAAAGCATCGCGGCAATCAAGCTTCGACACAGAAACCAATAGCCACGGCCACCACAAGAGGCAGTCCAGCGTCACATCTAAGCTAAGCTTGACTCGATCTAAAACTCCATCTGGTACTATGGCCGCTGCCATTGCAGGTGCCGGTACAATGGCTGCCAGTATTGGTAGCCATAACTCTTTATCAGCAACTCCATCCGTAAGTCCAAGGGCGTCGCTCAGTCCAGCTCCTTGGAACCGATCTCGAAGCAGGAGTGAAGGTACCGGGCCGGTGCCAGATCTGAAACCACTTGCGATATCGAACGCGGAGCAAAGGCAAAACCCATCGCAAGGGCTTCCCGCTCTGAATGGCTCGACCTTGTATGTGGGAGCTGACGGCGAAGATGATGACGATGACGACTCCATCGATGAGAAGGGTATATTCATGACGCTGGAACCATCATCGCAGCAGATTGTACCGACGTTTGAAGGTTTCAAACGGCAAATTTCTCTTTTGGATCCACGGCTAGAGCCCACTCTGCTTAATCGTTTCGCTCACGAACAGCTTCGACGTTATAAAAAGTTGATTGACGAACACGACAAACACGCTGCATTAGTACAGGCGGGGAACTGCAATTCTCACGAAAGATGCTTTGGCTGTGGCGGCCGCGCCAAATTACTTCCTCCCAGAGCCAATGCTAAGGACCCCAAGGGAAATTACTGCCAGTTTCAAGTACAGGGTCATGAAGATAGTGCGGATGAAGATGACTATGATGAAGAAAGCGACAAGTCTATTGAAGTTTCCGTTGTTCCCGCGACGTTTCCCAAAGGAATACGGTTGCCTCCGGTAAAGCGGCTGCCTGCTGAATTTGAATGCACGTTCTGTTTCAAGGTGAAAAAGTTCCAGAAGCCCTCCGATTGGACGAAGCACATCTATGAAGATATTTCTCCGTTTACGTGCACGTTTCCGCATTGTAACGAGCCAATGTCATTCAAGCGCAAGGCGGACTGGGTCCGTCATGAGACTGAACGTCACCGACACCTGGAATGGTGGGTTTGTAATATGCCAAAATGTGACCACAAATGCTACCGCAAAAACAACTTTGTTCAGCACTTAGTTCGGGAACATGCGAAGCCCGACCCGACGGCGAAAAGGGCCAAAGTGTCAGCAGGTAATGCGGCCGCCAAAAATAGTGCTAGGGATTTGGAAGAAGAAATTGACAAGCTCTGGCTTCAAGTAGAGGAGTGTCGCCATGAGACCAGCAATCTACCTGAGGATGAACCTTGTCGATTTTGCGGCAATATTTCTAAAAATTGGAGGCAACTAATGACGCACCTAGCACGGCATATGGAACAAATCGCTTTGCCAATTTTGCACCTTGCCGAAGAGCATCATCATTCCTCCACAGATATATATCGAACTACAACCACGACAGCGCCTCCAATATCTGTATATAGTTCAGCAGATTCAAACACTCCTGCTTCGAGTACCCATGTTTCCCGAATCAGGGAGCCGACAATAATGGACGATGGCAGAGGTCAGGTCCAGCCTATGATGCCCTACCACACTCAGCAATTATCGCCATCGATCAACATCGAAGTCAGCCCTTCAAGTACAACATACCCACCGGCTTCCATTTCATATTTGCAGCCCCATTATACTCCGGCCCATCGAAATTCCATGTCGTATCCGCCTGCGCCTAGCCCGCACTTGATGACAACCACGCAATCGACTACTATTTCTAGTTATGTGCCCACACCTGGAGCAAGTCCGTTCCAGCTACAAATCTCGACTATAGGAATTGATGGACCACAGGAGCCGCTGTATCAATCCCCGCAAGACACGTGTGTGGGTCTAGACGATTTTCTCCCGAATACGTACGAGGGCACATCAATGCCTAACTACCCGATGACAGCATCCCCTGAAGCAGAACATGATGCTTCAAATACGCATGCATACTTGACTCAAATTCAAAACAATACGTATCCACCCACATATAACTTCCAATGATGACAGTTTGGTGTGTTCAGCGTTGCCAACATGTTGCGGTCTGATTAATGCGATAATATTTGATCATGTGGATACGATACCCAGCTGAACCTTTCATTTCTTTTTTTCCTTTTTTCTTTTCTCCATTATTTCGGGTGAGCTATTTATTATTCATGCATGCATTATATAACGCTTGATTTCCTCTTGTGCTTGCTATTGATGTTATGACCTTACGACCTGTATGTAAGATAACACGATACGAAACGATACATAAAAGAAACCATCCCACAGCCTCGTTCATTCCGGTGTCCTTTTGGACTTGTACAGTCTATATATCGGGTGCAACTCCCACAACAACCAACCCAAGCTCTAGCCGGCTGGGCCTTGTTAAATGCATAATAAATACGAGGGCGTAGTCTACTTAAGTTAACAGTATTCACTACGTAAGTTAGCTAGTTAAATCACGGAAAACCCGAGAAGCATAATGCGTTCCTTGTACACATGCCAAAAGAAGAAAGGATAATGAGTAAAAAGAATTTGCATATGCGATGATGTACAAAATAGCTAGTTACAGTACGTAGCGTAGCGCCTACATAAGGGATTTCTGAGGAAAAGAGTTTTGCCCGGACATGCCGAAGGAATCTTACTAGTACCGTTTTGGCCCCGACGAGGTCTCGCTGCTTTAAATTACTTGGTATCTGGTAATCAGTAGTATTACGTCTTTGGTACTAGGTAATTAGCGTACGGCGTAGTATTGAGTCGGGATGTGCCGGTTGACCAGGGAAGAGATCATGCGTTCTTTTGAAAGGGGGAGGGAGAGAGATGGGAATTGGATGGTTCATACAAGGCTGTAACTATATGAACGAGCTTAGCGAGGCTCTTACGTTCAACGGAAGATCAGGAGATGTGTTTTCATTTCAGTTCAATTCAGAATAAGGCAAGGCTTAATGGCTGTTTCTAGTAAATGATTAAAATTGAAAAATGCAGTTAGTTCATTGACTCTCTGTCTTTCGTTCGAATGACTAACTACTACTGTAGTTAGTTAGACTGTGTGTGGTCGCCTGCCTTTGCCTCTTCATCCTTAGATGCCTCTACTTCATCTGTCTGCTCGTCCGAGCTGGGGCCAGTGCCAGAAACAGACTCAGAGGCAGACTCTGAGTCACCGGAATGACTAGTCTCACTGGGTGATGCGCCCCGGTCAGCTTTGTGGCCATCGTCGTCGTCATCATCATCACCATGAGCACCCGGTCCTAGGTCCGGATTAGAATTATAGAACAATTCATATACATAATTATAGAACTTACCAGGCAGTGCACCCTGCATGGCCGACAAGTCAAACGCATCCTGAATGCTCGTCCCTTCCAAGAACCGTTGATCATGCGCCCGAAAAGCCGGCACAACTTCCTCTTCATACCAGTTAGGATTCTGGCTTAGCTCGTCCCAATCCCAATGCCCAACAATTTCCTCAGGCGTCACCTCCCACAAAAGAAGGTATTGGGCGTCGTAGTAAGCGTATCCACGACCATACGGATCAGGGACACCGTAATGCCTCATTTCTCTACCCATGTTGATCATGGGCAGCTCCCTTGCGATTCGCACGTTGGGATTGACGACTGTTAGTGTTGAGTCACCCTTCCAGTTTCTGCTATTCATGAACTCCGTAAGCCGAGCCAGTGAAGATGCGAAAGATATAAACGGCGTGACATTCTCCCAATTCCGATGTTTAGCATGCCAGGTGAGCACTTCGCTGCGAATGGCGCCGGTGTGTAGTCGTTGTCGAGGTGCGCGCGCTTGCATGCGGTTCTCTTTGTTGGGATGACTGCCTGAACAATAGTCCCAGCGGCGGAGAAATGGATGAGTGAATGTTTTTTGGGCACCGTAGTCCTTGAATATATTGTCCGGGTTAGATTCGATTGGCCTCCAGGAATGGAAATTCTCTTCGTCGAATGGATTGTACCATTCGGAATAGAGGAGGCTCAGGGCTGTGTGTCGGTTGAGAGGCAAGTCCACGGTCTAGCTTCCGTTAAATTGGCTCGTAGGTAGATTCAAGATACTGTAATGGTTCTTTCACTTGAGTGGAAAGGGGAACGAAGAGGACGAAGAGAATGATTGAACAGAGAAAGGCCCGGGCGGGCAGAAGAGAGGAGGACAGCTCTAGAAAGAAACGAAGTTCCACTCAAGAGTAGTGATGTACTGAATATTCTCTAGATTTATGTTTTGCGAGGTACTTTTCCAGCCTTATATGCTTCATAACTACACTTCCAGCACATTCCATAGAATACAAGATGATATATCTATCGAACCATATGAAACACAATACGCTTTACCTAGGTAGGTGGTGAGTCATAAAGCCCAAGCAGCCTTCTGTGCCCAGGAAATAATATATCAACGATCAAACGTTGCTGAGATACAGAAGCCTGCATAACTTAATGGTTCCGCTGAGTTAGGGTTCTGGCGGCCAAGCCCTAACAAACGGATGTTATCATCTTCATAGATTTGTTTGGGCACCAGCAACCGTCTGATCTGAGATATTTAAAAAATGTTCTTTACTTAGTTGTGTCCATGGAATCAGTCAGGCCTCAATAAGCTTAGTGAACCAAATGATAGCAGTTGTTGGGTTGGTGAGTATTTTGGCGCTTTCATTTAATCATTCATTTCATTCATTTCATTCCTTCCTTCCTTCCTTCAATCAATCAATCATCAACCCCTCCAATCTTAGGTCCCTGCTCTGTTTGGGCGAAAATACACGGCATAGTATCGCTTCTCATATACGAAGTCCATGCCAGGAAGGGGGGGCGTGCTACATGAACCCGGGGCGCTTATTCAATTATAGGCTGAAAGCAGCCCGCAATCACAATGCACTGGCCATATGGGATAAGTCCTCAAACAGAGGCTTGACTAGCTAGATGGAAGGAGGCCTGCAGGTGGCGTCGTTACTCGGTAAATTTGATCCTCTGAGCAAAGATATATAACGTTTCTTACGATGGTAGATATCCACTGTATCCATCCATACCTTGCCTACATAGGTACCGACGTACGTAAACATCTTATTTTCCTATGACGCTCCTCGGATATAGAAAATTATCGTATGGTAAAAAAAAATCGAAATTATACCATTTCTACTATGTAAAGCAGGCATTTGGGCACCAAGAATGCCGTTAAAGCGGCGATCCATGCTTGCTTTAGGTACTATGCACACAGCCTTGCCCAAAGTAAGCTAGCTATTCTAAATTGAGGTCCGACCGGTATTATCACATCATGGATCCATGCATGGTGCTCGGTGCACACTGCAGGGTAAAATCACCCTTAGCCTTGTACAATAAACCGAAGTCCTAAGACTGGCCTGTCGGCCTATAAGAAGACGATGCCAGCACAGCCTCTCCTCAAAAAAGTTAAGGAGGTTCTGCTCGCAGTTTCTTTCTGCTTTTGTAAGCCAAGAAAGCGAGGGATTCTAGTCTGGCTAATCTGATTTCACTATCGACCTTCCATTCCTGTCAAAATACGTACAGCTCGGCGAATAAATCATGTCACATTAACCCATAGATTCATCACATTTATGACAAGGTGTTTCATCATGTTACATAGCTAGTTGTGCTATCCTATGAATCGACTCCGTCTATTTATTGTAGGACGACGTCGTCGTCGTCGTCGTCGGCATCTGATCATCCAGAGGCTCGAGAGTCACACGAGAATTCTGATGTTGCCCTCTGCTTAGGACACAATCATCAGTTTCTTTCGCGTTTCAGATATGGCTCACCGCATCTCTTCTCACCCTTGAAATCCTCCCTGCCGAAGAAACGAGTCGTCCGATGTCATTATTTTTCTAGCAGTGATATCGACATCCAAGGAATGCAAAATGCACGAGGAACGACAGTCTATCGCGCTCAGCGGAAATCAAAGAGCTGATGAAAGGAGCAGTCATGCAGAACTGCTGGACCTACAATTTACTGGGAAGCATGCTGAGATACTTGTTGTTACCGCAAAACCAAAGCATCATCAATTCAGGTTTGATGTCTGGGAAGCATCCGCTGATAACCAGGCCCCTTTTGAGTTCAACAGTGACGCCTGGAATCCTCTCAAAAGAAGGAATTCTATTGCCCCAAACCAGCATGCCCACCATAATGATATATTCAGCAGGCCTGTGTATAGTCCAGTCAGTGGATATCCTGATTCTGGGTATGGGAGCCAGGCTGGAGGAGATGCGCAGTCGTTGATGAGTGTGCCGAGTGCAAATGAGTTCTCCAGTGCCTTTGAGGATAGCGGTTCGTCGTATGCGACTCTCATGAAGGATGATCCGCTTAGATGCATCAAGTGTTCATGGACGGGCAAGACCCAATCACAGAAAAAGTCATTGCATATTCACTTTCCACCCATTCTGATGGTTAGGCTGACTCAACCCTTCTCCAGAAAGCATGATGCACGACATGCAAAGGCGCACAGATGCGAAGAAGACGGTTGTGACGCCGGCTTCGGTACCAAAAATGACCTCGAAAGACACCGTAAAGCCGTTCACAGCAAAAGCCCGCGCTGTGGTCCGACCGACCGATACAAATGTTTTGGCAGAAACTGCCAGCATCCTGATAAAGTGTGGCCAAGGCTGGACAATTTCAAAGCACATCTCGACCGCAAGCACGCCGATGAAAGCCAACAAGCGTTGATAGCTCAGTATTGCACTCCCGCTGTCTGATGGTTATCTATATACATTCTTAGCTAATGGGTGAATATTAGGTCTCGCGATTGGTACGAGAAATGCAAAAAGGAGAAGTCTTCTGAGTCCCTCGCTGAGAGGACGGTCGATACCATCACGCCGTCAAAGACATTAAACAATCCAGGCACATACTTTGATATTTTCCCCGAAAACTCCCGACTAAACGAACCGATCTTTGACAAGCATGACCCGGCAAATAGAGAAGATATCTTCCAGTTCACTCAGTCAAATAGAAAACTGCCAGGCTTGCAAACCGTATTAAATCCCGTAATATCCGAAGAATGCATGGATTCGACAACCGGAGGCCCGGAACAACGCATCCTTCCAAGCGTTCAAGCATTCGAGCGAGGAGTCGCGCTCATGCAAGCGCTGACGGTAGCAACATTGCAAAACAATGGCAATCAAGTGCCATCCCCGCTTAATGCGAGCGAGAATACATCCTCAGTCGACAATGCGGACATATCAAAAGATGTGCCGGGAATGCTTGCGGAAAAACTGCCCAATATCAGCCAACTTTCCAACGAGGAGACCAAGTTTTGCCTCAATGTGATATCTCAAATGCATTCGAAACTGACTCTGCAACAAGCATCATCAAAGTCAGGAACCAGTAGCCCAGGAGCAAATTTCGAGAATAAGGAGATGGCTAGACAAGAAGGCCTAAAATGTCCGAACTGCCCCAAATGGTTCGACCGACAGTCTTTGTTGAAGTACATATAACCATCACAAGCCATCTTTTTGTTTTTCCAGTTTCCAATGTTCAAATTCCTAACCCTGCCTGAAATAGGAAACATCAGAAACGCCACGAAAGGCCGTACGGCTGCACATTCGCCGGCTGCTACGGTGAATTTGGCAGCAAGGCTGATTGGAAACGTCATGAGAGTATGCAACACTACCACGTCCAATGTTTTCGGTGCCCTCTCCCTCGCGAGAAACGCGCCGAGTGTGCATCACTTTTCTCCCACGAAAAAGAGTTTATCAAGCACCTCAACGAAGCCCACCCATACGTCAGCGAGAACAAGGTCCAGGGCGTGATTGACAAAAGCCGCATTGGGGCCTATGACCATGAATCCAAGTTCTACTACTGGTGCGGATTCTGCAAGAAGATCAAGCTCGTCGAGAAACGCGGCGTGGAAGCCTGGAACGAGAGATTTGATCATATCGAAACACAGCATTTTCGAAAAGGCGAGAATATCAAAACGTGGCTTCCGGCCAAGGGGCATACGATGAAGGGGGCTCGTAAAAAGAGAGACAAGCTTCGAAGTGCGAATAGAACGCCGAAAAAGCCCAGGAAAAGGCTGTCAGAAGAGATTGAGCAGTCTGATTATTATAACAATGGGGAAGAAATTACAGCCTACGATGTGTGCTCGACGAGTGAGGATGACACTGATGTTGAGGCCAAGCAGCTGTCCAATAACTACAAGCAGAAGAAAAACAAGATGCCTAGAGTAGATCAGTCTGATAAAGAATTAGCTTGTGTGATTTGTGTGAGTGCTCTATCCTTTTCTCCACTCGTCTTTTTTTTTCCAACTAATTGTTCATGCTCAAACCAACTTTTCTAGTGCTGTTGCCATGACGGACCACATCTCGTTTCTGAGAGTTGCACGTCTTGTTCTCACAAATTTTGTGCTTATTGCCATGTTGAGAAGCAGGTTGGCAACGAAGATGATTATGTTCCGGGGGCTGCGCCATGAGAGATAGATTTGAACTTCCTACAATATTCAACATATAAGCACGATTACTTCGGACAAGTGGTCTGCAGTACTGAGGGGAATGGAAGCGCTTTACAGGGGCACAGTATCTAGTCGAAATCTATAGCCATAAGACTGATCTTATTGTTAATATTTCGGTCTTATTTACCACCATATGTGCAATAATCCTAACCGTATATCTATGCACAGCATACATACATCACAGCTTGGACTGCTCCGGCTCGCCAATCAAGCCCAAAAACGCCTCATGAACCTCATCCGTCAAATCACTCGCCTGCATACTCCTGCCCTTCGACTCAAAAGCGCGCCTCGAGCAATCCCTCGTAATCGCACTGCCCGCATAAGCCGTCAACAGCAGCGTCGTCGTAGACGACATTTTTTGATCCTTATTTTCGAGCTCCGATTGTACTTCGTCCTTGGTTTGCGCATCACTTTTCGAAGATGGGACGGCCTTCTCGCCCGTGTCCCATAATCCGTCGTGGTAAGCTGCTCGCCATGCTAATAGCGTTCCGAGTGAGCCTGTGAGGGTATCTCCTTGCCCGCCGCTCCGTTTCAAACCGCCCTGTATATCGGAAATAATGCTCGTGACTCCATTAGATATGATATCCTTAGGGCCCTTTTGAATAATAGTAACTCCGCCCAGCGCCTGGGATAGTTTCTCGCAAGCCTCCGATGCGCCACTGAGCTGTTTTTCCTCATTTCCTTCCTCCTTTTCGTCCCTTTGCACTTTCACGCCAAGCGCCTTGGCTAGGCGGCCAAACTCAACTACATTCGGCGTCAGGATACACTCCTTGTAACCTTTCACCAATTCCGGTTTCTCGGTGACAAGCATTAGACCATCCGCGTCAAGGATGAAGGGCACTGAGCGATTGCGTGCTTCTCTCATTACTTCCACGACTACCTTTTGAGTGACCCCGTCGCGGCCTAGGCCCGGTCCTATGACCAAGACGTGCAGTCTTGGGAGCATGTCAAGGATGGGGCTGGCGAGGGACGAGGGGTCTTTGTTGGAGTCTGGGTCGGAGACTGAAGCACTACTAGGGAGAATAGGGTGGACCATTAGATTTGGGGAGTATGCTTTTATGACCTGAAAGTGGTTTAGCGATACATCTTTGAATATTTAACAAGAAAGAAAGGAAAAAAAAAAAAAGAATCATACGGGTGCCGCTGATCTTTCGCATATAACATGGCTCTGGTCGTTGCACAAACTGTCAACGTATTGTCCTCCATTCGAATATCAATTCAGTTCCATAAATCGGCATCTCTCACCATATCACAGCCTTGATACATTCCGTTAGTCATAACATGTAAAAGAGAACACCATGCAAGGAGAACCTACCCAATCGCGCCGACGCCATGGCCGAAAAGTAAGGTGCGCCCGTGTAACTGCCATACATCAATATCTTTCGTTTATGAGAATGCAGACCTCGAAGTAGAGATGAGCATACTCTGCACTCCCGCCAATGACTGCAACCCTCCCCAATTGGCCTTTGTGAAACTTCTCCAGCATCGGGGGCACCATCGTCTTCACCCGCGCCAGCAGGGTGGAAGACGGCGTCGTGATGTGTACGGGCTTCATGGGCTCGTGCTCCATTACTTTCTGTGTTGGTAAGTTTAAGAAGTAGGACAAGGTGCTGGATGTATGTTTAAAAATGTATCTATTGATGGCGGTTGTTGGACATCGATATAATTATTTAAACTACGCTGGCTGGAGCGGGTGGGGCTGTTGACATGACTGACGTGTGATGTCACTAATCTCAACCTGGCTGCCCTGAGATCTATGTATGGTACGGAGTAGTGCTTGTAGAGTAGTCATATGTTCGATATCGATCGCTAAGTCAAGCAAATGAATAGGCTATAATATAAAAGCTCGTCTAGCCACCCTCTCAACCCGCTAAAATGCAAGAACAATAATAAAGAGAGGTATATGATGCAGAATCCTTCGCCAACGCCATGAACCGGTAAGGATCGGTGATGATAATGGAAACAGAGGCAAAGATAAGATAGAAATGTGTCCACGTATGATCTTTCCATACGCTTAAGTGTAGAGTGTACATAGTGTATACACCTGAGCAGATTAATTAGCGTCTCGACCGTGCCAAAGCAGCCAGTTTCTGCTTTCGCTCGAGCTTCGCCTTCTTTGCTTCTGCCTCCTTCCGAATATCTTCCGCGTCTTCTTTCTGCGCGACTCGTAGTGCTTCGTATTCTTCTTCTTCCATGTCTTCATAACCAGCCTCCATATCCGACGACTGGTCAGAGTAGTAATCATCGTAATCTCCGTAGAAGTCTCCTTCATCCTCTTCATCCGTGCCAAGGTATTCGTCACGACGAGGAACCCGCCGTCGATCGCGGCCCGCGTCGCCATGTCGTGTGGGTAGGTTCGACGTTCCTTTATAGATTACAGGTTGAGGAGCGCGAGAAGTTCCTTTGTAAGCATTCTCTCCCGCTTCTCGCTTCTTGGAAGATGCATCGACACCAGCTTTAGTATCACTCCGTCCTGCAGCGGTACCCAAGACAACACCGGGCTTCTTCCCTGGGCGGGGCGCCTCTTTCTGTTTGGTCATTGCCTCCATGCGCCTCTTTTTCTCCGACTTGCTAATCTTCTCTTTGGGCAGAGCTGCCTGGTGCTTCAGCACTCCGACTTTCGGTGCTTCCTTTTGGACCGCCTTAGCTTTAGCCATCAGATCCGCAAAAGAGCCCTTTGGCGGTGGCTTCGACGGCACTGCAGGAGGGGTGGGCTTAGCGGATGTGGCATGCGCTTTGATCGGCGCCTTCGGTCGTGATTTCAACTCATTTCCGTTTGTCGTGGACGATGATGAAACCGACTTTTCGGGTCGGCGCATCAGATCATCGGCTTTCCGCTTTGTGCCTGCCGAGGCATGATTATTGGTAGTGAGGCGGCTGGGGCCAGATGTTGAGGGAGTCGACTTCCTGGAGTCGGGCTTGGGGGGTGGAGAAAGTACAGGTCGCGAAGTTGGCGGTGGGAAAGAAGTCGGGGTCCCCGATTCTATGGACGAGAGAACCGAGCTGAGAAACTGAAAGTACACTTGTCAGTTTGGGAAGAATGAGAGAGATGGATGAAAGAACTCGAGACTTACACTCATTATGGGACGCTGACTGCCAAGTCATCTAAAGAGGGAAACCCCAACGACTGTAGAGAGATATGCGATGTAATCTTGTGTTTTATTCACGCCACCAGAAAGCAAAACAAGAAGACTGCATGATGCCCGACTTGATCGCGGGATTTGGCGATGTTGGGACCCACCAGGGTGGACGAATTTCTAAAAAGACTTTTTGACAGAGGTATTCAACGCCTATTGACGTTTGCAGAGCCTATGTGATTGCAGGTTTATCGAGGGAGTGCTGAGTATGTTGGATGGGAGGAAAGAGAGAAGTCTCAAGAGGCATGTTTGCCCTTTTCAAGTTTCTAGAACAATGCAGGCGGTCACGTGGGGTTTCCGTCAACGGAGAGCGAAATTTTGTCCTACCAGAAGCGCGAATGCGGTAGGCGGTGAGCGAGCCTTCTTCCCTCAGCCACAGCACGGGCAGTTTCTCGCTTACGGCAAGTCACCAGCCACAACCGCCGCACTTTTTCTTCTGTGGGCGAACCGCCGATTCCTTTCGATCTTCAATCAACGATCAATTCGCCAACACCACGAACTTGACGTTTCAGTCTCCGCCCAACTCGCGGTTAAATCGATTGACTCTCTTGTTCGCTTATTGAAGCATCAGCTGTATGTATTTCTCTTTATTTCTCGCTGCAACAGCAGCCATTTACAGCTCCTACAAGTAACAGCTCACTGATACAAACTTTTTTTTTCGGCGCAGAAAAACACACATTCAAAATGAAGCACTTAGCCGCTTACCTCCTCCTCGGCCTTGCCGGAAACGCCTCCCCTTCTGCTGCCGACATCAAGAGCGTGCTCGAATCCGTTGGTATTGACGCCGATGAGGAGCGCCTTGAGAAGCTCATCTCTGAGCTCGAGGGCAAGGACATCCAGGAGGTTAGTCAACCCGAATCAATGCAAACAAAAAACCACAAGACTGACATTTTATTACACAGTTGATCGCTGAGGGTTCCTCCAAGCTCGCCTCCGTCCCCAGCGGTGGTGCTGGTGCCGCTGCTCCTGCTGCTGGTGGTGCTGCCGCCGGCGGTGCTGCTGCCGAGGAGAAGGCCGAAGAGAAGGAAGAGGAGAAGGAGGAGTCCGACGAGGACATGGGATTCGGTCTCTTCGACTAAGCGGGATGCCCCAAAAGCGAACGAATCAATCTCGACAATTCCAAAAACTGGAGAGGGTATTCTGGAAATTAGGGTCTGGAGTTATGGAAGACTTTGTATGTTTTTGGCGGACTTTATATCGCATAAATGTTGCACTACGATGATGCATGTATGTATGCTTGTCGCGACCTGACCAGGTCTGAAATCCAGATGCTTAAGAATTCAATCAATTCTCCTTAAATTTTAGTCGTACAATTCCGTTGCTAGTAATGAGCCTGGAATTTTAAACTTCCATAATAAGTAGCTATTGAGTATAAAACGAATAATATGATAATCTCTCATCCATAAGAATTCCATACATGCTGGCAAATGCATCATGGTATACTTTCCCAAAGCGGTTAGCGCCAGGGCTAGGGCTCATAACCTAAAGCGGTCGCTTAGCCGAATATCCACCCTTCAAACTCGAGACGCCAGACTATCCCGCCCGCTTTGTAGAGAGTTACTTCAGCGACCACGACAACAAAATTTTCCCCCTTGGCTTTTCGATATCGCGACTGTCGGAAAGCTACCTGAGGAAAACTCCCAATCGACAAGATGGCTGACCAGGAATACGTATGTTTCTTTTTTATCTTTCTATCACCCTCTCTTGTCTCTGTTTCTAAATTGGAACATGGAATATGTTTCGTTGTAGACCGTTGACTGACAATGACTCTTTACAGAACGCCGAGGAGGCTGCCGGTACGTGTGAATCTCGCTTGTTGAATATATCTGCTTTGTCCTGAAAGTGTTCCCGACGTCTCGACGATATGGAATGATGCGTGGATGATGGATTGAATGATTGGATTGGATGGATGGCTGGATACCGAAAGATGTTGCAAGGACAACAAAAATCGCTGATACAACGTCTACTCGCAGAGCTCAAGAAGAAGAGAACCTTCCGCAAGTTTTCCTATCGCGGTATCGAACTCGAGCAGTACGTGACACATCTGTGTTGATATAATAATTTTGTCTGTGACGGGCAACGAATCAAAGGATACAAGTTAACACCCCCGTTTTTTTTTTTTTGGTACAGACTCCTCGACCTCTCCTCAGAGCAGCTCCGTGATGTCGTTCACGCCCGTGCCCGTCGTCGCTTCAACCGCGGTCTGAAGCGCAAGCCCATGGGCCTCATCAAGAAGCTCCGCAAGGCCAAGCAGGAGGCCAAGCCCAACGAGAAGCCGGACCTCGTCAAGACACACCTCCGTGACATGATTGTCGTGCCTGAGATGATCGGATCCGTCATCGGTATCTACTCCGGCAAGGAGTTCAACCAGGTTGAGATCAAGCCTGAGATGGTTGGTCACTACTTGGGCGAGTTCTCTATCTCATAGTACGTGCCCTTTTTCTCTTTTTTTTTTTTCACTCTTCCCATTTTGGTGATTAGAGAGGAAGCACTAACCTTGTTTCTAGCAAACCTGTCAAGCACGGTCGACCTGGTATTGGTGCCACCCACTCCTCCCGTTTCATTCCTCTCAAATAGACGTATTCTTGTTGCGTTAAAAACAAAAACGAAAAAAATTCGAGCCCCCAATACCAAGAGAGAGAAAAGCGCTATTATCGACCTTTTATTTTCATTTGTTCTGGAACCGGGAATGGGAATGGGTTGATCGGTGCCTTGTTTTTTTTTTTTCTCTTTAATTCTTCCATGTCATATATCGCGTGAAATGAATGGATTATGAAGTTCTTCATGAATTTTAAGTTATACGTATATTCTATTATAATTCCTATATACAAAGTGTATAGCTAAAGATCCAAGTCCTCGTCCCTCGCCGGCCTCGGAGCTAAACCCATCTCCCGCCTCAAAGTCGCATCCACCAAAACCTCCAACTTGCGCCAGTTGTGCATAATGAGGCCATCCATCTCCCTCCCTCTCACAATTCCATTCTCCTGACAATGCAGCGTAATCGCAGACAAAAACCGCATGGCCTCTTCCTTAAAGCTCGGGTTGGGCCATACTATCATCCCTTCTCCCTCTTCTGCACCCTTCTTCTTATCTCCTCCTCCACTCAGACGTCTACTACTACTACTGCTACTTATACTATTGAAGTCGGGCGTATAATAACGACACCCACTCACAATCCAATTCGCAACAGACCAAACAATAACTCCCAGATTCAACTGTGCGTGCAACAGCACATGGTCCGCCTCATCGACACTACGGTCCCCGTGACGACCCTCCCAAGCACAAAAGGCATACTGCGCAAAACCGAATGCGTTGGTGCGGCGCACGGGGTGGTTTTCGTCCGGATACATGCCCGGGTCGATGCGGAGGTGCTGAATGGCCGCGTTGAGGGTGAGATCCATGAATTTGCACGCCGTGTGCTGGGCGCCCATCAGATCGACGCGGATAGAGGCTAGTGGTTGTCGTTGACGAGACACCGTTTCCCAGTCACATTTTGCCTCGGAGGCGTGCAGCAAATTGGTCAGGCGCGTGGTGAGCGTCGAGCCGCCGCCGCCGACGACGACGTCGGCGGCGTCGTGGATCGGATGGTAGTCCTTGAAGATTGCGTCGATGGCTCTACCGGCATCTTGTTCTTCGCGAGCACGGTTCTGGATCTGTGTTTCAGGCGTGCTGTTGGTTTCGTGCGTGCATTTGCTGCAGTTGCATTGAAATTTGAAGCGTTCGTAGAGCTCTTTCCGGCGCGTGCCCACGCTGAATGTGCTGTCCGTATAAGGGATGAAGATCTGCTCATCCTTTTGAATTGGTCGGATAGCCTTGACGTAGCATTTGCCGCCGCGGTCGAACGAGTAGGTTGCATTGTAGTCGCAGCTGTGGTTGAAGCGGGCTGTGTAGGGATGCAGATAGACGCCGCGAGTGTTGCCAAAGGCGGATGTGAGAGTAAACGAATTCAGATCCAACTAGCCCCCATTAGCATTTTGTAAGAAGAAGAAAAGCAGGAAGAAGAGGAAAAAAGGAACAGAACACACACCCTCCCAAACACAGACGCTATAAACCCTTGCTCCAGCTCCTGTAAACCGCCATACTCCTGCACAGCCTTGGCCAACAGGAACAAATCAAGACCATCTCGTGCATGCTTCGCGTCCGGAAAACACAGTTCCAGAAAGCTCTCATAGTCATCTTTCTCCTCCCTGGAGACTTTCCCGCTGCGCTGGCGCAACAATATCCTCAGAACCGCGCGCACATTAAGCGGCAGGACTCTGGGGGACAGCCTTGCATAAATAGGACATTCAAGCGAGTGGCCCCGTTTCCAGTCTTTGAGTTGGCATGTCTACCTCATGATCAGTGCTATGCTATCTCATCATCTGGGCGGGTTGTAACACACCTTATCACAGTAATAAACAACCTTACACCTCACGCAACCTCTCACCAATCCCTGCACATCAACCTTACCCGGGCGCGACGTATCAAAGCACCCCGAGCAAACCCTCTTGAGCAATTTCTCTTCTACCGCGGCGACAAAGGGGGCGTCGACGATGAGAACGTCGTCGCCCTTATGTATATTGCCGGTTGCGAAGAGGCCGTTGCCTATGCGCTGGCCATTTGTGTCTGTGGCGGGCGCGATGCGGGTTTGAGTTTTTATTGCCATGTTCTTCTCCCGTCCTCCTTCTCTCATGTACGCAGGTGGTAGAATTGGAGATGGCTTTGGGGTTTGTTATAGCGAAAGGAGATGGAGTGAGTGAGTGGCATAAAGTCTGAAAGATCTGTCATATGATTGGGCATACCCTACTTACTCCACATGCCTTCAAGTCTCTATATAAACCAGCCAAACGGACTATCGAATAAACGACCAGACTCCTTCCTCAATCCTTTTCCCATCCATTCTATTAAAGACGTAACAACAGATCGATTCGACGATAGATATCTGATAGATAGCATATGAAGAAAAATAACTAATTGAGACAAGACAAGGCAAGGCAAGACAGGAAAGAGGCAACGCATTTTCGTTACTATTAAAAGGGGAGATAAGAGATATCATTTTTTCCTTCGCTCTGTATAAACATTATAAGAAAAGTATAGAGTCAAGCACCTTTTTTTTTTATCTTTACAACATTTTGTGGCCCGCAAAGTCGGACCAGCTGCGGACCTCGGAGGGGATGCCATCTGGTCGAGGGAGTTTCTCATTCATGCACTGCGCGAAGAGGAGGGCAGTCTAACAGGTCGTTAGCACTTGATGTATAATAAGATATATATATATATTGGGGGGGAATAGGAGGATGGACAAACCTTTGGTTCCATGAAAAGCGGAACGCCAAAATCGACCGCATTTCGTCGCATGACATAGTCTTCATCCAACAACGTCTTGCCCCTGTGCTTAGCCAGGTTGAAGACACCGCGGATATCGTACTTCTGGAACACCTCACGGAGGGCCCGCTTGTCCTCCTTGGGGAATTCGATAACTTCAATATTGACCGGGTTCGACGACAGCTTCTCCAGTTGAGCCTTGACTTCGGGGCTGGCGGCGTAAAGCTTGTAGTTTAGCGGGTGCAGGTAATCGACAATCTGGCCGAGAGAGTCAACATAGTCACCACCAAAGAGCAGACCTTCGCCTTGTTGAGGAAGGCGGAAGTTCATGGTGGATTGCAGAGAGGCCCAGTAGGCTTCAACGAGATCCTTTCCGAAACAGGCGATTTCACCGGTACTGGCCATCTCGACGCCGAGGAAGGGGTCGGCGCCGGCAAGACGGGTCCAGCTGAACTGAGGCACCTTGGTGGCCACGTAGTCGCGTTTCTCGGTCATGAGGTCGACGGGTTCAGGAACATCACGGCCGACCAGAGCCTTGGTGGCGACATCGATGAAGTTCGTGCCGAGAACTTTGCTGACGAATGGGAATGAACGAGAAGCACGCAGGTTGCACTCAATGACCTTCAAGAGGGGCTCGCCGCCTTCAGGGTTGTCGGCCTTGATGATCTGCATGTTGAAGGGACCGGTGATGTTCCATGCCTTGGCAACCTTCTCAGCAATAACCTTGACACGATCCATGACGGACTGGTCAAGCGATGCCGGTGGCAGAACAAGCGTGGCATCACCAGAGTGTACACCGGCATTCTCAACGTGCTCGCTGACAGCATGTAGGATGAGGTTTCCATTAGAGCCCACGGCATCGACGTCAATCTCTTGAGCACCCTCGATGAACTTGGTAATAACGACGGGGTGGTCGGGGGACACGGAACTGGCATTTAGGAGCTTCTCCTTGAGCTCGTCATGGCTGTAAATGACGCTCATGGCAGCACCGGACAAGACGTAACTGGGACGGACGAGAACAGGGTATCCAACTGCGTCGGCAAACTTCTCAGCCTCAGACACAGATGTAAGCTCCTTCCAGGCGGGCTGGTCGACGCCAATGCTATCCAAGATCTGAGAGAACTTGTGACGGTCCTCAGCCTTGTCAATATCCGCAGGGTCGGTACCAAGGACGTGGGCACCACCCTTCTCCTGCAGGCGAAGAGCGATGTTCTGGGGTAGCTGACCACCGACAGAAACCACAACTCCGCTGGCATTCTCGAGCTCGTAGATATCCATGACACGCTCGTAGCTGAGTTCTTCGAAGTACAGCTTATCGGCAGTGTCAAAATCGGTAGAGTAGGTCTCAGGGTTGTAGTTGATCATAACGGTCTTCTTGCCCATGTTTCGGAGAGAGAGCGTAGCGTTAACTGCACACCAGTCGAACTCGACAGAGCTGCCGATACGGTAGACACCGCTACCAAGAATGACAGTGCCGTGGTCATCAAAGGTGACATCGTGCGAAGAAGCGTTGTAAGTAGTGTAGAGATAGTTGGTGTCAGCGGGGAACTCAGCAGCAAGAGTATCAATCTTCTTAACCCATGGTCGGATGCCAAAGCCCAATCGACGAGCGCGAACGTCGTCCTCGTGGGAACCAACGCAGTTGGCGATCTGCTTATCAGAGAAACCCAGTTTCTTAGCCTTGGTGAGAATCTCCTTCTTGAGTCCGAAAAGACTACCAATCTCCTTGAGCTCGTTCTGGCAATCGACAATGTTTTGCAGCTTGTACAAGAACCACTTGTCAATCTTAGTAAGATCGTGCACCTTGTCAACGGAGTAGTTCTCATGAAGCATAGCCTGACCAACCGCCAGCCATCGGCGGTCAGTAGGGTTCCTAAGCGTCTCATCGAGGTCCTCAAAGTGGTCACCCTGGAAGCCTACAAATCGTGGGTCGACTTGGCGGATAGCCTTCTGGAAGGATTCTTCAAAGGTACGGCCAATAGCCATGACCTCTCCAACTGATTTCATGGCACTTCCAATGTCGCGCTTGACGTGTTGGAACTTGCTCAAATCCCATCGAGGGATCTTTGTAACAATGTAATCCAAACTGGGCTCGAAGTTGGCCGTGGTGGTCTTTGTAACGGCGTTGGGCAATTCCGGAAGAGAGTGTCCCAAACCAATCTTGGCTGCAGTGTATGCCAATGGGTATCCAGTAGCCTTGGAGGCCAGAGCGGAAGACCGAGACAAACGAGCGTTGACTTCAATGACCCTGTAGTCCAGACCGTCCGGTTGCAGGGCATACTGGACGTTGCACTCTCCTACCACACCGAGATGGCGGACGATCTTGATGGCAGCGGTACGGAGCATGTGGTATTCTTCATCAGAAAGAGTCTGACTGGGGGCCACGACAATACTGTCTCCAGTGTGAATTCCAAGAGGATCAAAGTTCTCCATGTTGCAGACAGTAATACAGTTGTTCTTCGCATCACGGACAACCTCATATTCGACTTCTTTCCAGCCTTTCAGCGACTTCTCAACCAAGATCTGGGGTGCAAGACTGAGAGATCGCGAAGACAAGTTCTTCAACTCCTCGCGGTTGCCAGCGAAACCAGAGCCGAGACCACCCAGGGCATAGGCAGACCGCACGATAATGGGGTATCCAATCTTATCAGCAGCTTCCAGAGCTTCATCGACAGTGTTGCAAGCAATGGATTCTGCGATGGGAATGTTAATTTCGTTCAACGCCTTGGAGAAGAGGTCACGATCCTCGCTCGTCTCCAGCGTCCTGATGCTAGTACCCAGGACCCTGACGCCGTATCGCTCGAAGATACCCATGCGGTTCATCTGCACGCCCAAGTTGAGTGCTGTCTGGCCACCAAAGCTGAGGAAGATGCCATCTGGTTGCTCTCGTTCGATCACGTGAGTCACATACTCCGGGGTGACAGGCAAGTAATACACCTCGTCGGCCAACTTGTGGTCGGTCTGAATAGTGGCGATGTTGGGGTTGATGAGAACGGACTTGACGCCAGCTTCTTTAAGGGCTTTGAGCGCCTGGGAACCTGGACGATGTCAGTCAATACCCATGCTGCAATGTATGCCTTACATATATATATATATATATATGTTCCAACGAACCTGAATAATCAAACTCCCCAGCCTGTCCAATACTCAAGCCACCACTACCAATAACCAACACCTTCTTCACATCGACCAGATCCGGGGACTGGCCAACCGCGCCACTGGCCAGGTAGGATTTAGCATCGGGGGCAGCATCCTGGGCCAACCTGTGCAGACAAGCGGAGAACAAACGGAGCTGGTGAGATGAGCGGAGGGAGGCAGTAGCGGCCCGTTGCTTCAGACCATAGCCACCAGCAGCAGCAAGTGATCGAGGCGTTGTAGATCTGAAGGAGGTCGAGAAGGAGCGGTGGAGAGTCGCCGCGCGAGACTCAACGAGGCATCGTTGTCGGAGGAGAGACGCCGCCTGCTGCCCGCAGCGAGCAGAGAGAGCCATTGCGCAATGCGCAGCTGGAGTTGTTAATCAGATTGTTCCTTCACAATTCACAATCGAGATCGAATTGATACATATGATGAAGAGCAAGCAGGGGAGTAGGGAAGCAATTGTGTTTTGTTTCCCTCGCGCCTCTCAAGCAATTGGGAACGACGCCACACAAACAGAGCAGAAACAGAGACGACAGACTTACAGAATACCGACCAGGAAGAAGTATGAGTCAGGGAGAGCTGGGACTGACTCACTCACACGCAGAAGAGAAGACAAAAAAGTTGTATCCCAGAATTCTTTGGGGAGCGCCAAAGCGCACTAGCGGCAGCCACGGCCAACGTGATTCGCTCCGCTCCGTCTCCGATAAGAGCTCCGGTGTGCGGAGCGGAGCCAAAAAATATTTTCTAGTGAGTCAGATCTGCAGAGGATGGCTAGTTAACTAGAGAGTAAGTGGTCATTATATTATTATTGTATTATACAAATTGCTCTACGACTCTACTAGGAAAAAGTGTCTATCTCACTGCCAGACTCGCATAAGGATCATCTAGATATACGTAGGCGATGTATACAGCCCGATAAAGCTTCCCCACGAGTTCTCAGGAATGTAACCAATGCACTAGCTGTACATATATATATTATTATAGTGTATGTATTAGTCAGTTCTATATGCGGTGCTTCCTATTCGCTGAGCACTACTATGCAATCCAGCTAGCTACTCGACTCGTCCACTGAGCGCTGACCATGGACCCCTACCACCGGCTGGCTGCTGCTGCGTCTCATTCAGACGCCTAGCTCTGGCTTTTCGAGGCTGCACTTCCGCTGTCCAGATATCGTCCAGATGATGGGCATCTTCTGCGGTCTCGCCGTCATGGGGATTCCGTTCTTGATGCAAAAGATCGTAAACCTGCTGCAGCGTCTCAGAAGCTGTGTCTGCCATTTCCGCGCCGTGCTCGAGTCTCTGTTCCACATAATCATTCTCGCCGGACCGCGCCGCGTCAGCAGCAAAGGCCCACGCCTGAGCGTTTTGGAGGGTATCGTCGCGGTTGGGTTGTCGTGGTCCGGATCCAGTGGTAGAAGAAGGAGTAATGTGCCTGAATTTTGACTGCCGTGCCAGAATGGGATATTCGGGAAGGAGGTGACTCTCCTGGCTTAGCCGGTCAAATGCATGCTTAATATTGGTCTTCTCCTTGGTCAGCATGCCCGTCAAGTAGGAGCGCTGGTGAGCTAATGACTTCTGGTATTTAGCTGCAGGGAGTATGTGCTCAGACACGGTCCTGAAAGCGTCGATTGCACTGTAATCCTGTATAGAATCGTCCGAAGATCTCTGCGGGGGCTTCTTCGAAGGCTCTTCTAATGCCGCACTTCTGGTAGGCTGGGACAAGAGCGATACGGCGTCGAGCAGCGATCTGCGGGCTCCCACATAAGCTGCATATTGTTCTTTGATTTGTGTTTTGCGCTCAGCAATGAGCTGCCATGTCTCCGCCGTGTTCGTGTCATCGGTGTATCGTTTCTCGTGATTCATAACATCATCTTCCGTGCTTGTCGTGATAGCCAGTTTTTCCTCCACCCACTGCACAAGCGTATCTCGCGTGCGGCCAAGTGCGATTGCTTTATTTCTGCTGTCAAGCAAGCCATTGGCCTGTTGTTCTCTCAATTGCTGGAGCAGATGCTGTTCTTTGACGAGCTTCGCCTTGGCTCTGACCACCGCTCTTTCCAGTTTAGATATCAATGCCTGGACATTGTCACCCGACTCATCTGCCGTTTCATAACCATTGCCCTTGAAGATCTTGTCAAGATCCGCCCGCGCAGTTGAGCTATTACTTTGGTGCTGTTCTTCAGGGTCAGCCGCCGAAGCCAACTCCCTCAGATGGGCGTCGAACAGCTGTAACTTTTCGTGGCGACGGCGTTCCCGCAGCAAAGCCAAATAATCACTCAACACGGACGAATGCGTGTCGACATCAATACTGCCCGAAACTGCAGGTTTTGACGGGCGAGCGTTAACCTGGCCATTCAGAAGCTGCCTCGATGTAATTTTCTCGGACAGATCATTGTACTCCCTTTTCACGGCAATATTCTCCTGCAGGGCTTTCAGATACTCCCTCCGCACGCCGGCGATCTCGGACGGGATTCGTTTGACGGTTACGGACGCGTTGGCGGGAAGGGTGAGGGCGGGGTGGGACACAGTTAAATCGCCATCGCTGTTGTTGTAGCTGTTGTTATCTTCCGAGACAATGTGGGATTGCAGGTACAGGGTCAGGGCCTGGCGGAGACGGAGCGCATCCTGGCGCGATCGAAGATAGGGAACAAGCGGTTTGGCGGCGGGTGGGATAGCGGAGTCTACATCTTTGGCATCTTCTTGGGTCATGTTGGAGATGGCTTCGTTTGTCGAGTGGCCGAACGCAATCACGGATTGGGGTGGCCTACATAAGGCTTGGCATGTGGCACGTGATGATGTCTGATCAATCAGTCAATGTCAGAACAAGCGATGCATCATCTCTGTCTGTCTGACTCTGCATCAGCACGGCGAACTGCGAACAATCTCCGCGATTGTGGCTGGTGAGGCGTGCGCTGGCGATGCCAACACATGCATCCATCCATCGACTCGACCGGTCACTTCGAGCAGAGAGATTGCAGTGGGCCAGCGAGTTGTGGTAGGGTAATGCAAATACCGGTTTTTTTCACGTTTTTGCTTGTTTTCTGCCCGTGAAATTTCGCGCGACCCTGTATTTAAGGTTTTGCGCCGGTAATTTGGCCGCGGTGATTGGCTCGATGGCGAGGATCCGCTCTCGCAGGCACGGGAGCGTGATTGGCTAATGTCCTTCGTTGTTTGCAAGATTTCATCATTTCAGAATAATACCATCAATTTCAACTTTTCAAGCGTCGAGACGATACTCGCTTGTAGGTATAGGTATAGGTATAGCTAGTAGGTAGACGAAGGGCTAGCCACACACGCTATCGATCCACTGCATGGTGCACGTGCATAAGACGAGTCCGCCGGCACGGAAGAAATAAATATACCATGGCTTGTGAATGAGAGGTAAAAAACATCGTAAAATGAACCCCGTCGCAGGCTGGGATCCGCCCGACCCGCGCGCCAATCAGCGCCCGCAGAGCCCATCCCATCTTCAACCCGGTCGCGGCGCATGCGAGCTAATCGAGATCAAGAGCAAATTTACACCGTGAAACACAGACTTGCTCACCCACGGAGATCAATGTAAAATACGCCTTCCCCACCAGCTAAGCCCTGCCAATGGATTTAATACGACCTGTTGCCCTCTGCCTTGGATTGTGAATTCATTTTTTTATAAGAAAGCCTCTCGTTGCGTCGATGACGGTATATTTATAGACACACACACACACACACACACACTGCCGTTTTCGACCAGCCGTTGGGCGACCGCATCGGGACCGTGCAGATCCCGCGCCTATATTAATCACAATACAGCAACAATCGCTTCGTCTCGTCTCTCGCACGGCACCTTGCATGTCTTCTTCGGCCGATTGAGAATCTCAGAGAACAAAGAACGCCAAACACCAAACACCAAACACCAAACAGCATGGCCGCGTTAACCGAGCGCTTCCAGGGCCTGCGCCGCCCTGGCGCTTCCCTGCTCAAAAAGGGTCTTCCTTCACGGCCGGACGAGCCCGTGATTACTCGCAAAGCTGTGCCTCCCCCCAAAGTTACTGTCGAACAGCCTGTTGTCGCGCCGCCGCCCCAGAAGGGTCTTCCGCCGGCTCCCGTGTCTCCCCCGCCATCCTCCACGCTTCCGCCCACTCCATCGGCTGCTTCTGAAGTCTCGTCGCCGGCCTCTGCTGCGACTACCGTCACGCCTTCCACTGCGCAGTCGCAGCCACAGTCCAGCCGACCGCCGCGATCTACCTCGCTGAAGAAATCGCAGCCCGCCGCCGCTGAGCAGCGACCTCAGCACCGACTCGTTGCACACCTCCAAGTCAATAACAACAGCCCTCAACAACGCCCAATCAGCGAAGCCCCCTCAATCTCGCAATTCATCCCAGACCCCGAACCAGAACCCGACTTTGACGCGGCCGAGTTAACCGTTACCGCCAACGACTTCGCCAGAGGAGGTGGTGGTAGCAGTGGTGGTGGTGGTGGTGGTGGTGGTGGCGGACGCTCCGAAACCTCGGAAAACTCCAGCGACCAACAGACCCCGTCATCCTCCACCCACAGTAATGGCAGCGGAATCTCATCCAGCATCTTCAAGAACTACCCGGACGGCTATGTCCCGTCCATCCCAGAGACAATCGTCATCCCGCCCCTGACGCCCGTCCACTACGCGTGTTTCCAGTCGCATGCCAACATGCCTGCGGCTAGTAACATGTGGTACGCGACGGCGTGCATGACGTGCAAGAAAGTTGACCAGGAGGTCCGGCATCGCTGCACGTTCTGTTGCATGCGAATTTGTGCCCCGTGTTTTGAGCGCTTGCAGAAGTGTAAGGGCAGGGGGTTGAGGGAGTTGATGTCTACACTATAACTCTCCCTCTGTTGGGTTCTTTTCTTTATTCGTATTTAATGGGTTTCCGGCGTTGTTTGCTATAGATTGAGGGCATTCCTTGCTACGTTCACTGTGTTTTCCTTGATTCAGATCCTTCATTACTTTTCATCATATTCGAACCGACCTGACTTTTATTTCTTGTTTGTCTTATTCTTCTTCTCTTCGGGATCGTTTGATTATCATGAAATATACCCCGGACCTTGTTGCTGCCCCTGTGATATGATGCATTTCTTTGAGAACTAGTTGATATTTAATAATACTTTATCTATACTACAATATTATACAATATATACATAGCCCGTCCGAAGCGAAAGTATGGTCAATCGTGATCCTCCTCCGTCAGACCAGGACACCCCTCCATGCCCGCCTCGTCATAGCGATACTTGCACCAGAAACAATACCAATACTTCTCGCGCATATATGCCACCAATCGATCCAGCCGAGCCGATGCAGGCAGCGCATTGAACTCGTTGAGTTCTTCGTCTTCTTCCGTTGCATCTGCGTCTGTCTCTTGTTCCTCGAATGTGATGTTCTCTTCTGTATCTTGCAGGGCGTGTGTTTTATTATTGCCGCTGCCATCGTCGTCATCTTCATCTGCTGGATTGCTATAAGACGGTAATCGCGGCTTGGGAAAAAACGACGCCGCCGCCGATGATGTAGACATTGAATTCTCGAATATCGCGCGCACCAATCTGTCGCGCTCTTTTTCCTCGCGCTCTCGCACCAGACCTCGGTATAGCACGTTGACTTGCGACGTGGGCTTTTTCTTCTGCTTGTGCTTCTGCTTCTTTTCATCCTCACCACCGGAATTTGTAAGTTCATCTTCACAATCCAGCTTCTCAGCAACCTTCTGCGCCGCATGAACCTGCGCTTCTAGTCGTCTTTCCTCTCTCTCCGCGCGCATCCGCTCCCGGTATTCACCTTCCTCTGCCTTGGCGCGCGCATTCTTCGAGACCAGCTCGTCCGCCTCGGCGCGGAACTTGCGCTTCTTCTCGCTGTCCAGTCCGATTCCGCCGCGGTCTTCTTTGACGATGAGCCGGAGCGGTTCGGCGCGGGATTGGATCCAGTCGTTGATCTGCGTGCCTGTTGTTCCCTCTGTTTGTTTCTTATCGTTATCATTGTCATTGTCATTTGATACTATTGTGCTGTCCTTTCGTGGTGTCTGTGGCTGTGGCTGTGTCTGTGTTTGCGGTAAAGCCTTCTTCCCCAGGGCATCCCCCGCCTTGAACCCCAGTTTGGCCATCATCTGAAATCCCTTGTTGGCCGGGTCGAGCACGCTGGCGGACAGCGCATGTTCACGTCGTGTGACCTCGGCAGCCGCCCGCTCGGCTTTGGATGGGATGCGCGCTTTTGCCTCGGACTGTTATAGTTTTATATCAGAAACAAAAAGGAGGGGTCACTTAATAAGGAGAGAGAAGGGGGGAGTACTTCGCGCTGTTTCCGCAGCTTGCGCTGGGTCAGGGTCTCGCGCTGTTGGGTGGGCTCTTCGATGATCATGGACATGTAGTCGTCCTCGTCCTCATCCCCGTCCCCGGCGCCATCTCGCGCGTGATTGGGAGGCATGTTGGCTATGCTGCTGGCAGGAAAGCAGAGGGAGGAGTGCGGTGCTTCGTGCGGGGATCCGGCAGAATAATTAATTCGAGAGCTCAGTTCTGGCTTAGTCAGCCGTGCCTAGCGACCGAACAGGAACAAACTCCAGCTGTACCCCAGACTGACGACGAGCGAATCCCTGCCATGTCCCCCAGCTTCCCCGGATTCGAAGGCCGTGGCTATGATTCCTCGATTGCGTGGTACGTGTGTACGTGTATTCATGTGTATGTGTGAGTGTGTATGTGTAAGCCGGCATGCACAATACATACATATACAAACATACGTATACATATATCTATCACCGCCCCAATAGCAAGACCATGATATAAACAACATCACCGATACAATGAATCCTACCGATCATTTACCACCTACTGGCATCATCCTATTCCATCATGCGCACGGCCGCATGATTACACCGACTCTTTGTATCACCACAGGATTGTCGCCGGCGCCAAAACAAGACCCGAACGTCACTGCGTTGACTCAAGCTTTTTTAGCCAGGCTCACCAAGTCTTAGCTCACGTCTTAATCTATCTACATCCATATCTAGGTATCAAAACATCTGCTTTACGCTGGAATTAGTCTCTGGAAAGACAAGGAAGAGATACATCAATGGATGTCTCAATATGGCTGTGCTACATACTAGTAGTAGTGGCTTCTCTCCGACTCCGACTCCAGTCTCTTTGACCCCCTCATTTCAGAGTTGAAAGTCTCTCCTCTCTCGGATCTCCGTCTGATATATTTCTCCGAAGGGTGATCATCATGTCGGTCGCGTGGTGCAGTCATTTCTTCTCTGTTCTCGTGCAGGTCTGCTACGACTAGTTAGCGAGTTAGGGCACGGAGAAAACCAGAGGAATGCAGGGGCATGATTCTTCGCGTCTATAAATGCTCAGCGAAGAGAAGGAGGGCCTCTTCCCTCGGAGGATCCTCTTTCGTCTGTCATCTTTGTTCCTCACTACTGCCTTCTACCAGCATGCAGCTGTCATGATGGTGCTGTTGTTGCTGTCTGTCGTTGCCCTCTCCCTCGGCCTGGGAATCGCGCCGGTGGCCGCCCAAAACAACACCAAGCACCTGGACTACGCGTCGTACCGCGGCTATGATCAGGCCAATGGCGTCTCGTTCTGGAAGGGGATGCGATATGCTGCTGCACCCACGGGCAGTTTGCGCTTTGCCGGGCCCCAGGATCCGGACGTTGAGGTTGAAGTGCAAGATGCTACTACTGTATAGTCTCCAGTCTTTCCCATGGTTTCAAGACAGACAACTTGCTAATGCGTCTCACAGGATGGCGCCCGCTGCATTGCTACATCTACTTATCCCATCCCCAGCACCCAGTCGGAAGACTGTCTATTCCTGGATGTCTTTGCGCCCACGAATGCCACTGACCTGCCGGTCTATTTCTTCATTCAGGGCGGTGGCTACAACTCCCTAAGCAACGCCGACTATGACGGCACCGGTTTAATTGAAGCTTCCGGCTACAACATTGTCGTCGTCACCTTCAACTACCGCGTGGGCCCGTATGGATTCCTGGCTTCGCAGGAAGTGGAGGAATCGGGTTCTTTGAACAATGGGCTCAAGGATATGATCAAGGCTTTGCAGTGGGTGCAGAAGTATATTCACGCGGTATTTCTTCCTCTCCTCTTTCCAGACAAAAAAGCAACTGACTGACTGACTGACTTGCTGATAGTTCGGCGGTGACCCTGGCCATGTCACCATTGGAGGCGACAGCGCAGGCGCAGGCGCAATCACCCTCCTCCTGACCTCGTATGATGGAAGCGGCAAACTGGACAACCTCTTCCACGCGGCGGCGGCCGAATCTCAGTCCTTCGGACCGCAATTGACCGTCTCCCAAAGCCAATTCCAATACGACAACCTCACCGAACGCACCGGCTGTGCAGACGCAAGCAACACCCTCCAATGCCTGCGTGGCCTCGACATCGACACTCTCCAACAGCAAAATATCGCCACCCCCTTCCCCAATGGCGTCGATGCACCTTTGTACCCTTACAGCCCAACAATCGACCACGACCTAGTCTCAGACTACACCTACGCGCTCTTCGGCGCGGGCAGATTCATGAAAATCCCCGTCATATTCGGCGACGACACCAACGAAGGCACCATATTCACGCCGCACAGCACATCCAGCGTTGCCGAAGCCGATGTCTTTCTCCGCGACAATTTCCCCGCTTACACCGACTCCCAACTCGCCACCATCAACTCCCTATACATGTCCCAGCCGGATGCAGTCGTCTACCCAAACGCCGGCACCTACTGGCGCGGTGTGTCCAACGCCTATGGCGAAATCCGCTACATCTGTCCTGGCATATACATCTCAACAGCCTACAACAACTTTTCTACCTCCTCGTCTAGCGACTTTGTGCCTAGTTGGAACTACCACTACGCCGTCCTCGACGACTCGGCCATCACCAGCGGCTACGGCACCCAGCACACAATTGAGATCAACGCTATTTGGGGCCCGGAGTATGTGAGTGGTTCCGCACCGGCATCGTATTCTACCACCAATGCTGCGATTGTGCCTGTGATGCAGGGTTATTGGACTAGTTTTATCCGTGCCTATGACCCGAACACGTATCGTGCCCCCGGGTCGCCCGAGTGGCGGCCCTGGGGTGCTGACAAGCAGAGGCTTTTCATAAGGACAAATGAGACGCAGATGGAGACGGCGGAGGAGGCGCAGTTGGAGAGGTGTGATGTTGTGCAGGGGATGGCGGTTTTGCTGGAGCAGTAGTCTGTCTTTCCTTCTTCTTCTTGACAGGACTAGGTATGAATACGTTGCATGACTTTGTTTTCTGTGTAAATAGTTTACGCCATATCAATTCTATTGTATATATTTATATGCCCTTTTAACCTGGACCTGTAGGAAAGACCGATAAGTTATATTCAGATGTGCAATCAATGCTTTTATAGACAGATTATAGAGAAAGTAATCATTTCTTCCCCTGCCTCCACTTCTTCTCCCTCTCATACGCCTTGGCCTCGCGGCCCTCCTCGCCCTGAATCTCCGCAATAAGCCTCCTATACTTCTTCTCATACGCGGCATCGCGCTCTTTCTTGTCACGCAGCTGCTCGCGCGCAATGAAGTTGGCGTCCTTGCGCAACTCGCGCATTGCGCCCTTGCGCTCGCGCTTGTGTTCGGCACGCAGTTTGTTGAGTTCGGCGCGCTCGCGGTTCGGGTCGTAGTGTCGGTCGGGGTTGAAGTCTTCTTCGAATTTGGGTACGGATTGTTTGATGGCAAGGGGCCGGTGGTTGTGTAGGAGGAGCGGGCGGCGGGTGTGGTGGGCTTGGGTGAGGAGCGTGGTGAGTTTGGTGTGCGTGGAGAGGATCTGGGAGTAGAGGGGTAACGTCTTGGTTTTGGATGCTGTGCTGGCTTTCTTCAAGTGTTGGAGAATGGTGTGTGCCGGCGTGAAGATCTCTTTGAATGCGGATTTGTCGCTCCACAGATCGCATGCGACGTCGAGAAGGGACACGTACGTGCTGGCCAGGCTGGCCTTGAGGTCTTCTGCCGGTGTATCGCTGGTGTTATTGTCGTCGATGATGTCCCAGAACTGGAGCTTCGTGGTCACACTGTCCTTGGTCAAGGACGATAGTCGCAACGACTCTTTCGAGTCACGCAAGAATACAGACCCCAGGTTAGCATTGACCTTGGTCGGCGAAAGAATGCACAGTGCGTTCAGACAGTAGTTCATAAACTCGGGCATATACCGCTTCGCGAGAGTTTGATACTCAAGAGACAGCGTAGCGAGATATGCGCCTGTCGCCAGGTCGGACAAATTCTTAACGACACTCTGGCCCAGATAGCGCGCAATGCACAAGTTTGCAGGCGTGACGACTGCGTGGAAATGGTCTGAGGTCGGGAATAGTGTCACCACCCCGGTCAATATCACCAAGTCTCCCGGTAGGAGGCTCAATGGCCGCTCCAGTGCCATGGTGCGCAGATGCTCCCTGAATGCGTGAGCAACCGGTTCGCTGTTGCTCTTTGCCATGGAGTGGATGTGTCGGAGGGTGTTTTCGATGATGTTGAAAGATGCCCTTTCGCGCTGATTCGCCATGTGTGCGACATGTTCAACGAGGACTTGGGAAAAATTGCCGAGTTTCGTCTTGTTCTCGCTATGCAATCGCGGATGGTACAGAGCTCGAATCCTCTGCACAATCACTGGTAGGTCCTTCACTGACGTGTCCTTCAGAATAGCGAGCAGTTCGTCGTGGCTCTGAGGACAGGGGTATGTATATGCTAACCCATTGCCGTCATTGCCAGTACTACTTTTAGCATGAGCTGCTGACTTTACGTCCACCAAACCCTTCAGTGATTTTGTGAATTCGTCATCCATCAGCTCTTCGTCCTCGCTGTCTGCTTCTTCCGAGCCCTCTTCGGACTCCTCCTCGTCTTCGCTTTCGTCGAATGAAAGGTCCGCATTCGAGTCCATCTCAACGAGGTCTTCGTCGATTATAAAGTCGTCTTCATCCTCCACATCAAGTTCAGGACGCTCGTCAGCTTCGACCGTGGTTGGCGCCAGGCCAAACGCTTTAGCATCATCGGGCATCGAATCATCATCGTCGTCTTCCTCTTCTCCCTTGTTGTCCTTTTCGGCCTCTGACTCGCTCTCCTCGTCACCGCGCATGCGTCGAAGTCTTTCTGCCTCCAGCTTTTGCAACCTCTCGGCATCTTCCTGCGCTTTTTCTTCTTCAGTCTTTGTGCGGTCTGTAGGCGCCGATCTCTTGTCGTACGCCATCTGCTTCAGACGCTTGTCGTATTCGAGATCTGCCTCAGATCTATCCTTGCCATTCAAAAGAGCCGCGCGGTCTGGGTTCATCAAGGCGGCATCTTCCTTGGGGGCTTCAGGCTTCGGCGCCGGCGCCGGCTTAACCCCACGCATAAGATCAAAAAGATCCGGCAGGCCCTTATCGAGCTCTGCTCGAAGGTCATCATCGTCCTCCTTTGCTTTTTGTCGCTCGTACTTGTACAGCTTTGACTTGGCAATGACCTCTTTCATAACCTCGGCTTTACTCTTCTTTCGCAGCGGCTCATTCTCGTCTTCGCCGTCTTCATCCTCAGAAGCCATTCCCTCCATGTCGTCGGGCTCTTCAAGAGCCAAAGCCCGTTTCCGTTTCCGGCTCGATTCTTCGTCTTCCGAGGATTCTCCATCGTCGATCTCATTCTCTGCAAAGTCATCGCCGCCAAGAGCATCCCCAAACGACAATGACTGTCCGCCGTGCGTCAGTTGTAGTTCCTCCTCATCGTCTTCCTCGAGATTGAACAGATTGTCCTTGCGCATTTTCCTTTGGCTTTCCCTGGCAAATCGTTCTGCAGCCCGCTCTTCCGGTGTCATCGAAGGGTCATTTTCACCGAACCGTCTATCCAGGATACCGCCAGTTTTGTTTCGCATGTGCAATTCTTTCAACAAGGTTTCCCGTCTCTAGTATCATTGAATTAGAATTTGTTGTTGCGACAGCGAGACAGAAACAAAGAAAGACTTACTCGTTCTTCTCCCAATGATCTCGTCACCCCAGGCCTAGCATAGTTCCCCGCCTTGGACGAGCCATCTCTAGTCGTAACATCGAATTTTGCATTCCGTGAGGGCGCCTTTATTTCAAAGGGATTGAATTGGTCGCGAATCTTTTGCAATGCCGCATTGCGCTGAATTCGAGACTGCCGTGCCTTTGCACCGCCGTCTTTCTCATCCTGGCGCCGTTTCTTTTTGGACTGCTGTTCGCGGATAATGCCACTTTCCCGCAGAGACGCCTTCAGCTGCTTGAGTTGCGAGGGCGGCATGTTGTGCTGCGGGTTGCTGTCTGTTTCTTTTGAGACAATTCTCTGCGATGAAATCGGACTAAATAAAAATTTAGTGCTCACCGCCTTGAGGTGGGCGACAAAAATTCTGCCCAAGCTTGCTGGCTCCACTTGCCACTTTTATCTCCGTCAATGTCCTTCTCTCCTTTGCGCGTCTGTACCTAGGTATATAGTCCTAGCATATTGCAGAATGGCGCTGCGTTCTGACAGTTCGCTGCTATGGCTTGTCCTCGGTAATTCTGTTTCCTCGCGAATGATTGTTCTCTGCTAACTCAGGCAGGCGTCTCGTTAGGCTTCGTCGCCGCTCGCCGCATCGTTCACGACCTATATCAAGTCCGCGAATTGACGCAGATCACACGGCCTGAAAATGACGAGCGCATGATTAGCCAGGGCACTGAAGACGGTACCTATGTCTACTCGCTGCGATATTATGAACTGTTTCCTAATCTAACCCTCGCAGCCCTCAAACTCGAAACTCTCCACAAATTGACCGAAAGCCCGAGCTATGAACTCCGCGGAGCGTATGCCACCTTTTACCGACATGCGCCTGGATCAAACGAGTACTAACAGGTATATCAGATCGCTCCGTATTATTTCAGAGAGAGCCACGAAAGAGTCTTCTCGAGACCAGCTCCTAAAGGACCTGACAAGTGACAGCAAACGCCGACGAAATAGAGCTCTGACTGCCATCCACTTCTTAGTGTCAAGTCGCGCATGTTAGTGATCAACCCCAGTTTTTCCCTTTTTGTTCTTCTTTTTAATAGGGTTTCCACAGTATCTCGCTCGAGCCTATCTCCGCGGTTGAAAGACCTGCCCACATACACCGCCATCGTGGACTGTCTCTGCAACTTCCTCGAAGAACACACAGTCGAATACGGCACTACAGAATCACCCATTTTGCCCAAAACTAGACCACCCGGCGAGAAAAAGCTCTTAGCCACGCTAAATATTTTACTCGCCGAAAACCTCCCTGCCGCTCTAGAAGCCGGAGTTGTCAGTCGCTGGCTCTCAAAATACCCTTTCCCATGCCTGACCAACAACATCGACATCGACGACAACAATAACACCAACAACAAATACCGTCGGAGAGACGTTGTCTGGCTCATGAAGACATACTGGCTAGACGACACAATAATGAGCTCGATCGTTACCACTCTCGTGAGCAATACAGATGGAATCCGGCAATTGCGCAAGCACGGTCTTATGGGCAGCGTGATGCAGGAAGAGAATGATTTCGATGAGGCCGATAATGATGTGTGGATGATCAATGGCGAGAGTACGGCTGGCTCAAGGTGGGTGCCGGAACGCCTTCCGCTGCCAGACGAGAGCTTCGAGGAGCAGGCTCTGCGGCGACGGAGGAGGGAGGCTATGGTTTTTAGTGAGAATGGAGGGCCGATTGGGAGTGAGAATATTATACAGCCGCTTTCTATCTAGGAAATCGGCTGTTTGTTGTTTGGTTGTAACTGTATTATGATACCCAATGCATTATGTTTTACGAAGCGCGTGAATAAATGAAACACATACATATATATATATATATATAATATCATGTTAAAACAAATTCCAATGTTTCTGATGCATTCGTTTATAACCCCTTCCAGGCCGACTTGCTAACATGGTCTATCTTCTTCCGACTATGCTTCATCATGCCCAAAGTCTTCAGCTCAGACATAGCTCGATAAAATAGCATCAAAGCAGATCGCTCATCGCAAGTTCTCCTGCTCTCATCACCATCCTCGTCACCCTCACTACCGCATACGATGGTGGAAAACGCCTTCCATAAATCATACACGTTCACTAATGAGCCTGATTCGAGGTACAGTTGGTACAGTATAGCTGTTTCAGGCTGCTTTGCAGACATGTGTCCTCCTCTTTCCCCATGCTCTGATGCAGATGATGACGACGCCAAGTAGTCGAAGGGAGTAGACAAGGCGCGTTCAATTGAGAATCTAGCGCGAGGCGCAAATGTGTCTCGTAGTGGGTTTCGGAGGTCGAAGACAAACACTTCGTGCAATAATAGGTCCTGAGGATTGATGAGTTTCAAGGTCAGATTTGTCTCGAGCTCTTGAACGAATTTCTCAAGTAGCTCGGAGTAGGCGGTGTCGAGGCTGGAGATTTGTTTCTTGGTCTTGGTGAGGTTCACTTTGTCCTTGACTATTGTTGTTTTGATGCTGGAGTTCTGGTCGTCGTATTTGCTTCGCAGGGGTTCGCTTGCGTTGTGCGTAAGCAACAGATTTTGGAGCTCTTGCTCATATTGCTTGACATCTACCAATGCTGTTGCTGCATTGCTCTCTTGGAAAACTCGCAGCATAACCGTAAGACTGTCCGAGTCTGCCCTCTGTATCCGGCTCAATAGGTCTTTGATGGTTGATGAATCATGTAGATCTCCAGAAATTCCTCGAATATATAGGTCCGTGTTACTGCTGGCTTTGGTTAGCTGCAACACGGTCTGGAGTGACCGGACTGTATTGACGGTTTGGAATAGTTCACTCATTTGAACCAATCCTTGCTCTATGGACTCGTGCACTTGCTTCCAGAGAATGTCATCATCATCCAGAAGACTACGGACAAAGTCAGCGTTGCCTTGTTCCAGTGATTCCTCGCAGAAACTAACGACACGTCAGCATACTCTCTCAATCACACCAAAGTCTGTGGACCAAACCTTCTGTAAGATTTCAAGTTGCGTATGGCCTCGCATAGTTGTTTCTGTTGCGAGCTGGGGGATGGCAATAAGACGCTGAGAGGATTTGCGAAGAAGTGTGACATGTATGCGTACTTTCTTCTGATTAGCGGCTTGATCAGAGACAAAGACAGACACCACAAACCTTTACTTCTCGAATAAAACCTTCAGGACTCTGGAAGTGATCTCTGGCCTTCTCAATCAGAGATGCACTCACATGCGGCCCGAGCCATAGTCTGGTATCAGGATTTGTCTGCAGTGTCTCGTATATGTAATCAATAGCACCTTCAGCTTCATGAATTTCAAAGTGTCTGCCAAGGAGCAAAGCTGCAGTGGACCGGGGAAGTCGGCCTTCAAAGAGTTCGACAGACGTCGAGATCCCAAAGAGTAGAACAAATGGTATTCGATCAACCCAAGAACTAGAAAACATTAATATCATAACAGCATCACAAGACAGTGTTAGCAATACCTGAGTAAAGAGAGGAGATCGTTGAGAACACCAAAATCAAATGCCTCACTGTCTCGGAATGCCAATACCAAAGGCTTTGCGCCCTGGCCTTTCACGTAGTCGTGCAGAACATTAAGATCGTAAGGGAGCATTCGAGGACCCTGAGCTACTGTCAGTCGTATTCCTCCGATGATACACCATAACGCCTTACCGATTTGTCTGTGAAAAGCTTCTGGTAGGCATCATTTCCAGAAGTACTTGTAACCGCAACTCGAATGATTGTCTTCAGCACCGCTTTCAAATTTGGCGCGTCACCTGATTCTAGAAGAATCACTTGACCGCAATTTTGCGTGGTAAGACGCCGATGTAGTATATCTAACAGCCTAGGAAGCGCCGATACGTTTGAGCCGATGGTGACGAGCGACGTGGGAATGCATCCATTGAACCTGCAGAAGATTGCGTTGAGCACTAGAAGTCATATCGTCACAGCAAGTTGACTTACAATTCAGGTGATGCTGATTTCACAAACGTCGTTATGTCTTCCAAAATCCCAGAATCCAGATTCTCAATAACCTCCTGTACAGTCTTTAGAGACAGCAAAACCGCCAGTAAATATGAAAGAACTGACCTTGCATCTCTGTTCCTGAGTTGACCACAAGTTTTGAAAGGCCGACTTTCTTTGCGCAACTAAATCTGCAGATTCCTTCCCACCGAGCAATGGAGCGAATACTTGCGAGTCATTTTTCTGTGAAGACGTGGTGGCCTTGGAGCTTGTCGCAACTTTGCGTCTTTTCGATGATCGTTCTCCGTTGTCGAGTAATGTTTTGTCAGGGCGATAAACATATATATCCTGTTGAGTTTCCTGGTTAGCGGCAAGCAGAGACTGCGTGGTCAGCCATGCACACCTGATCCTCGCCGCTTGGCTTTTCAAAGTCCATTTCGATCTCCAATTTGAGATATAAAGCAGGGTGAATCTGTCGAGTCGCGCTTGAAGGCGGACGCGGAGATGCCCAGAAAGCTCCGCGGAGTCGGTGGCACTAAACCGAAACAGGCACTCACTTTTTTCAGCAACTGCCACCCAACGTCTCCCAGTCCAACGCTCTTTCGCCTTTCGCATTCGTGTCGTCCGTACTTATTTTCCCACGCAGATGGCATGAGCTTCTATCCTCCATGCTCCGTCAGGTAATCCAGGGAGCTGGGCGATTGCATTACCAGGCCGGCTCCACCAGAAACTTCATCGCAAGGACATCATTCTTACTACGCTCGTTCTCCGCCACCGCATCGCAACCCATCAGATATGGCGGGCCAAACGACAAAATTCGCATATTTGAGCGAGCCTCTAAGTCAAGCAAGAAGCAGGTCGAGATAGACCCGAATGCAGAAGATGCCGAGGAACGACAAGACCTCGAAAATGAGCTGGCCAAGCTGGACAAGGAGCTGGACGACCTCAAGAAGGACCCGTTCGCTGTAGATAGCCCATTCATACAGAGCTTGCCGGAGAAGGACCGAATCATCGCCATTGAAGCTATACGCAAGTATGAGGCAGAGCACGGCCATGAGGATGAGGATGAGGGCGCGTCAGGACTTAGCCAAATATTCGACCAAGAGCTGGATGATATGATCAAGGAAGAATTCGAGGGACTGGCAAAAGAAGAGGAAGAGACATTTGACATGACCAAGCCTATGTCAGAGACTGGTTTGGGTAGGGAGGAAGTTGAACTATCGCCGATGCACCCTTACGAAATCCGATTTCGCACGCACCTTCAACGAGTTGAGGTCGATCCAAACAGGACAAACGTACAGGAACTCTGGCGATGGTATCAGCGCTGTAAGGATGCCATTCCGTCTTTTCTACCTTCGTTACAACCGCAGACATTGCAATTGTTGTGGAAATCGCAGGTTCAGAGTCAGACGCCCGCCACCACTCGCATGACCCATGTACAAACACTTGTCGAAGATTTCAACTCTATGGAAAGAGGTCTTCTCCCTACCGAAGTTCTCGAGTTTATCAACGTTATACATGACGCAGGCGATACTGAGAGAGCGCTGCAGCTATGGGAAGAATCACAGACCATCATAACTCGCGGAGAGGGCGATTTACACGCTTATTGGAGCTTGGGCGTGCGACTTTTTGCAGCAAACGGCGACCCACAGAGAGCTCAAGATATTGCATTTGCTTTCCTTACTGGTGATGGAAGTCGATATGCCCGCGTTCTTATCCCAATAGCTACGGCATGGGCAAAGCATGCTGATAACAAGGCGGATGCAAAAGCGTGGGCGATTTACCTCCAACTCAAAACACTATTGGGTTCTGAGATGAAAATGGAAGATTATGACACTGTCAGCACCTCATTTCTGAACGATGGCAAGATCAATCTTGCGCTAGCTGTGTTCAAGGATATGATGATCACGGGGAAAGACCCTACAAATGATTCTACGGCCATCTACCAAAGGGCTATTGGCCTTGCAGGCCATCTACAAACTTCAAGCATTAAGGAAGAAGACGTTAACAGAATATCTCTTTCTGCCTTGACTTTCTTACCTCGACGCTTCCAGAACAAGTTCTTTTACGCTAGCTGGATGAAGAAACTCATTGGCATGGGCGAGGTTGATTCTGCTGCGGCTGTGGTAGAACTCATGTTTGAGAGAGGAGTGAAGCCAGATGCAATTCATCTTAACGGAATAATTGGAGGCTGGCTTCGAAATGGGAGCCCTTCGTCCAGAGATAAAGCGGAAAGACTCGGTTGGTCTATGATTCAACACCGAATTGATACCGTCTGGAATCGTATACAGCATCCTGAACAGTCTTCAAAACCAGTTGTCCCCGAACAACCAGCTGATCGTCGAATACCGGCATTCTTGAAGCGGACACTTCCCCCTGCAAATATTGAAACGTTCTCTATCCTTCTGCTACATTATTCACGACGTGGTGACGACGACATGGTCAAATATTTAAACAAATGTCTCAGCGATGCTCAAATTCGACCCAATTCATATTATATGAACCATCTACTATATGCCGATCTACGCAAGCATTACATCCACAGTCTCTGGGAAAAATTCCAGTTTTTGAGTCGACAGGTAGCTCCTGATCTAGAAACATTTGCATGTCTCTGGGATTGTGGGAAACTCCAATACGATCGATCTCGAACACCATACGATATAAACTTCCCTCAAGTGCGCCGTCTTTTCTCTATAATGATGCGGTGGTATTCAGGGCTCGATGTACGGAGAAGGAAAACCGCACAAGAAGAATTCTCCAAAGAACTATATGATCAGATCACGCTCTGTTTCTGTCTTTCACAGGATCTCTGCGGCTCTCTTGTCGCACTTTATGCCATGCAAAAGCTATTCAACTTCTACCCTGACGACAACACAGCACGCATGCTAGTTCTGCAAATAGCCCGAATAGCCAACAATAATAGCAGCAATCAACCCACCGGAATTGGGAGGAGGTCGCGAGCTCGACGACGCCTATCTGCTGCACCGCAACATAAAGAGAACATCGAGCAGATACAAAACGTGCTAGCCGTGCTACAGGACCGCAAGGCATCGATGTTGCGAGCCCAGGGGCTCAGCGTTGATCAACTTGAAGAACACGAGCGACGACAGTACCAGCTCGAGATTCTTGGGGATCTTCTCGTCTCGGTGATTGAGCGCACTGTCGTTGTTGGTTCAGAAGAGGGAGTCAAAGCGCCGGTCGCTTCTGCTGTGCATGAAATGGGTGTCGATGGTCTTGATATACAGTTTCATCATGAGACGCTTCAATAGATCCTCTCTTCTGTCTATATATGTTTTATGTATACTATACATTTACGTAGTAATATAAAGTCTCTCTTTCTACTACACTTTATATTATGCATACGGTAAATCACTCTGCAGATGAATTTTAATAGAAAGATGAAAGTACCTTATTGAAACAACCGCTGAACACCATAATGCCATAGTATAACCGAAGACTCCAAAGGAAGTCATTGTACATATTCAAAACGAAAAAAAAAAGACATCTATTTCTTCCCCTTCTTCTTCTTCTTCACACTGCTCGTCCCAGTCGCTACTTTCGGCACCTCCGCCTCAACCAGAACCCCATCATCATCACTAACAGCCGCCGTGCCTGGACGCGCAGTATCAGAGACATTCTGCGCTGAAGACTCAGTTTTCGCTGTTGCCGTAGTATTCGCCGTTGTCGTGGTAGTGGAGGGAGAGGTAGATTTCTCTTCAGCGTCCAGTTCCTTCATAAATCCCTGTTTGATACTCTCCTTCTTCCGGGCCCACCACTCCACTTCCTCGCTTACGCTCGCTTGATATTCCTGAATACGCTGGCGGAAAAGATTGTTCTGATCCATTTCGCGGGCGGATTGGAAGATAGTCTGGCCCCAGTTGGGGGCATATGCGTTTGCCTAAGTCAAGGTCAGATACACGCACAGATTCTGCAGAAAAGAATAAGGAAAAAAAAAAGAAGTAAGAACAACCAACCTCACGAACAACATCACGCACTTCCTCCTCCATCTCCTTCTCCGCGCGCTGAAACCTCTGCCACAAATCATCCCCAACACTACCACGCTGCAAAAGCAGGGCCAAAGCCTGCTTCTGATCCCGTATCGCCATGACGCGTCTAATATCCTCTGCCGCACGGCGTAGCAGTGCAGCCTTGAGCACGGTCTCGGGTACTTTCTTCTCCTGGTGTAGTAGCGAGAAGTATATATCCCGTTGAAGATGGGCGGGGAACCATGGTTCGAGAGATAATGCTCTGGCTGTTATTCGTTTCCAAGCGGATTGTTAGATGGCATTTCTTTAAAAAAGCAAAAAAAACAACAACAGTAGTGCAGGATTGGTGCAGATGTTATGTGTCAACTAACCTGATTTCCGCCTGCGATACAACGACGAGAATGTCGCTAGAGATCCGATCAAAATGCCTAGATAGGCGAACGGTATGGCGAGGCTGATCCAGTCAACCATTGTGAATTCCCTTCTCGCGCGCGGAGTGGTTAGAATATAGGTGGCGACAAGGAAAGCGAAACAGTTGAGTATGTAGTGTCGGAGAGCAACAGCTGTTGAATGTTAAAGTTCAAAGTGGTGAGCGGAATATGCTCATTCCCTATTGGTGCATGGCGGGAAAGGCCAGGGTGTTTGTTTAGTTTAGGCGCGGATCTGACTGCGCCGCATGTGGCTGATATATTCATTAACTAGTGCTAGTTAACTACCCTGACCACTGACTTAGATATAGTAGTTTTATTATTTAAATGAATCCTCCGCTATGTGACAAGCATCCTTAATCTAAACATGAACACAACAACATGCAGGCCGCCCTAATATAGTGCCAAATGTACAGTTGATGAATGATACTTCCCAAAGATTAGAACCAAATGACAAATGGAATGCAAATAAGTGATAAAATAATAGAATGAATTATGTGATGGGGAACATAGCGCTTGTTCCCTGCGTAGCCAACTGCTCCTTGGTGTGTTGGCTCATAGACAGGAAGTACTGGTTATTCTGCATATCCTGCAATATTTCGTTAAATTCGTCCTTGAGCAGAGAAGCCACTTTGGTCCTATCCCATTCTCCGCGCTTCTTCCAAAGACAATCCATCAAGTGAGTGTTGATCTGCTCAAGCTGTTCCACTGAGCAGCCACTGGTCAGCTGTGTCAACTGGAAGTGAAGTTGGTCGATAAATCCGTGATCAATGTTGAGGCGCGGCGATCGCTCCTCGTTATTTAGCAGAGATCTAATATCGGATGCCTGCCCAGACTGTCTTATTCCAGTATCTGCTGCTGTAGACCGGTGTTGTAGACTATTTGGGAGAGCAGTCATGCGTGGTTGTGATTGACTGCCATTCATATGGCTAGTTTGAGAATACGGGTATTCTGGAGGCAATAAAATTAGTTATACGATATTTCAATTTGGGTCAATGCTGCTCACCTTGCTGCGTATCAGGAAGATGGGAGTCCTCCTGAGAAATCCGATCAGGATACGACGTCAAATCTGGCACATCTCGTGGCCCGCTTCCAGTTATAGGGCTCTGTGTATGAAATTGTGGTTCCGTGGACTGATGTGAAGTCTTCTTCTCAGACGTTGTTTGTGTCGTTGAAGCATCATTGGCATAGTCACCTGGCTGGGATCCAGGAGCCATTGGTGTCATCGGCGCCTTTTGTGAAAAACTAGAAAGGCCAGATTCCCGCCTGATTTGCTGGGAAGGCGCCGTGTTAGAAAGAGGGTGTTTGGGCTGAGCTGACGGCCCAAAAGAACTATTGGCAGTAATCCGACCACTGTAATCTAGCTCATCGGAATTCGTCATGAGCGTGTCCCCGTCCTCTGCGCGAGAATGTTCATTGCTCTTTGAAGTACCGTGGTAAAGATCCAAGCCACTGCCCCCATGAATTCCATTGCTCACAGAAATCACGTTTGAAAGATTAGAAGGCGTCACGGGTCTCGTTCCATTGACAGCAGACTGACCGAGAACAACTGGCCCTGAGGACATGCTTGACTCGGTGTTCCCATGTGGTACGTTGGTGTTGGGCGGAGGACCCATTTCACGCACAGGATTTGTCTTTTTGGCATGTTCAATCGCCTCTTGCTCCCGTTCCACCTCTCGGTTATAAACAGCCTCACATTCTGCAACCAATGCAGGATCACTTTGTTCAATAGCGCCAACGTCAACTTCCACGTTGGACAAAAGTTCATTAGCGCGTAGAAGGCGCTCCTGGTCGCCCAAAGCACGAGCATCCTTGGCAATCCTCTTGATATCAGCCAAAAAGTCTTTGGGTCTTTTGTAGTACCCATTGGACAACCGTTTTTCAATAGTCACGATCTCCAAGTTGTAAAAGAACCTGCCGGTTGCCGTTTCTTGCAAACCTGGAACCCCATGTTTGTCTATAGCTTTCTCAAATGGCCGAAAAGCCATTTGTTGTTCTATTGGCAAGTCGCTGGTAAGGATTGCTGGGTCCTCCTCTTCGAACAAATAGCGGATTTGAGAATCATCAATTACCCCAGTTCTGAACCGTTTATATTTCTTGATCTGGTCCATGATGGGCTGAATCCGGATTTTTAGTAGATTCAGGGTCTGTCGGTCCTTTCTCTTTTGTGCTTTCAATTGCTCCTTGGTCAACGGAGTTTTAGGCTTGGGCGGCGGAGGAGGTGCCACCTCAAGAGTCTCCAACTTCCTCCTTTTCCGATTTTCTGGATCGGGAAAATCGAGCGGCGAGGTCTTCACATAGTCGGTTATCCTACCGAAATACTCAGATCTAGCCGGCTTGTTTGGCGGCGTTAAAGTGTAGAGGTTTTTCTTTGAATATCCAAACAGAGACTTGAGCATTGCAGGATCGAGTGGTTCTCCATCGTCTTCTTCAAGCACACCCAGAAGCAGCACAGGGTCCGTTGGGGGTATGGAACGGAGAAGGCCGAGGAATGTCGATATTACTGCCTGGCCAACAGTTTCATACCATGTCTGTACATTAGGGATGTAGATGACGCTTGGCTTATGACGCTTGACTTCAGCGAAAAGCTGAACGACAGTGGCTTCTGGGGATCTAGTGGAATCACTAAGTAGTGTTGGAAGGTCGAAAGACTGTACGTGGAGGCCCTCGAAGTGGTGAAGAACAGCCCCAGCAAGATATTGCTGGCCCATACCCTGGGGGCCACGGATGAGAAGCCGAGGTCTGAAAATGCGAGAACTCTCGAATTCTTGGTGCATCTGTTCTCTTTTAAAGCTTCCGGCCCCATGCGGTTCCTCAAATTCCGCTTCTTCCAATGCAGTTAAGCGCTTGGATTGCGGGAGAATATTGGCAAGAACATTTTTTATCTCTGTAAAACGATCGCGTAGCAAAGGCTCTACTGTTTTTGGTAAAGGAGTGGCGCCTGAGGATGTTGATCGCTCCGACGACGGAACGATTTTCTTGATGGATATCATGAAGTCTTTTGGTGTTACCTCGATTGTCTTTGGATCAATGAGCAATTTCTGGCTTGATTTGTAAATCTGTGGATACCGCCTTTGCACTGCATTCAAAGCAGATTCAGTGCACAGTGCACGAAGGTCGGCACCGCCATAGCCCTTTGTCAATTCCGCTAACTCATCCTTTATCGGATTGGGCAGAGGAGGATTCCAGCCTTTGGTGTGGATATCTAAAATAGCACGTCGGCCATCTTTGTTGGGCAGGGGAAAGTAGAATTCACGGTCGAAACGGCCAGGCCGGCGGAGAGCTGGATCTATCGAATCGGGTCTATTCGTTGCTCCAATGACAATAACTTGGCCTCTTCCATCCATACCATCCATTAAAGCTAAGAGAGTCGAGACAATTGATGCATGGATCTGCTCTTGTTTGCTCGATCTGACGGGAGCAAGTCCTAACAGTCAAGTCAGTATGCAGTAAAACCCAAACTAAAGAATGGAAAGCATACCATCAATCTCATCGAAGAATATAATACTTGGTTGGGTCTTGCGGGCCTCTTCAAAGAGCAATCGCAATTGTCTCTCGGCTTCACCAACCCATTTGCTGAGGGCATCAGCACCTTTCCTCATATAAAATGTGACCTTCCGTCCTTCTGAGCTGACACTTGACGCGAGAGCACGCGCCATCAGGGTTTTTCCAGTTCCAGGAGGTCCGTGGAACAATACTCCACGCGGCGGCACGATATGAAAACGCTGGAAAATCTCAGGGTACAATAGCGGTAAAGCCACCATCTCTTTCAATTGATCAATATGGGCTTGTAAACCGCCCACACTGTCAAAATTGACATTAGGATCAATCCCCAGAGGATCAGCGTCGGCCAGTGTTTGCTTGTCTTTGACTTTACCAAAGTTCGCCGGCGTTCCCGAGAGTCCTGGAGCAGCAGCGTCTGCACTATGAGCTTGAGCGGGCATCAGCCCTACGCCTCCAGGAGCCGCAAGCCCTCCTGATGCTCCCGGGCCACCTCTCACTTGCATTATTTCGTCGTCGCTGCTATCGCTATCAACATTGGCAATTGCTCCTTGTGCACCTGGAGGACCCAGAACAGCTGCAGGTCCTCCACCGCCGAATGGGCCGGACGTCGAGAAAAGTGTACGCTGCCAGGTTCCCGTTCCACCACCTCGTCCGCGACGAGAAGGAGACTCGTTCATTGCAAGCTCACCCTCCTCTTCTTCCATGGGAAGGATCAGATCCGGGCGAATGAGTCGATAATCAACATCCTTTCTGCTGCGGCGAGGTTTGTCCTCGTAGGTTATGGAGTTGACATTATTCCTTCGGCGGCGCCGTGATGGTTGCAAGTCTTCCAGTTCCTCTGCTAGCTCCTCGGCTTCATCGACATATACTTCAGAATCTGCTCGGCCACGAGATTGCGACTTTCGATTGCGGAGTCCAGGCCGTCTGCCATTGCTGCTATTATCATCTCGTGTGGGGTGCTCTGCTTTGCGCGGAGAAGCATTTGATCGACCTGATTCTGATATTTCATCATCATCGTCGGATTCCTCTTCATTTGGCTCAAAGTCAGAATTTTCGTCTTGCTTTCGTTGTGAAGAGCGTGGCGGCCTTTTCCTGCTAGAACGGGTTTCGCTACCATCGTCCGCTTGGGCATCTGCTGTGGGCTTTTGGTTGGGTCTGTTCCTCCTGCGCGTGACCGGGCCTTCGTCCTCATCATCGTCCTCATCTTCATCTTCTTGTTCTTGGTTGTCTGCTTCTTCCTCTTTGGGTGCTTCATTATCGGACTCCGGAATCACACCACCATCAGGCATCTCAACATCAGCGCTCTCAACAATGCCTTGCACGAATGAAGGGAAACTCTCGTCGATTTCACCTTGTGGATCACTTTCCAGGACTTCCGACTCAGATGCCTTTACTTCAGTGCTTTCATCGACAGACTTCACGTTACTCGAATCGTTCTCATCCGCTTCTTGAATTGCCCTTGTAGTAGCTACAGTTTTGGAAGCACGTCGTGTTCGGATTTCGGGGACAGAGATTCCCTGCTCGACGGTTTGCGCATGTCTTCCTGAATTCGTCAGAGCATAAATATCCTCCGAGGGGTCGCGATTATGACGGGTACTGCGTCTGGTACGTGTATTTGCGTCGGACGTGGGTGGTCTATTCAAAGCTTTTCCTATTTTGAGTGTAATCACATTGCCTCTTCGAGTTCGAGGCGGGCGTTTTATGATCACCTCTTCTTCTTCTTCATCGTCGTCGTCGTCATCATCATTCTCCTCTTCGTCTTCGTTTTCTTCCACGTTATCTTCGTCGGAATCCTCCTTGTATACTGGACGCTCCCGAACGGCTTTTCTACGCGCAAGACCTCGTGCATTGCGCTCCACATTAGGATCCTCTTCTTCTGCCGATTCTTCATAGGACAGCTCGTCAAAATCGCTTAGCATGTCATCGTCTGAATCGATATCGTCATCGTCAGAACCGCGGCGTCGCTTTTTCTTGGCAGTCTTCACTTTCTTCCTGGCCTTGCCTGAGGACCTCGACGGTCGCACGGGATGATCGCTGTAGTCAAAGTCATCGGAGTCTGATTTGTTGGCGATCTCCTCCAAAGTGCGCTTTGATGAAAAGGGGGCCATCGTGGGGGTTGATGATGATCCTGTCGAATTTCTCGATTAGGTCGCGTTATGAGATGAAAACGAGCACATGATAGCAAAATGAACTGATTGAAACCTGAGAAAAGGGAAAAAAAAAAAAAGAAAGAAACCCCAACCAAGACTACAAGTACGGGCTGGAAGTAAAATGATGCGTCGCAACCACCACTCACCTCTAATCAAACATGGCAGCGCAAGAGGGAACCACAACAGAGCAGCGCACAAAGGCGAGCAGATCAATAGCCCTAATAGTCCAACCCCGGCATTAGCAAAATGAAGAGAACAATGAGCACATGGATCATGTCCAACAGAAGGTGACAAGAATCTGTCGAGGTATCGAGGGGGCCTTGTCTCCGACGCAAATTCCGGGCGACAAGCAGGCGGGTAACGCGCAGTAACCACAAGGTCGACACAAGACTGCAAAAACGGGCAGCTATGAGATCCACATACCCAATGATCAAGAGCTCAGACAAAAGGCAATTGATGCACAGTACTCTGACAAGGAGAAGAGGGACAGGAAGGAGGCACTCCGTTGTCCGTCACAGCTGGCACTGGAAGGACACGGACCGCATCGCGCGCTCCAGCCACATTTTCCCGTTGCTGAGTTGCAACAGCCGCACCAGGCACAGCCGCAGTTAAGCCCGATGCGGTAATCGTGCACCAGCCACTAACTAGTAGGAAGGAAGGAACGACGTGATGACAGACTCTCATGTCACAACCTCAAGAGCAGCGGTCGAGAGCATGAAAAGACGGCTTCTGGCGTTCATAGTGAATACCGTCTGAATGGAACCCAGACAAAAAGCATGGCATCCTCCTTCTCTGGAAGAAAAAAAAATCGAACACATGGCGAGGCGCGCGAAGGAATTAACAAACAAAGTACTCCAAAAAGAACCCCGCAGGAGAACAAAACAATTAAAGTAGGAGAAGGGGGAAAAAAATCATTACGTAGCTCTCCCTCACTAAGATCTCGATTTCCACCGCGGCTAAATAGCCTTCTTTTTATGGGCTCCAGCCTTCCCCCACCGCGCCTGCCGTGTATCCCCCAACTTGCGCGGAAGTCACGTGGAGCGCTTGCCGGCTTTGCTTGTCCACGACTGTCTCCTTCTACATTACATCCAACGATATAACAACGTCAAGATCAAGCATATAATCATGTTTCGCGAGCATCAATTGGCTTGGGGCCTTGCTCGCCGGGGTTTTGGCACATCAACGCGCACCTCGTCAACGTCGTTACTTACATCCCGGGCTTTTTCATCGTCAATATCCCGTCCTCAACAGCAGCAACAGCAATCGACCTCCTTCAAAGATGGAGTCAGTCACTATTCCTTCTCCCCGACACATTCCCCTTCAGTTGGTTTTAACACCAAACCATGTATGCAGATGACAGCTTTCCGCCCCTTCGGATCCCCCTTTCTCAAGGTCTTTCTGGGCGCCATATTCACTTACCAAGTTATATATTATACATGGAAGAAACTTGAGACCAATGAGAAGATGTTTTTGAAGAATGGTAATCGCTCACTGTCATCTTCCTGACTAGATTGCTTTGATATCTGGCTAACATCAATACCTAGAGGAGATTAAGGCTCTTGAGAAAGAGGCTAGGGAATTGGCAGCTGCGAATGCAAAGTGATGTGAAGCAAATTCCCATGTATTTTTCTTTGTTGTACTTCTATTTCTTGTATAATTATTAATGTCTGGACATTTTACATTTCTCTATTCATGGATTCCAGGACGATGATGGCATTTTGAAATGCATAACGTTTTAACCCCCCCAACATCTCAATTTGATCTGGATGATCTCGCTACTAAGAATTACAAGTACCCAAGTCCCGCACCGCTGACCGTCTCCAGATCAGCCCTGATCTCCCACTCGTCCGCACCCACTCTACCAGCAATCTCCAATTTTCTTGATCGACTGAGATCCAACCATCTCATCAAAAGCTTCCCGTCAATCATGCCACGACCTGTGACGCCATCACTCTCAACGGCCCGGTATGCACGCGGGTTAAGACCGCATGGATGTTCAAGCGTATTGCTGAGTTGAGACTGCAAAGCCGAAAGTCGCCGATACGACTCTTCCGATACAGACGTCACCACTGCCATTGAGCCTGATTGAGTTGTTATGAGTGCTTGGTGGAGTGGCACGTAGGCGTCTATGTCCATGGAGGAGTCGGAGTTCATGACTGCCACTTCGGATGAGACTGCAGTACGTGGAAGGAGAGTCAATGTCTCGGCAAAATGGCCCATGTGGAATTTGCAGCGGTTCAGGAGTCGGTCGCCATTGGAAGATTTGGGATCTAGTTTGTCTTGTAAGTAGAATATTCCATTTTGAAAAGAGAGAAAAGTCCTTGTCGTACCTTCTGGATCATACTGTAGCACATGCAAATTGCAGTCGCTGTCTGCAACAAGAATATAGAGCTTCTTGCCATCAGGCAGGAAATCGGCAGTGACGACTTCCAGCTCGTCCAAGTCTTTGCCGAAGAGCGTCATTCTGTAAGGTTCCTCCTATAAGTTGAAGAGCAATTAGTTCAGTTCCTCATCTAGTATCTGGAGAACGCTCTTGCATACCGAGTATCCTGTAAACCATAATCCTTTCAAAGCATCCCCAATAAGGCACATGCCGGTCCCCTTTAATTCCTTAATGACGCTGACATAACACTGCACGTCAATAAACGCGACGGGCAGCAGACTTCCATCATCCTTCAGGCCTCGCACCATGCACTTTTGCCCCTGCGCAATGATCAAGAAGCCCTGGCCGCCAATACCCGATACCGCGGTTAGGGCGCCCTTGACAGATTCCTTCCCGATAAGTTTCAGTTTGAGATTTTTTCCTGGCTGCTCAGGATCAGGGACGACTTCGATCACATCGAACACGTATATATTTCCTCGCGCTGCAATATCCTCGCCCTTTGCGAGTGTGGTCCCTACGACAATGACATCTTTGCGCTCATTTGTCTTCTCGGATATTTCCAGGTTGATATTCTCAACGGCTGTTATTTGTTCCGCTGGGCTGAATGAATAGCTATGGGGTCGTTAGTCTTGGATTTGTATAGATAATCAATGTGACTGACCTGTCAATAATTTTATAGGTCTTTGGATTAAGCAGTTTAATGTGGCCATGCGCGACTTTGGGTAATAGAGAGATGGCTGATAAAACTCAGTTAGTCTATGAGCCCAGAAGAAGAAGAGATGAATGTCCACCTTCACTGCGCCACTCTGGATGAAGCTCATCATCATCGGGCAGCTTAAAGTCTTGTTCTTCAGTTGTACCAACAACATATGTCCCCGAACTGGTAGAATAAGCCAAATGGTCAACCTGTTCATTCAAAGCAATTCTTCGAATTGGCCATGAGAGATCAAGCTGTGTATTGTCTTGCAGCTGACAAGTTCGAATGACACGCTAAACCCTGTCAGTCATAGGACACATTGAGATCATGAAAGTGTAAAAAAAAATACCTCATTATCGATATATATAAGACCGTTTTCACATCCAACACTATTGAATCCGTTCAAGCTAAGAGCGGATTCGCTATGAATGCCGAAAACATGCGGCAGACTCTTTGATGTCCTGACTATCAAGCTCGGAGAGGCCCCGGACATAACAGCAGCGGCAAATCCACCTATATTAGGCAGACGACGAAGTCCTGGCGCCCTTTTTTGAGGTGTGGGCGTTGATGTTGCTTCTGTCGGCACTTTGGGAAGGAAATGATTGGTTTCTCTCAGGTATTTAAAGCCGCCGCCACTCTTCTCCTCATTGCTGCTGTCGCGAAATGGTCTATAAATAATAAAATCGTCTGTGGCCGTCCGTATCTATATGACTAGATTAGAAGGCACGCTGAATTCGAAAAGAATGGCCCAAACATACTATGAGATAGGGCGATACCAAGGGTAGTTCACCCAAGTCTGCAACTAAGATTTCTGCAATAGTTTCACGAGAATTAAGACGTTTCGCTGGTGGTTCGGCTGACAGAATTGATGATACGTAATCGACACCTTCTGTGGCAGTGACAAGTTCCATGGTAGGCAAACGGAACATCTAATAGATTAATTAACAATATATCGTTTGATGAAAAGGATTTCGTCACTCACAAACAACCTGCACTCGTGATTAAGCAGAAAAAGATAGATTATATCTTCGGAGGCATCTAGGAAAACGTGATGTCTATCCGTGTAGAGGCATCCGCAAAGCCAGGATTGTGAGGATATAGTGTCATTACCAGTCAACTCATCCAGATCACCAGCTTCGTCTGAGTGGAGAAGCAGGACAGATGAATCGTCTCTGATTATGAGAAGATATGGGTCTGCGAAGCTAGCACTAACTGCTATTCGCTCATCGCCGTCATCCTCGTCCCAGACAGGATATATCTGAGCGAGTCCAAGATCTACAAGAATGTCAGCAATTTGTCCTACGATTGTGTATAGATACTTTACTTACTATTATCATATACCCTCACCTCGCCCGTCAGCACCTGAGCAATACGGTTGTTCCCAGCAAGGGTACCGATATCGACAGTGCTATCTCCATTTGGGTTGACGTCGGGGGCATTGTACGGCTCCAAATTACCGCTATTAAAAGCATAAACAAGTGATTCTTCTTTCTCAGGCGAGTCCGACTTGGCAAGAATAACATAAGAGTCAGGTAGGGTTGCTTCGTTTGAACTAGCATGTCCAGTTTTCGTGCGGTTCGTAGTAATATTCCATGCGCTGTCAGCAGTTTCGTCTTCAAAAGTAAGAGCATCTTCTAAATGAAGTGTGCGTTGCAATATAGCAACGCCGCCGCCTGTGCGAGATCCGTAAGCTGCTGCAAGCTCTAAATCATTAATATTGCCTCGTACGTCGCCCACATCAGAACCACCTGACGGAGATTTTCCCAAAGTAACCGAACGCAAAGGACCCAAACTCAGTAGCTTATCAATAACTTTGAATGAATAATTTCCCGGGTGAGACCCATTTGACAGACGCATATTGGTTGTTTCCTTCGGTGCTGTTGAATACAGATCATCTTCATAGATGTCATTGTCGTCTTCATCTTCATTCATCTCCTCATCGAATTCAACCGGGCTGCTCTTCTTAGAGGCCATCGCGGGGACATAGCAGTCGAGAAGAACAGATTCGGCATCTTCACTGCCTATGAAAACCTTGCCACGACCAAGAGCAACTGAACAAGAGGCGGCAGCGGTAATAATGTCACCTCCCGAAGTCGCAGGGATGGGATAGACAACGGGGCCCGAAATCGATCTTCCATCTATTTTGAAATGGACCAAAACCAAGTCCCCCGTCGAGAGAGTAAGAAGCAAATCACCACTCTCATTGTTGAGAACCTCAACAACGGAGCCTTCCAGTCGTAAACCCAAGTCCGACTGGTCGATCATGGGAAATGCTGACACCTGTTTTGCAAACTCATTGACCGCCACAGCGTTGGGTTTTCCAGATTGGTCCACGTGAATCAACTCATTGGATCCGATGAGTAGAGCACCTCCGACAGGAGCCGGCAGGGCCACTATGTGTAGTAAGTCGCTTGGTAGTTTTGAGATGGACAAGAGAGGCGTGGAGGCGCGCTGTTCTAGATCTAGCGTGAAGACAGAATACATAACGACATCTTTGCGTTCTTCAAGTAGTGCAGATGAGGTGGCTATTGGTGAGTAGAGAATGCCAAATGTTGGCTCTCTGTATTCATGCAGGAATGTCAGCCCGATTGGATGTATCAGGCTCGGATCCAGAGCAGTCAACGGCAGTACAAAAGAAGCTGCATAGGGAGTCTGGTGGGCCACAGCGCCATCTGGCCCAGTTTTGCTGTCCGAGACATTTTTGCTCTCCTCCTGGTTAATGTGGCGGTCTAGGTCAATGTCTGGATCATAATCACCCATAACCAAGTCATCACCTGCCTGGTGAAATGGAAGAATAGCAAGATTCCGTAACCCGAAATTCAGCAGAGCACACCGGCTACTGGGATCCACAGTGAGATGGCTATCACAATTGCTGAGGTCTGCGACCCACGGACTCAGTGTAATATCATCTTTTTCGTAATAGTGAATCGACACAGTGGATATTCCCTGCGTCTCGGGATTCCACTCAATCAGACTGAGCTTTGCATTTCTGAAGGATAAAAGAAGGGCATCTCCGCCGCTCTTTGACTTGAGGATTTTGATGCGGGCGACGTCAGTCACAGTCCCGTAGAGCTCATACTCGGCGAGCAAGTTCAGGTTCGCAGATTTTGCGTCAAGAGTCTGCTGGGTACCCTCTGTTGCCGGCGTGGGTGTATCATTGACCAGAGCGTAGATCTGGAGGAGAGATGTCTTGATCACCACGAGATTATTCGCAGCCGCCGAGGTGAAGGCAGCGGACACAGCGTGCGTCACTCCCGAGGGAGGCAGTACCTCTGTATAGCATTGCATTCTCAGATTATGGCGAGCGTTTCAAGGGTTCTTGCTCTATAGTCATACAGCAGACATGGCGCATGTATTCGGAGGGACAGAACGGTGATCTCCAAGTTTAGTTGAGATCGATGGTTGATAGAACTTAGACTATATTGCGCAGTATACCCAAAGCTGCTTTGAATTGACCCCTGTTGCGTGGAAACCAACAATGGATGGAATCATTCAATATCGAATAAACAAAATGATCGATCTTTATTGGTTTGAATTTGGAAAGGTTTGGAGCTGCTACGGCGGGCGGCAGGCAAAAAAACGCAAGTATTTGTTACGTATCGTAATGTATGCTGATTTCGGTGCTCTGAATGTCGATTGATTCTCTCGTTTTCCACTCGTACAGGCATATCCGGGTGGATAGCTTCACCATACTCTGACGTTTACCATACATGTAGAAAATTACACAAAAAAGAAGGGTTTTATATATAAAATTAGGTAGAAAAGGTGTAAATTACACAAATACACGTCAATACGCACCGTGACAAAACGGGGATCTGCCGTGCTCCACCCTGCAAAGCTCCTTATTACGTCATCATGGCGAGTTTCAGACGCGACAACAAAAGTCAAACATCTCCGACTTCATTGATCCATTCATCCATTCGATCGTTGAATCACGGCGATGATACCATGGCCGGCTTCCTGCAATCCTCGCTGATATGGATCGTCTATGCGATCGTGGTCGCGGTTCTGCTGGCGGTCGCTTCAATATTCATATACATCTACCAGACGCCTCGGGACCGCTCACCATTTGTGACCTTGGTTTCTATCATCACCATCACTGCTCTGCTCGCCACAGTTCTGCTGCAACCAGTTGACGTCGCCCTTGTGTCTTCGACAACATCTTCCAAGCTCGGCCGTCGCAAAGACTGGGCGTCGCAAGAACAGGTGGACAAGATCGTTTTCTCGCTGAAAGTGGTCTACTATCTACTGTATTCCTTGGATGCGGTGCTTTGCTTGCTGGTTGTGCCATTTACTTACTTTTGGTATGAGGAATATGATGAGGTTGCGGCAGAGGAAGGCGAGCAGACAGTTGGGAAACGCCTCTGGGGCGCTTTCAAGTATACCATTGCCTTTATTCTTCTTGCCGCTATTCTATTCCTCGCTGGGTTTTTCATTCCTATTCGCGGCCTAGAAGGGGATCGAGATCTGGATTTCTTCAAGAAACTGTTGACTGAGGGTCGTAAGTTTACTTTCTCACCTAACTGTACATAGTTATACTGACTATAGTACAGATGGCGAAAGAGCGCTCACCTTCGCTCTGGGCCTGCTTCTCACATTAGGAACATGTCTTTATGTCTTATATACATCAGCAGGATTTGCCTTCTTACCTATCACTCTCATAAAGACTGCGCCCACCATTTCGAACCCATCGCTCAAAGCAAGTACTACATCACAGCTTGAAGGGAACCGCGAACGCCAACGCCAGTTGAATGCGCGATGTGGCGGAGACCCCGACCAGCTTTCGTCCAAAGACCGTAGGGAATTAGACGGCTTAGTGCGAGAAGAACGAACACTCATCAGGAGGCAGCGCTTAATCGAAGAAGCACAAGGTTCTGGGCGCAGTTGGCTGATTCGGGTATGGTACAAAGTCGAGACAGTTTTTCGCCCCTTCAAGCTCCTCGGTGGCATTGTACTTCTTCTCGTCGCGATCTTGATCTGGGTTTCCATGCTCCTCACGGCCATAGACAAGGCCAAGAACTCGGTCTGCAAGCAGAATTGCGGATATATCCTAGCCCACATCAACGTCTTCAACCCAGTCAACTGGATCTTCGTGCAGTCAGCCCGCGTCTTCCCTGTGGACTATGTGCTTTTCGCATTAGTGGTGCTACTCTTTTTCACCAGCTCGGTAGTCGGCATAGCAACCGTCGGTATCAGATTCCTCTGGATCAGGATCTTCCAAATCCGCAAAGGCCATACCTCGCCGCAGGCACTCCTGCTAGCAACTGTGATGCTTACATTGATTACCTTGGCCCTGAATTACGCCATGTCAATGATTGTCGCCCCTCAATATGCGACTTTTGGTCCGCAGACTTTTTGCGACAAATCACTTAGCTCCTCTGCTAATGCGCAGCCCGACTGCTCGAATGATAGGGATCTTGTAAAGCCGTGTACAGAGCTTGCTGATAATCCTTCGGCAAAAGCGGTATGCACACCGAGTGTGGTGAGCACATTTTTTAACCGGGTCACCTTGAATTTCCCGTACTTTGGTGTCATCATCTTCTGGGCACAGTTTGCATTTCTAGGTATGTTCCTCCCTGCATAAAGCTTCGGGTACCTCTTATAATGTATACATATATACTGACGAGTCTGCTCCAGGTCTGTACCTCCTATTTCTAATCACTTCGCTATTCCGCACGCCGAAATTGGACGAGCGCCAGATCGACGAGGATGCCGAGGAGGCTGAAGAGGAAGGGTTGTTGGCTAGCACAGGTCGGCGTTTCAATGCTACCTGGCAAGATATCAGGGATGAATCCGCTTAGTTACATATAACTATTATGGTTCAAATTACAATTTCATCTCTTGTATGTATTTCTATAATGATTATGACGGTACATAATAGCCATTACGCAGCGGGGAACAATAAACGAGGGGATATTTCATTTGGTGGGCTATCTTTTGAGGCATGGCTAGCTATATATATCTAAGGATTGTATTTAATAGCTTTGTGCCGTGACTCGGCTCCATCATCCATGTGCATCTCCCACCAACAGCGGACACAGAACAATTGATCCCCCTCGCAATCTGTACATTTCACGGCAGGCTTATCATAGCAAATGCAGCAACATTCGGGATAAGCGTTTTCTCTTTTGTTCCGTTTTCTTGGTTGATCGCTGGGAACAGACGGTAGAGAGAGAGCGGCTAGTCGGGTAGAGAGTGTGTCATCATCTTTGTTATTTTCGTTGCTATTAATTCCTTCTGAAGTGGTGGTTTCTACCGCTTCTGGTGGTGATTCGCTGGGCGGGTTGGCTGAAAGCTCATTTAGGAGATCTTCTACGTACTTTGCGGCTTCGACTTCGTCTTTTTCATCATCGCTAGATGACTGTTCATTGTCTTCTCTATCTTGCAGGAAGTCTGGTATAGCCTTTTCTCTAGTTGGATTTTTGACCTCGGCTCCAGCCCCCGTAGAAGAAGAAGAGTGTTGGATGAATTCGTTTGCCCCGCTGAGGAGGTCTTTTGTATTGCCGCGTTTCTGTCCTTGTTCTTCCCTTGTATGTGTTGGTAGTTGCACGCCTAAATCCGGACCTTGAGTATCGTCCAGACTCGCAAGGAGATCTTCAATGGCATCTCCATCTAAGAGGGACTCAGGAGCTATTACATCGTCTTCTGCTAGTAGAGAGCCGCTGCCGCGGGCGAAATTGTCCAGTTTTCTGGCAACAGTGAAGTCCGCTGCTGAATCGGTATATTCTGGGAACAGAGAAGCTGCTGAAGGATTCGAGTTTAAAGCCAGATTCCTTTGCTAATCAGTCAGCAAGACTGGTTTCATATCCATGTGCTTTTGACTTGGTAGGCGCACTTCTGACGTTCAAGCTGGACAGTGGACGGTTTCAGCGCATTTAGCCGTTCCAGTAAGCGCTCGTCTTGGTTATTGGGAGCATCACTCATGGCTGTTCAAGGCGTGAAGGGAGTGGAATGTCGTTGAGTCGAAGTACGAAGAAGTTGTTGTTGGTCGCTGGCCCCACACCCGGCCTGCTTGGGTATAAAACTACTAGTAACTACTTCAGCAGCGCCAGCGCGCTCTCAAAAGCTTTCACCACGTTCGCATCTGATTCGATTTGTGATTGTCAGACCGGATTTTGTAAATAACCCGGCGGTGAGAACTTACAATGTTTCTTTTTCTCCTCTAGCTCGTGCTCCGAGTTTTGGACATGTTGCATGCGCGTCTGGAATCTGTAGAAAATATTAAGATGTTATTATGCGTTGTATTAATGCGGTCACTAGAAGTGATAACGAACCTTCTATATGACCGCTCCTCGTCGCGGGAAATGGTGACTTGGGACCAGGCTTCGAATATCTGTAAAGCTCAATCTCAGTCAGCATGTTTCTTCCGTGAGCGAAGAATGATTCATTGAAGACACTCGACAATATGTATCAATGGCTGGGCTTACCTTGAGTAACTCCATCGTCTGTTCCTGCAGCTCCTTGTCGATCTGCTCATGTTCCCTCAGAGCACTCGAGAACATCTCCAGAAGCTGATCCCAGCTGCATTTCTGGAGGTCTTCAGGGAGCAGGGACAAGTCTCCGGCTCCTCTAGCTGATACCGAAGGCGCGTTATTGCGTGTATTCCCCCCGTTTGGAATCTCGCGATGTTTTTGCGCTTCTGCCATGGTGGTGCTGGAACGTGTAGATATGAAGGATGGAAGGAAATAGTTGTGTCGCTGTTGGGAGTGAAGACAAATAATAGCTATGGGGTTGAGATCTGAAAATCAATAACCAAAACAGCGTAAATTAAACGCCGACGATTTACGCTGCTCGTAACTAATCGTGTATCGATACCGTATCCGTGAATACACCCGCTGTCCGCTGTCTCTCTCACGCCGTCTCCATGAATTATACAATCAACCACCTTCTCTGACTGGATTGTAAACCCAGAGCTGACCACGAACTAATTGATTTGCTCCTGATTTACTGTATAGGAAAAAGCTCCCTCTTCGTTGCATATATGAGCAGAGCTGGGCTCTCTCTTCCGATCTCAAATACCACAAACTATTTTTCTCACAAAAAATGTCCCTCCAAGCTTCATCACGAGCATACATCTCAACAATAACGAGACTCTCCCACACATCAGAACGTCTATACCACCAAATTCCGCAGATCAGCAGACTGCAAGCCAGAGGAAACATCATTTACCATGCTGCGTCACGGATCCCATGCCATACGACCACAGCGCAGATAAAATTACAGACACAACAGCGACAAACCTTCTCAAGCTCAGCATCTCTATTCCGGAAAAGAAGCAAAAGAAACGACGTCGTCGAAGCTTCCTCTTCCTCATCTTCTCAAGAGGACGACGCTACCACCACCGCCCCAGACCCATTCGACTTCTCGCAATTACACAATGGAGTCTCCGACGCAATTGCGCGCCTCAAAGAAGACCTACAAAAACTTCGATCCGGCGGCAGATTCAACCCGGAAGCCATTGAGCAATTGCGCGTGAACCTGGTGAAGGGGAGCAATGCAACAGTCAGATTGGGCGAGGTAGCTCAAGTAGTGCCCAAGGGAGGACGTTCTGTCGTTATTATTGTTGGTGAGGAGGATGTAAGTTTATTTCCCCCCTCCGTATGTATAATCCATACTTCTTGGGAGTTGGTGGACTAACTCTCTTTCATTTGTAGCTCCTCAAACCAGTAAACTCGGCCATCGTCTCGTCTAACCTCTCTCTCACACCGCAGCCAGACCAACACAACCCCCTCCAACTCAACGTGCCCATCCCACCGCCGACTAAAGAATCGCGCGACCAGGCCGTGAAGGCCGCCAAGGCCGCTATGGACAAGGCGTCTAATGCCATTCGGAGTTCGCGCGCGACGATACACAAGAGATTGCAGGACATGCAGAAGAAGAAGGAAGCGCGACCAGACGATATTCGCAAAGCGCATGATCAGATGGAAAAGGTGGTTGAGAAGGCGCAGAAGGATATTAAGGATACATTCGAAACTGCGAGAAAAACAATGGAGCAAGTCTAAATAGAAGACAAATTCTTTATTGTACAATACTTTAGAGAGAAAAAAAAAAGGAAGGGTTCGTTATGTATAATATGTATAATACATTCTGTTAAAAAAATTTTCCCAGGCCAGAACTTCAAAGTCTTCTAATTATGCCCGCTTCACACGCTGCGACGAAGCGAGCAGAGATTGAAACTTGCTCATAAACTCAGACTGTTTCCCCGTAATACGATAAGTCTCGTTGTTGTAAAGCTGTCTCTGCACCTCGTCCAGGATCGGATGGCGAGCATCGCCCTGTTGCCAATTCTCATAATTGCCGCGCACGAGCTGGCCAACCAAGGCTTTCCGCTCCGCGTCATTGATTGAAACGAAACTCGAGTCCTCAATCTCAACGAGTTCGCCCTTGCGTTGAGTCAACTTGTTCGCTCGTTCTTGCGCGAGCTTGTTCACTTCTTCCATGGCCTGCGCCTTCTCTTCCTCGCTAGTGAAAAGCACTCTCTCGCCTTCAAACAGTCGCTTGGCAAGTTCTTGAGGAGGCACGTAGCCATTCGGATACCGACGACTGGACAGACTCAATCGCTCCAGCACGGAACCAGCAGACGCCGTTTTCCCAACGGGCAAGGCGGGCCAGGTATCTTTCAATGCGGTAGCGTCGTACTGAACGGGCGAGTATCGAAAAGCCTTGGGCTTCGATTTGTTCCTCACCTCGGCAAAGGCTGCTTCCACGTCTGCGTCTCGCCCTTCGTCTCCATCTTCTTCATCCGATCGCTTTCGTCTCACGCGCTTCGCTCCCGCTTCTGCACCTTTGCCTCGAGCTCTGGATTTTGCTGCAGCTCCCACTCTCCCTCCTGTCCGAGCACCAGTACCGCCCCTTCCACGCAGCAAAGAGCGCTTGAGCTGGAGCCTAGGTGCTCGAATAATAGTTCCATCGCCCGCATTCGCAGCGCCCAGTGATCTGGCATCTACAGCACGAGGCCGGGTGGTGCGGGGCGCATTATTACTAGCAACCGGTGTTCTGCGAATGATGTTGATGCTGTTGCTGTTGCTGCTGCTATTATCCTCTTGTTGCAGCGGGTTTGCCGACGAGGAAAAAGGGCGTGTCAAGCGGACTGCATTGCCTGATCGGAAAAACGTAGGAAGACTGTCTATTGTTCTCCGGAGAGCGTGTAAACGACCAATGCGGTCCATTTTGATGTGTTTTGCTGTGTTCAATTGAGGATTGAGGAATAGACGGAGAGAGAAATTAGACGGATAGACAGTTCTCTGGAAATGGTGTCACGTGATACGCCCGGCATCGAATAAACAATCACAACCACCAACCTCGCGCTTTCTAACATCTATCGAAGTCCATTCCTTACTCATACATTATTATCAACCTCCATATTCCTCCTGGAAGCTAAAGGAAAGGGACAAAAAAAATGCTCCGTAGAAAACCGACCGCCCTAACAATCACGCCCGAAGACCTAATCGCCTTTGAAGAAGAACGCATCCAAAAAGCCGCCGAAGCAGCAGAGAAGAACCGCAAGGCCAATGAACAAGAGCAGGAACAAGCGGGTGCCAGCAGCTTTGCGCTGACAGGCAAGAAATATGATCCGAATGATGAATTGAAGCCGTTACCAGGCGATAAAGCGCGGATTGTGCGATCGAGGGATGAGAGGATTGGGATCGGAAGGAGGGGATGATTTTTCCTCTATTTTTTCTTTTTTTTATTTTCAAAAGAGAAAGAAAGAAAGGAAATGATAGGGTCGCGGGATCTGTTTATTGCGCCGTGACCGCCACCCCGTACGTTTATCATATATGGGATATGTTCCCCTCTATTCGAGCCCGATCGAAAGACAGTTTGGCAACCAGGAACCCGAAGACAGCGAGTGATATGATTGAGCAAGCAATCAATGATCGAGGTGGTCCATGCACAAACAACACCAATCAATCTACTCACGAAGACGGCCAATTACCAGCACAACAATCGCAAAATTCAAGGAAACGATCATATGCCTCAGCTTACATCTATCTTCTTATCCGATGCCAGAGGAGAAACGAGAGAAATCAATCAATCGGTGTTATTCGCTGTCTTCCGCGCCGTCATAATAAATACATTCATTGATGGGTATCAATAAAATATTCAAAAACCATTAAAGAGAAGAATTTTAGTGTACATGCGCACATATCAAAAGAACAAATTTAGAAGGAATCAAAAGTCATGTTTCTTGCCTTACTTTGTCTTTCAACAAATAGTAAGAAGACATCACTCGTTATAGACGGTACCTGCACGTCCCTAGTAAGCTGTATGGTGTACGGTCGTGGATGTTTTTGTGTGCAGTCGTAGTAGGTCATTAATGCCTAGGCTAGGCTAGGCTAGGCTAGCCATAAGTCGTAGGTCATATCGTACGAAGGTAGCTGGGAACGGGGTGAAAGTTGGTTAAATCGCATTTGAGTAGTCCGTAACGGGTTGGTTATCTTGATCGTTTAGCGGCATTTTGAGCTGTAACGTCGACAGAAAAGTTCCATCTGCGTTTCAGTCCTTGTGGATCAAAGACACTCGCAACGCTTTGTTGCCAATCTCTTGCCGTCATAATACGCTGAGGATTGGGGTCGTAGGACTGCTGAGACATGGCGTGCATAGGGTCCATGTGGACGATCTCGCCGTTAGGTGTTGTTGCGTAATGCATCGGATACTGAGGCGAAACAGCCTCGGAAATTGATGGACCTGTACCGGTGAATGATACCTGGGGAGGAGTCATGCCAGACGTCGGGGTAATATTAGATGCATCGACGGGAAACGCCATGTTCCAAGAACTAGAGATCAATTTGTTAGCAGGTTACTAATCAAACAAGATCAATTCAGCTTACGTGATAATGCGAGTAGGGTCCCAGGTATTTTCGTCTACGAGCGGAACACTTATGGGTTGGTTTCCCAGCTGATGGTGATGGAGCATGCCCATGTTGGTCTGAGAAATGTCTGATTTCGAGTCCTCGGCCCCGGTAGAGATGGGTGGTGTGACAGAATGAGAGCTATATCCCAGCCGATGGGGACTCGGCATCTGAGCTTGGCCATACTGATTGTATTGCGATTCCAAAGCTGGGGGGCTGGCACTATGTTTCTCTGATGGACTTCCGTATGGGAAAGTCGCTTTCAGTTCGAATGGCCGATTGATATCAGCGGAAAAAGCCACCCTCAAAGCGTCAATTTGAGCTCGAATCTCGGGAAGTGGCCAAGTTGCGGAGCATTGCTCGAGTATTCGCATATGGCGAGTGAAGTAATCACGTGCATCTATATAAAACTCGGGATCTGGTGATGTAATCGCAACCTATATGATGACATTAGAATCTGTGAAGTCGCAAAAATGAAGAAAGAACAACTCACTAGATGCAGCATAGTGCATGTCAGAATTGCATATACGGTGAAATTGATTCCTCGCTGCATGAAACGGAGACCTTGTAGACCAAACCGAGAGATAATAGCTTCCTGCAGTCGGCAAAGACATTTCGCAGATGACCAGCATAGCAACATATGTGTCCTCCATCCATCGTCGGCTGTGAAAGACTTTGATGCCAGCAATTGTGGTCGATGAAGCATTATGATAGCTAAATGATAATGGGTGTGCATATTTCCCACAAAATGTGACGGCAGCCATGGCGGAGAACCATCCTCTGGGTAAGTTACTTGGAGATCCTGGGGCAGACCTTGATACCAATCGCTAAAAAGCGGATTGTTCTGGGTGAAGCGTGGATCTGCGGCCCACACCTTTTGTTTCTTAATTTTGTGATACAATTCGGTGAAGATGCGGATGTGATATGCATTTTTAACGAAGTAGGAATATTGTCGAGAACGATCGGTCTCGAATTGGTCGATATCCACAGTGTCGAGTTGCGGCCGCATATCAACTGTTTCTGGATCTACCTCATAGTCGGAACGCCCTACAATTTAGCATTAGCAAAGTAGTACATTACATTTCTTTAAAATGGAGTTAACAAACCTTGAGGACCCCCCACCATGACCTCGACTACTAGTAGTGTCTGCCAAACTCTAGTCTGTATCAAACACTCTACAGGATCAAGGCCACACGATCTCCCTTCTTGATGGGTAGCATAGTGCTCATGGAGCTCAAGGTCCTTCGACATGGAAATTGCCGTCTTGATCGTCTGCCAGGAACGGTAATAATACCCTTTCTTAGGATTCGATTCGCGTGCTTTCAGTAATAACAGCAACGCCTGAATGGTGCTCAAGCGTGGGACGTCCATGAAGCTCGTTTCATGTCCTAGACACAAGTCGTCAGCTAGCCAGTCAGAGAGAAAATCAAGTATAAATGCATACTAGTAGCAAGCGCGAGCCATTGAGCGCCCTGAGCAGGGTCATCAGACATCCTCGCTGCGCACGCAAATAATGCTTCCAATAACAAGGGAGAAATTGCAGAGCGGTCAGTGCGCCACTGCTGATACAGATGCGAGCGGTGGATAACAGGGACGTAGGGATGGATGTCCGCAAAAAATATCTTAAAATAATCCATGACCTCCTCATTCGGAGGCATCAGTTCCGGTGGAATTCTAATGGTCGAACCAGCGCCCGTGCTAAGCGGAGGAAGTTCATTGTCCAGATCATCTTGGACAGGAGCTCCAGGCTCCGTCAACCCCTTTCTTTGCTGCCGAATATAAGGTGCTATAACAGGTATCCATTAACTGAAATGGTTCATATGATTACGAAGTCAGGGGCCAAGCTTACCAATGCCTGTTTCATCGATTTTTAATTCACCCAGAGCTTCCGTCAGATTTTCGGCAGTGGACTGCTCTGGATCAACAAAAACACCACTATCTGTAGTCGGAAGCGGCTGGGAGGGAGTCATCTGAAAATATTGGTCTTGGAAAGAATGTTGGGGAAGTGCCATCTCGGGGGCCTGTGTATGTGCATATATGCTAGGATTATGCGGTATATAGGACGAATAAATGTCAAAGGACGGAATACTACTTGTTAGCGAGGGATTCTCAGTCGCGAAACTGGGCTGTATGATTTCGTGCTGTGGGATATTCGGCTGGCTTGTAGGTTCTTGATAACCTGTTTGCTCTGCCTCGGCCGCAGCGCCTTGCGCGGGACTGGTCTGGTCGCCATCCTGGCCTATTGTCGGAGGCACACAAACTAGTTTCAACCTAAGGCAGGCCGTGCAGGGCCATGAGTTGGTTGTAGCAGCATCACATTTAATTTTCCTCTTTCGACAGCCATTACAGGCGCGCATCACTGTCATTGGTCAGAGGAAACTGAATGCACTCAATGATTTCTCATCTGATCCGTACCTTTGAGCCTTTTGTGTCTGTTGTGTTCATCGACAAAGACATAGTCTAACTTTTGGTCAGTTTTGAACACAAAAATGAAACCACACAGCGGAATAGAGCCTCACTCTTTTGCCCTTCTCGTTGGGGACCGGTTGGGGGAGTAAAAGTATATTGTTGCATGGCGTATCACGTAATATATCATCAGACCGTGTAAATTGCAAGAGAGATGGGGCCAGAAGTGTGGATATTAGGCCCGAATCGCGATTTCAAGTGATCCGCGATGCGGAGCGAATTAGCGACGTAGATTGATCAAATTGTAGTAGAGTCGGAACATCGGATGATACATGGACAAGAAAGACAACCAGATTGCTTCGCGCTAACCCAACTCTTCTTGAATCGTTTCAGTCTTGGGTGTCGATGGAAGGAAGGTACGACGAGGACGGGCGCGGCTTGGTAGGATGGATGTATGTCGTTACGTCAGGGACAAGTATCGGATGTTGAAAAGAATATATATCTATATGATTAATAGCGGTATTCAGACAACGGCACCCCTATGGCGCTCGAAACCGGCGAGTGGGTACGTATATGTAGGTGTATGTGTATGTACGTATGGTGGTGGCGACGCCTTTCAGGAGCACCTGAGTTGCGGTGGCCGCCAATCGCGAATAATTAGGCGGCGGCAAACGAGTGAGACATAGGACTCAGTGGACGGCACAGAGCATGCGTGTGTGGATGAAGCGTGCCAAAAAGCAACGTGGGCTGCTTGCTTATACCAGGCGAGTTCGCATGCGCTCGCTCACTTTAGGACGAAGATCATGAGCCTGCAAGTTACTCGGAAAATAATTAATAAGCAATTGGCCGAGGCACAGTGTCGTATATGATAGACAACGTCGTAGAGAGCAGATCAGCACGGAGAAGAGTCGGATAGCAGAGAGAAAGAGGGAGAGAGGGAGAGAGTCGCTGCAGAGCACCAGGGGCGAAGACAGTCATGATGAAGGGAGAAACTGCAAGCCCGTCACACAAGCAACAAGTAAGTCAAAGGGCAAGTGGGGGGGGGGGAGAAAGAGCGAGCCGAAGATGCGACGGATCGAGTTAGGAAGGTGCGATCGCTCTCCTCCAATTGGGCGGCCGGGAATTTCTCCGCTGGGCATATATTACATACATTCTTACATACAGCTGTCGCGATGGTGTCCATCTATTTATATAGAGAGATATAGGTTTATATGCATGTAAGTATGTCTAGGTGATTGGGCATCACTCATGGCGCATCAATCCATCATCAATATGCTTGCTTCCAAGGATCGCCCTTGTGCTAACAGGCCCACATGCGGTCTCTGTTACATGCGCTATATAATCATTAGATAAGGTGTATGCATGCCGTGGACGCTGTGTGCGATGGATAGACAGCCGGGGTCATTGGATAGTAAGTGCAATAAGTTTGCTTGTGGTGCTGCGAAAACCTACAATGCCTGACGACTTTTCGGGGTGTCTGAGCAGAGAGAAGAAGAAGAAGAAGAAGAAGGACTGATTGGATCTAAAAAGAAAAATAAGGTACTCGGCGGCGGCGGGGGCACCCAAAAAGCTCGGACGCAGTTCTACTCGATCGCCGTCAAATCGTGCGTACGGTACCGTAACCGTAACCGTAATTTTGACGGTAACAATGATAATCCGAGGGCCGAAAATCTTATCGCCGCAGATCATCAAGCAACCACCACCACTTCCCCTCGACGACATCGGAATCTGCTACGTACTAGGCATAAAGAATATTACCTCTCCACCAAGCAAAATGGCATCCGAAATGCAAAACGTGAATCCCACAGTCATCAACGCCGCCGACCTGCCCACTCGCCAAAGAAATCAATCGACGCAGCTGGATAATCGCCACCAGGAGTATGAGGGCACAGTCTTCTTCAAGGACCTCGCACTGCCCGAATTAACAGATCCGTTTGCTCTCCATTCTTCCTATACAAGCAGCATTTCCTCAGAGTCCGAGAGCGAAGAAGATGGCGACGATAATACCTTTGAGGAGCCTATTGACGAGCAAGAAATATATGGTGAGAATTTCCCTTCCCCTCGCCTCTCGTACGAATTCTGTATTAATTGTATAAACAGACCTAATTGCAACAATATCTGACCCCGAGCACCCTATATCCCTCGGCTCGCTCGCCGTCGTCTCCCTACCCGACATATCCATTACGCCTTCCCTGCCCCAGAACCCGAACTCGTTACTCCGCACCGTCACCGTGCTCATCACCCCGACCATCACGCACTGCAGTCTGGCCACCGTGATCGGCCTGGGTGTTCGAGTGCGCCTCGAGCAGTCCCTGCCGTCCCGCTTCCGTGTCGATGTGCGCATCAAGCAGGGAACTCATAGTACCGCGGAGGAAGTGAATAAGCAGTTGGCGGATAAGGAGAGGGTGGCTGCGGCATTGGAGAATGGGACGCTTATGGGTGTTATTGGGAAGATGTTGGAGACTTGTACTTGATCAGCTTTGTATAATATTTCAAGTATATAGGGTTTGGTAATAAAAGTACTGTATATACTTTCTTTCGCGTCTAAAGAATGCAATTCATTGATTCATCCGACCTGTACGCCATCTTGTTCTTGTCCATTGCCATACAAAGGTATTATTACACCAATCCTCAAATCGATAGCCTCTTTTTTGTGGAATTACACCTACCCCTCAAGCACTCCGCTGTCCTTGAGTCCGCGCCATAACTCGGGTTCTAGGAATTTGCTAACAGTCACGTCCTCCGCTAGACCCTTGCGCCTTCTCGTTTTGAGGACAAAGTCTCGAGCAATAGCCTGCGCGCTTGCCATTTCTAGTGGCCGAAGTTTGATTTCTCGGTCAAGCGGGTCGCCAGGAACAACGTTCCATTTATCAAACACCAAGCTGACAGTTGCCTGGCCTTGGGTGTGGATTCGAAGATCTGTTTCGAATCCGAAGGAGTCGATGACTGGTATCAGACCGCGGACCGAGTACAGCGGTGTTCCTGCAACAGGTCCGTCTGCAAGGACGTGGCCTCGACGCTTTGAGAGCACGGTGTACACAGAGGCCACGGCGTCTGCTGGTCCGAGCATTTCGCATGCATAAACGGGCTCCATCAGTCGGGGAGAGGCCATGAGGAAGGAGGAATAGACGGCGCGGCGAGTTGTGGGAATGATCTGCCCACCACCACGGTAGATTGCCTGATCGGCGAGTGAGATGTCTGTAAGTCTGAACTTGGTGTTTCGGATAGCTATATCATGATCAGCTCGGTTGACAAGGTGGTAGAGCAGAGAGAATGAAACTTACGTTCTTCACATAGAGGACCTTCCCTCGTTCCCCAGCTGAAACCTTGGACAATAGAGTCGCGTACAGTTCCAAGCAGTTTCTTGTCCACCTGTGACGGAAGTGTGTCATCCTGTAATATATTCGGTCCATTCTCCTCGGGGCCAAACGCCCAGATGCTGCGCGCTGCAAGCTTGTCCCACTCATACTTGTCCTCGAAGAACTGAGCTACCTTTCGAATCGGATCCTTGATACGAACACGGCCGCTCTCGATATCCTCTGCAATGCCCTCGTCTAGAGGCTCTGCAATCATGGTCACCTTATTCTTTTTATTCGGTGTAATAGAGTAGCACATAATGGCCGATGTTTCCACCACAGTCTCGCAGAACCTAGTCACGGGGTCCGATACCTTCAGTTCCATCTCCGCGTAGAGTTTGCGCAGATCATGGAGGACGCAGTCCATATAAAGCTCTCCAGTACCGAGAATGACATGTTCGCCGGACTCTTCCACCTTCGTAGAAATCAAAGGATAACTCTTATTAATCTTACGAAGGCCGTCCAACATCTTGGGAAGTTCCGATGGGTTGATAGGCTCTACCGCAACCTTGAAGACAGATTCAGTCATGTGACGGATTGGCTTGAAGATATAAGCATCTTCGTCGTTTTCCAGTTTGGGCGCAACAAGTGTTGCAGTCTTCATAATCGAGTTGTCCACGCCGCCCAACAGCACCCAATTTCCGGCAGGTACCCCGTCGGTGGGAACATTATACCGAGAGTTGGCAATCCATGTGTCGGTGATGGTAGCGTTGACCATATCCTCTTCGTCGTCGAGAGAGTAGCCCTCCCCGAGCACACGTACCTGCTGGTTCGGTCGAGCAACACCGCTCATGACTCTTCCGAGTGCGTTGAATGTCGAAGCATCAGAGCTGTTAAACAACTTGGTCACATGGATCACAAGTGGTCCATCCTGGTCGCAATTTGCCATGGATTGCGCAATATTTGTGTCCAAAGGACCGGTATAGTATCGCTCTAGTTTGTGCGCTGCTCCCCCAACGGCCGACGGTACATGCTGGACAACCATGTCGACAAATCCAGTAGCTGCTCCGAAGAATTGTTCACAGACAAGGTTGAGAAGCACCTTTGCATCTAATTTGAGCTGGGAAGGCTTCAATTGTATATCGAGGCTCGCTAATGTTTCTTTCAGGTCCTCGGGGCTCTCGCTAATCGTATGTGAATATAGTTTGTATACGGGCTCCAGCACAAAGTTGACGAAGGATCGCTTAGACCCCTCCTCCACGGCCTTGCGTGTAAACTTGCGACTTCTGGGGTTATAGAAGATATCTCCCCAGAGTCGCTTGGCGAACTCTACACTATCGAGTTTAGAGTGTCGCTGAGCGTACATATGAGCAAACGATTCCAGAGTAAAGCACCAGTTCATCGAGCTGCAAGCAAAGGCAACATTCCCCTTTTCTGGGCTAAGTCGTCGGCTTTCCCCTTTCCCCGGGATGACGCCCTCAATCGTGGAATTAACTTGCTCAATTACATGCTTCAGTTTGAAGTATGCGTCGGTCGGCGGCAGTTTTAGCTCAAGAATCAACCGGTCGACCTTATTCACTACCAATGTCAGTGGTATATCCTCCAACACAGCGTATTTTATGATCTGCTCTGTGTTTGCCGGGACACCCTCGACAACGTCAACGACTAACACAACGCCGTCCGCCAAGCGTATGGAGGCCGCGACTTCGTCGACAAAATTGACATGGCCTGGTGTGTCTAAAATATTGAACAGATGCGATTTCCCTTTCGTTGATGGTAGGACGAGAGTTATTGGTGCCGATTTTATGGACAACTGCCGTTCTCTTTCTAGGAAATGCACGTCGGTGTACCGCAACTGTTCGTCTCGGTTCCTGCCGGTGCGTTTCTCTAGTCGCTCATTTATGTCATGGGTCTGCATGACCAACATATCTGTAAAGGCCGTCTTCCCATGATGAAGATGGCCTGCAATTGCAATGTTCCTGATTTGCTCTGGATAGTTGAGCAAATCCGCCATAAACTCTCTCGAATAGAAAACTGGAGGAAGATCTGTTTCCTGTATCGCGAACTTCTTCTCCTGCACCGGGTTGATGATGGGCTGTGTGAGAGGTTGCGCATCTTCTTCTTGGACCAAAGTCTCTACCTCAGCGCCGTACACCTGTTCAGCGCTGGGATAGTATTGTTTATCTTCGTGCAATATAACCGCATTCGATGGGCCCTCTACAGGGAAGGGAGAAGAAAAAAAAAAAAAGGGAATTAGCTCTCTATGCAGGTAGCATTTGTGACAACAACAACAACAAAAGCTTACCGTCGACCTCCATCAATTCCTGGCCAGCAGCTTCAGGCTCCTCCTCCTCCTCTTCCAAATCTTCGTAGACATAGCCTGTTGTAGGGACATCTTCGGCTTCTGATCCCTCCGACAATCCACCTTCGCCAATGTAGTTACCGAACCTGCAAAGAGCACGAAAAAGTTAGTTCCAAAGGATCAATGAGTCTGAGTGTGTATGCGATCGCAGGACATACTCGTCATAGAGGTCATCCATGGCGGAGAATGAGCGAGCGAGTTTGCATTGCACAGCTCTGTTCGCCGCGCAAAGACGATAAAGTTCTACTTCGACAGGCCCAGTTCGGAAGGCGGTGAGAAGGTAAGCTGGTATTATTGCTTTTTGGCCATCTCCAGTGCTTTTTTTTTTTTTTTGCGCAAGCTTTCATTCCATGGTTCGGCTAATAAATAGTAAAAGGGGGATTGATTCTTTCTCTGCGTCTTGACATTTTTTCTACCTACGTTGAAGTTGTAGATCGATTAATCGACTCGTAATCAGAAAATAGCGCCCTCCCCAACCGCAGCGCTCAGCATTCCCGAACGGGATTCTCTCACCGACCTCCTTCCCTCTAGGCAGACTAAATAAATCGTCCTCTCCCAACCATAAATTCTTCGCCCCTGGCATCGTCTTCCTCTTGACTCCCTCCTGTTTCACTCAATTGCTCCTCGCTTTTCCTTTCGTTGCACACCCCGATTCAGAGCACGACTCTAATCTTCTCTTCCATCTTCATACCATTTACCCCGCAATTGTTACTATCGCCATGTCTCTCCCTCCTGTCTACATTGTTTCCGCCGCCCGCACGCCTGTAGGCTCATTCCTCGGGTAAGCCTCGAGTTTGCTGATTGAGAAATGTGTAGTTGGTTCTCTGACTTGTTTCTTGCTGCAGCTCTTTGTCTTCCTTGTCCGCGACTCAGCTCGGCTCTCATGCCATCAAAGGTACATTGATTTATTGATTACTATTCTCATCCTTGGAGTAAATAACAGCATGAACTTACTAGAATGCAGGAGCTGTGGAGAGAGCTGAGGGCCTGAACCCCGCCGATGTCGAGGAAGTGTACTTTGGAAACGTTCTATCGGCGAAGTAAATACACCCCCCATGCTCATCCTCCATTTTGCGAATTACAAATAGCTAACCATTGATAATTGCCTAGTGTCGGACAACACCCTGCACGACAAGCCGCGCTCGGTGCCGGGCTGCAAAACACTACCGTGTGCACAAATGTGAACAAAGTCTGCGCTTCTGGCCTGAAGGCCATCATGCTTGGTGCCCAGACCATCCAAACCGGTGGCGCCGACATTGTCGTTGCCGGAGGCATGGAGTCCATGTCCAATACCCCCCATTACCTTCCCAGCCTGCGCAATGGTGCCAAATTCGGCAACCAGACCTTGGTCGACGGCATCTCGAAAGACGGTCTTACCGACGCATACAAGCAGGAACTCATGGGTATGGCGGCAGAGGAGTGTGCCCAGGATCACGATTTCAACCGCGAGCAACAGGATGAATACGCCATTCGCTCATACCAAAAGGCCCAGGCTGCACAGAAGGAGGGTCTGCTAGATGGTGAAATTGTCCCAATTGAACTACCTGGCTTCAGGGGCAAGCCTGGTGTGACTGTGTCGCAGGACGAAGAACCCAAGAATGTATGGAAGCCAACCCTCTCCTCCCTTTTCCAAATCTTTCGACGAATTTTATTATTCCTTTTGGCAGGCCACAAGTCTAACAGCACATGTATAGCTTAACCCTGATAAACTCCGCGCAATCAAGCCTGCGTTTATCCCAGGTTCTGGAACTGTGACCGCACCAAACTCCTCTCCACTCAACGATGGTGCCGCTGCTGTCGTTCTTGTCTCCGAAGCCAAACTAAAAGAACTCAACTTGAAGCCCATTGCCAAAATCCTTGCCTTTGCCGATGCTGAACAACAACCCACAAAATTCACAACCTCCCCCGCGCTCGCCATCCCCAAGGCTTTGAAGAAAGCAGGCGTCTCTCAGGACAGCATCGATGCATTCGAGATCAACGAGGCGTTCAGCGTCGTTGCACTTGCAAACTTGAAATTGCTCGGACTTTCAGAAGACAAGGTGAACATCCACGGTGGAGCCGTTGCTATCGGCCATCCTCTTGGTGCCAGCGGTGCCCGTATCCTTGTCACGCTCTTGGGAGTTCTCAAGGCTAAGAATGGCAAGCTTGGATGTGCCGGTATTTGCAACGGTGGCGGTGGTGCCAGTGCTCTTGTCCTGGAATCGCTCCTGTAAAGAAAGAAAGAAACAACAAAAAAGAAATAAAACATCAGAAAATACTCTCCCTTTGTGACCAATTTAGTTAGGAGAAAGGGAACTTTTGCAGCTGCTGTTGTTGCTACTTATATCCCTAGTTGCCTCTAGTTTGCACTAGAACAGAGATACCTTTTCTGCATTTCGACATCTAGTACCGTTACATCGGTATCTTGATTTAGTCGTTAATGACGTTTTATATAGCGAAAAAAAACAATTAATACTGAGGGAAAGGAACCTTTTAATCATGAAGAACAATAAGAATTTACACTGAATAATGGGCCAAGATTTTAAGCTTCAATGAGAGAAAGAAAACCGCAAATTTGAAATCAAAGCTATGCAAACGCCCCTACAATCGACATAAGCATAGCACCGCCGAGAACTGCAAGACACGCCTCCACTCTCCGCCATCCGTTGAGAGTCTCGTAGCTCTCTGTACTCAAAAAGTCCTCTGCAAGAAGCTCCACGAGTCCCGCAAAGAGCAGCAAGCCGCTGCTAATCGCGTTTGTGAAACCGACCATCAATAGCCCCGTGGTGCTAGCCGGATCGTAGAGATTATGCAGTACCAGACCGAGGGCCTGGCCTATAGGCGTCGTTGTGCCGTATGCGAAAGCCATGAGCCATGGCTTGTAGGAAGAGGGGGGGAATAAACTTGGTATTAGGGACGCGATTCGTGATCCTAATGCGAAGCCTTCGAATGTCTGGTGGAATGAAATCGCCACTAGGAGCACTATAAACGACGTGCCCGTGGCGACGCTGAGAGCCATGCCAATGAAGATGCTGTGGAAGAGGATGCCGGCTTCAAGGAGAAGGCATTGAAGAAGTTGTCTCTGGGGGTTTTGCAATGGGACAGACGTGCTGTCTTGTCGTACATGTTTATTAAGTGGTGGGCTTCGAGGGCTGTCGACGGATATCCGTGGTCCATTTCGCGGAGAGACAAGAGTTGCTGTTTCCTCGTCCATGTAGGGAACCATCTCTTCTTCCATATCAGGGTCAGCCTCATTGTTATGGGAAGCACCTTGACCATCGGAATTGGGAGAGCGGATCAAACTCTCTCTCATTGCTAAAAAGCCAAGACGTCAGTTAATACCGTAATGCTTGGGTTAAAGAACAAAGCTCACCATGATCTTGATTCGATAACTGAATATATTCCTCCCGCCGTCTTTGTTTATTCTCTTTTCGATTTTCCTTCGGACTGACATCTCTTATGAGTTCATCGTAATCTATGCCATGGACATGTGCCGCGCCTTGACTTGCAAAGAACATTTCAACCGTAACAACGAGGAACACCGACACCATTGCTATAAGCCCGGCCATGGCCGGATATCCATGAGTCCAGAATGACGGCAAGCAGGGATTTAATAGAGAATTGAAAGCGGTCGGGAGCAAGTGAACAAATGCTGTAGCTATTAGAACGCCGGTGCCGAAATGCCTGGAAAAGAAGAGAAACCGGCGCGGGATAGGCAACCAAGGGAATCGACGTGCTAATATCGGAAATGAACACGCTAGGAGATGTGAGCTAGTTGAGGCTATACAAGGTTCATGGGAGAGGAGCACCATTTATACTGACCTAGAGTGCTAAGAATTAAGATGAGAAATAGAGCGAAAACATGAAGAGACGTGTTGTATTGCCCAGTCTTGTTTGAACCACATGCCGACTCTCCATTTTGTCCATCAGATGCTCTTGATTCAAGACGGCGCGCGAGCTCAGATCTTAAGACTTGGATTGGAATATCTTGTAGGGATGAGGAAAACGCTTCTAATTCTATGTGTAAACATATCAGTCTATCAAAAAGTGTTTCTTTGCTTAGTGCAGGTCCGGGCGAACTCATACTCACCTCCTTCAAGCATTGTGTATGAATATTATAGGACCAGTCAATAGACTGGCATTTTTGTTTTTTAAAAAAAAGAAGAAACCAAAGATTCCGAATCCTCCAATGCTGCCAAGTAGAGAAGCGATCCCCCACGTGAATAGGGGAGTTCTGGATGAGACGCAGTGGCCGAATGCAAACTAGAGCTGCGAACTAGAGACTGCTCGGACTATATAATGAAAGCGACATGCTTTTGTGGTACTTGTTAATTGTTGTAGTTTCGGCAAGCCGGAGCTGTAATCGACTCTCAATAATTAAGACTACGTAGTTAAAACAGCTCCAGAATAATATCAATACACTATTCTAAATCAGGTTAGCCACCCGCTTATCAGATCGAAATCTAGTCACGTGTCTGAAATGTCCGATATCGGTGTATTGTCCGGTAACCGAAAACAACGCTAGTAATGTTAGTAAGCTTCCAGTCTTAACCGCCTTGGGACAAGCGTGTTAGTTATCAACTTATCGCTCATGCCGTCATGTAAGCCAACCACATGAACCGAGTCACAACTCTCCCCTTTCATCACCAACTTTTGTATTACCTGTGCCCATGCGACAAGTCCACATGGCTTTGTTGTCGTTTTAGATACTTACCCAGACTCGATTTCAGAGCCATGAATGAAGGCTTTGATCTCTCCGCCGCCTCCAACAATAACAACAAGTCGAGCACGCCGTCCGCATCTACCCAATCTTCTACATAGGTTATCATGGAAGAACAAGAAGTAACAACAAGGCGTTCTCCATTAGACTCTTTCAACTCGGTTTGAAATGAGTTGCAGCATATGTGCACGTACTGCCAGCAACCGTTCGCCCTTCTATTGCCCTACTTGTGCCCGGAGCCACTTGTATACCTTGCGATATGAAACTGCTCGTGTTCTGCTCGAGAAGGAGTCCATAGGGCGAGAGGTAGAGGCGGCGGTCTCTGGAGATGCTGATGATGCACAAAATATACACAACGTTGCCCATAAGGCAGGAAGCCGCGAAGGGAATCTCAAATGGGGCGTTCAAGCTGCCCAAACAGAACAGGCTCGGTCCTTAGACCGAATACGGACAATGCGTCACTGTGCAGAGACCCTGAAAACCGAAATAGAACAGAGGAAAACCCAGATTCACAGAATGAGGTTGCAGCTGAGACAACGCCGCTCAGATGCCGAGTCTGCAAACTTTCAGCTCAGTGAACGACGGAATGCTGCCTTGGCGAACATTCAGAACGGGATCAAAAGGACAGAGCACCTTTGGCACTCGTTACACAATAAGACTGCTGAATCTAGAATATTCCTATGCCGCGAGGCTGCACATTTGTACGGTCTTCGCCGGGAATTTGAAAGGAAAGAAGGGGGCCAACGGGGTGGTGAACAATACTACATTGGAGGTGTTCCGATTGTTGATTTGAGAAATTTGAACGGTAAGTCGAATCACATATGGCGGTGCTATATATCTATCTCTTTCTAACATTGTCTAGGGGCCTCACCTTCACAAATATCCACGGCTCTATGCAATATATCCCATCTGCTCATAGTAGTCTCTCACTACCTGTCCCTTAGATTACCTGCGGAAATTATTTTGCCTCACCGCAATCATGCAACACCAACAATCTTTGCCCCAGCTACATCCTATTCAACAGGTCAGGATGCTTTAGGCGATACCTGGCATCCTTACACGGCCTCAAACCCCCGAGATGCAAGAAAACACCGTTCTCGTCCTCTATCAGTAGAAAAGACACTCCCGAGACTTGTTAAAGAAGAACCCGCTACATACGCGCTCTTCGTCGAGGGAGTATCTCTCCTAGCGTGGAATATATCATGGCTTTGCCGTACGCAAGGCCTGAACGTTGGCTCGGATTCCTGGGAAGACATTTGCAATATCGGCAAAAACATATGGCAACTTCTGGTATCACCAACAGCGCCGAATACCAATGCCATGAGGGCAGTATCAGGTCGTGATCTTCGAACGAAATTGCCCACCACAAATGACAACAATAGCAACACCAAGAGCCAGCCCAAGACCATCATCCAGCGAACGAAATCATTCCCCATGCTCGGACATTACTCGCACGGGACATCCCATTCCTTCCTCGGTGCGGCCGAAGGAGTGGAGTTTATGAAGACATGGAAATTGCCCACTCCGGCCAAAATTGCCGATAAACTCAAATCTGCATTATTGGGGGAAATGGCCAATGCGGAGTGGGAGCTACTTGAAGAAAAAGAATGGGATGATGAAGCCGATTCCTCCGAGAAGAACAAATATGCTCGAGATAATATCACAACAACAACAACTACTACTACTACTACTACCGAAGGGAGAACAACGTCTGTCGGAGATAACAATACTACTAGGCCTATACAGCCTGCTACTAGCCCAGGTAATAGAGTCAGCGGCACGAGCGGTTGGACCAAGTTGAAGAGCAAACAAGAAAGATAATGGGTCAGAGAAGTTGTTGAATCAATCAGCATGTATACTACGATTATAATTATACTCTATGCCTATACCTATAGATAGCTCTTATACGTTGAATCAGTTCCTTAGACAACACCTGCTACTTGACTTTTTTGTGTAATATATATATCTTTTTACTTAAAAGAATAGAAGAATGTTTGAAAAATATTCTATAGAAAAATGGAAAAAGCATAATTCTCGACATACACAAGGAAAAATTGGAAACATGAAGAAAAAAAGAAAAAAAAAGGGAAAAGTCAAGTTATCATCGCCAAAACAATCTAGATAGATAGACCCTTTTTGTTCTCTTCACTACCCGCGTAGACTCGTACATACACAAATATTGTGTGGGTGTTTCGTTAAAATGGGAAAGTCGTCAATTGAATTCTTTTTGTTTGTCTTGTAAGAAAAAACTTTTCTGGCATTTTGCGTATTGCTTTTTCTTTTTTCTTCAGACATAGGAAAAACATTATCATCATTCCACACTTCCAGTATTAAAGGAAAATGGAAGTCAAAAACGACACACACAGTTTATTTGGTGGGGGTATTGAGGGTTTCTTTTTATTCTTCCATTTTTTCTTCTCATTTAAGGGGGGGGGAAAGTGAGTTTAGCGAGTGGCCATAGCCTTTGTGATGAGACGCTTGAGGGCCAATTCCTTCTTCTTCAGGTCATCAGGCGTGGAGTCGTCGATTTCGAGCTGGCCCATGGCGTCGCTCAAGGCAGATTCGATTCTCTCCTTGTTACCGCGCTTGATCTTCAATGACATGGTAGGGTCAGAGATGATTTCCTCAACACGGGAGATGTAGGATTCGAGCTGTTGACGGGCCTCGAACTTCTTGCTGAAAGCCTCATCGCTAGACTTGAACTTGGCGGCATCTAAGAAAATGAATTAGAGAAATTGCATTGATTGGTATACCAGTGTATAACTTACCGCTGATCATCTGGTCGATCTCAGTGCTGGAAAGTTTGCCAACAGCGTTGGAGATGGTGATGTTGGCGGTGCGTCCAGAGGACTTCTCGGTGGCAGTAACCTTGAGGATACCGTTGACGTCGACCTCGAAGACAACCTCGAGAGCAGCCTCACCAGCCTTCATAGGAGGAATAGGGGCAAGAGTGAATTCACCGAGAGAGGTGTTGTCCTCGCAGTTTGTGCGCTCACCCTGGTAGACAGGGAACTGAACGGTCTGCTGGTTGTCCACAACGGTGGTGAAAGTACGCTTCTTGATGGTGGGAACAGTTTGGCCACGGGGAACAACAGGAGCGAAGATGTTACCCTCCATAGCAACACCAAGAGACAGGGGAACGACGTCCAAAAGCAAGAGATCAGCAGTCTCGCCAGAGGTGGCCTTTCCACTGAGGATACCGGCCTGAACGGCAGCACCGTAGGCAACAGCCTCGTCGGGGTTGATGCTCTGATTGGTTCAATCAGTATTGTTATATCAGCTTATCTGTTTTAAAAATAGCTTACCTTCTCAAGCTTCTTTCCATCGAAGAAATCGCTGAGCAACTTCTGGATACGGGGGATACGGGTGGAACCACCGACAAGAACAATCTCGTCGACCTTGGTCTTGTCAATACCAGAGTCCTTCAAGACTTGCTGGACGGGCTCAAGGGTGCCAGAGAAAGCCTTGGCGTTGAGGTCCTCGAAACGAGCACGGGTGATCTGAGCGTTGAAGTCCTCGCCGTCGAAGAGAGAGTCGATTTCGACAGTGGTCTGGGTAGCGTTGGAGAGGGTTCTCTTGGCACGCTCGCAAGCGGTACGGAGACGGCGGAGAGCACGGGGGTCACCGGACAGATCTATGTTATACGTTAGCATTTGGTTCTCTCGTTGCCCCCACAATTATGATAGATTAAGAAAGAGATCCACCAACCTTTCTTGGTCTTTCTTTGGAACTCCTTCTTGAAGTGCTCCAACAGGTTGGTATCGAAATCTTGACCACCAAGGTGAGTGTCACCAGCAGTAGCTTTGACGGTGAAGACACCACCCTGGATGTTCAAAAGGGAGACATCGAAAGTACCACCACCAAGATCGTAGATCAAGACATTACGCTCCTTCTCGGACTTTCCGGAACCCAGACCGTAGGCAATAGCGGCAGCAGTGGGCTCGTTGATGATACGAAGCACATTCAAACCAGCAATGGCACCGGCATCCTTGGTGGCCTGTCGCTGGTTGTCGTTGAAGTATGCGGGAACAGTGATAACGGCCTTGGAGACCTTCTTGCCGAGCTTGGTCTCAGCAACCTCTTTCATCTATCCTTGACATTAGCCACCTGATCCACCGCACGTAGGTATATCAAGAGTCATGTAATCAATTACCTTTGTGAGAACCATGGAAGAGATCTCCTGAGGAGAGAAGGTCTTGGTCTCGTTCAAGTACTCAACCTCGACAACTGGGTTTCCGCCAAGGTCAACGACCTTGAAAGGCCAGGACTCAATATCCTTCTTAACAACGGGGTCCTCAAATCGTCGTCCGATAAGACGCCTGAGAGAACTTCGTTAGCCTCTTAAGATCATCGGCATCGAAGGGGAAAAAACATACTTGATATCGAAGATGGTGTTCTTAGGGTTCATGGCAGCCTGGTTCTTGGCAGCCTCACCGATGAGACGCTCCTTGTCCGTGAAGGAGACGAACGAAGGTGTGGTGAAGCTTCCCTGCTCGTTGGCAACTTGGGAAAAAAATATGTTAATCGACCAATTCTCGAAGAATTCTGTGATAACGAATCAAGGAACGAAAAACTAACTGATTTCAACGTTGGTGCCCTCATAGTTGGCAACGCAAGAGTAGGTGGTACCTGCGAAGGAGAGTCAGTGTCGGTCTAGAAATTCGCTGCTTGCTGTGTATATTCAATCCGACAACGCACCCAAATCGATGCCAATGGCACCCTCGTAGACCTCGTCAGACATGATTAAAAAGAGAAATCAACAAGCAAAAGCAAGTTGATCAAATAAAAAAAAGAGGGTACTTTTATTGAAGAGAAGCAACAAAAAAGATCGCTTTGCGATTGATATGTGCAAGCAGGAAATTTTGGCGGGGGGGAAGGCACAGGGAAGGCGCTTAAAAAGAAAATTGAAAATTTCGGTCTTCCCTACCGCCTTTTTTTTTTTTTTTCCTTTTTTCGGGTCCCTCAACAAACTTCGGCAGCGTGCCTGAGGCAATACCGCTAGCCCTGAAACGGGAATGGTGGCAATTTCTCTATCAATTCTGACTCTTTTGTACGCTTGAATTATGGGCAAGAGTAATAGGTACATGACAGTTCCATTCTTGGATTGGCCATTGCATGTGCATATCACGAGGTGTTATTGCTACCTATCCAATAGTTTATTACAGGAAATAGCAACATTGTATATATCACAAGCAATTCAATTTGCAAGCAAAGTAGCTTAGCTATCGCACCAGTCGGAAAAATACCGTCAAGCGCTCAAACTCTCGCGTATCCTCAGCAGCATGAATAGTAGTAGTATTTTCCTGGCCAGTTGGCCGTATCGAGGATGCCATTTGGAAATCCACCTTTGTCAAGCCAAGGGGCAGTCTGATATCGTAGAATAACTCGTTTGGGAGTGAATGAGGCTGAGGAGCGAGGATGACTTTCTGCGGTCCAAACAGGGCAACGAACTTTGTCCGTTTTTCCGCTGTACTGGGGGCGATCTTGACGGACAGAGACAAAAAGTTCTGAGATGCAGGGATGTTCACCACAAGCGACTGCTGGCGCAAGATGGGCGAAGCGGGAAAATGTAGGGAAAATTTAGGCCGGACTCCAAGGCTTGAGTGCGACTTTATAGCCAAGTCCTTGATCAAAGCGTCTGAGACATCTGCCGAAATGAAGGGTTACTGGATGAATATGTGCAACGGGAGAGTGAATCAAAGCTTACCCTGGCTAGCTCTTCGAAAGATGGATTCCACAGAAGCATAGCTCTGATATGGCTGAGCCGGAGGATTCCCTGATGGCCAGGGATTGATCATTTGACCGTGACCACCTGTCATCGAATGCATCAGTACGTCTGCGCTGGTTGTTGAAGGTATTGGCGTCTGAGATGGTGAGGGGGTTATGATACTGGTAGGCATTGGACTACCTTGTCCAAGAACCTGGGCAGTGGGACCAAGTCGAGTATAGTCTAGCGTTTCGCGGCTCTCCTGAGTAGTCGACAGGGCAGAGCGCTGTCCAGCTATATCCCCGTTGGCAGGTTCTTGTTGTCTTTGTACAGAGTCCCCATCTAACGAGGCAGATGCTGGCGTCTTGTCCTCTACGGAGGACGATTTTTGACCAGTAAATCTCAGCATCAATCGCTGAGATGCTGGTTCTGGCGTCTTGCTGGAGCCTAGTTTTAACTTGATTCGAGGATTCGCTTCTTCTACGTTCTCCTGTACTGGATCTGGGACGACACTTTTTGCTTCAGCAAGGCGGCGCTTGAATTGTGCCTGCGGTCATAATGAGCTTGCTGCTTGAATTTTTATGTTATGAATATATAAATATATTAACACGCACCTCTAAGATTTTGGCAAGGTCAACAATTTCGCTGTCATCCTCATTGAACTCTCGGGCATTTCCCCAGACAAAGTCCATCTCATTTGCGAATGACCGCCAATTTGGGAACGCTGTTTTTCGACTATGCGGCTTTCTCCCTTCGATACCTCGGACTTGCTTCAAAATGCCGCGCAAGGATACTGGATGTTGTATAATTTCATAGTATTCCTTATACAAGTTGCGGTCCGGTTTGTAAAGGAAAGGGGCGCCTACTTCTCTTCCTCTGTCAAAAGTTAGCAGATACGTCCATTAATGGAAAGAAATGAAGGAGCGTACTGTTCGTCTCTCAAGTGGATCAATTCTGATATTATTTTATCTTGGGCAAGTTGTATCGTGTTGCCTTCAAAATTTAATTCCTCCTGTTCGTCCTTCTCTAACGCCTGATCTGAAGGTTGAACGGATTTCTCATCTTCGGCGTCTATTTCAGCATCCGCATTTTGGTCCTGTCCATCAGCGTCTTCATCTGAAGGTGCTTGTGTTTGCACTTGATCGGGGATAGGAGTCGGGAACGGGACGTAATTAGGATCATTATACGCCGGGTTGATCTTGGGCATGGTGTTGGTAACTATCTTCCGAATACGTTCTGCATCGGCAAATAGAAGAGAACCCTTCTCATTGTATTTTTTCGCGTTGCTGACCAATCGCTTTAGGTCGCTTTCAAGCTCTGTGAGGGTGGCATATTCGTGACTATTCAATTTCCCCTGTTGTCCAGCACACCAGTTAGCTACAGCAAGAAGTAGTCCGTAGAATATTGAGGTGTGCGCTGCGACTTGGGTATGCGATCATTGGAGCCAACTTACCACCACTGCGTCAAGCGAAATTGGAAGCGCGATGACCTTGTAGTAATCTGCATGCCGCTTCTATGACCAGGTCAGTAATGCTGCTCCCCCGGCTCTGCAAGGATATGCCTACTTTGTCTGGTAACTGAAAGAAATCGTTTGCGATCAGACGACCACTGCGCAAAGAGGGTTAGAAAGTCTCCTTTCGGAAATGAGCTAGAAGCCACAAAGAGTAAAAAAAAAACCCCATACTTCTTGTCGGTCGCTTGTTTAATATCCTCTATCAGTTTTAATCCGACTTCCGTAGTCTTTTGTGGAGTTTCGATATCAACGGTGTGTCCTCCGTCCTCCTATGTTGTTGAGAAATAAGCCAGTCAGTTGATTGAAGCCAAGACTTGATACGCAAATCGCCAAATCTAGTGGCGTCGTTTCGATGACTCCGCGGAGGGAGCGCCATGCGACTCTGGTAGGTTTGATCTAGCGGTAGTAAAACTTACAGACACCTTGCGCCGTTTTGATCCATGGAGAGGTATTGGCTCGACGGGGCCAGTAGAAGAGAACTTGCGCCTCGCGCTCATCCTGCCTCGAGGAAAAGCACGAGCTTGAGAGAATCGCAAGACGAGACGAACGCTGCTGCTGCGCCAATAAACAGATGCCCAAGAAGAGGATCAGATTGCGACCCAGACTATGGCGTCACTGCGTCAATAAAGGCGATGGCGAAAGAAGCGCAAAGATCCGCTGGTAGGGAATAATAGATCGATTGTCTTTGAGGAACGCGCGCAGTCTCAGAGGGAGGCATGGATGGATACCTTAGGCCAGGCACGCCGCACGCGCCCGGCGGGTGCTCGGGTATTGGTACGGTACGGTAACTTTCGCATCAAAGGACTTGGGCAGAACAATAATACAATACACGGGGTCACGTACTTACATAGACCGTTCTGTTATTTATTTACTTTACAATTTTATTGTCGCTCCCGATTTTCAGTCCTGCTCTTATCACCATCCATTCCGTCGTTGGCGCAAATACCTCATATTCCTTTCGTCGTACTTTTCTAGCTTCTCGCTCGGCAAATCTGCTCGTCCATCTGTCTCGCAAAGCACGCTTAGATCAGCAAGAATGTCGGACATTGACATTACCAGACGCAACAAGAAGCCCCGCCTAGTGCTTGAGTCGGAGCGGGCGAAACTCGAAGAATTTATCGACGCCATTCATTATTCTGCCAAGTAAGAACGATTCGTGTCTGCAATAATAGCAAGCATGTTTTATTGTTTGGTTTTTCTTTTCTGTTTTTGCCTTTTGTCTCTTTGTCAAAACGTCAACATGCAGATTTGAAGTTTCGATGCTGACGTGAACACTTGAAAACAGATATTCCGATAGCGATTTTGAGTACCGACACGTGCAATTACCTAAGAACATGCTTAAGAAGATTCCGGGGGACTATTTTGATACTTCCAAGGGTACACTGAAGTTACTTTGGGAGGAAGAATGGCGTGGTCTTGGTATAACCCAGGTATGATAGCGGACGTCTACCTGCTTATTTTCATTTACTCACAATTTCTCAGAGCTTAGGTTGGGAACACTACGAAGTCCATGAACCAGAACCACACATACTCCTTTTCAAGTACGACATTTGGAATGAATTACAACCGTCTCTCGGGTATACGATGCTAACCACCAGTCTCTAGGCGGCCCATCAATTACCAACCTCCTGGAGCGCAATAGAGGAAGCGTCGAGCTGGTTTTCTTCTTCCCTTTCTTTCTTTCTCTCTCGCTCCTCAGTTACAAATCAAATTACGAACATGATAATGGATCACGAATTATTGATGAAGAAGAAAAAACGTACGTGAGATATTACTCGGGATTACTACAAACGGACAATGCCTTTTCTTCTGAAATGTGGATATGAAATAGCCATGCTGTATCTGGTTCTGGTTTCAATTTCTATATCAAAGCCGTGCAGTATTGAGATGGTGATTCTCCGTTGGCAGTCAAACCACGTTGTTGCCAAGCCATTCCTCCCACTGGGCAGCAGTGAAACTGCTGCTGATGCTTTTCTCTTCAATACCCTACACAATGCTGTGGTTAGTAGTATGTCCTTGTGTCTCGCGGACTTCTATTGACTCGAAGTTGATGTTCTTTGGGATCACTTACATTGAAGAAGACGGTGGGAGAGACATGCACGCCAACAACTCGGTTTGCCTGGGATATTTAATCAGAATTCCCTACTTATTTATTGTGATAATATGCCCAAAAAGTTTAGAGCAAAAAGAAAAAAAAAATTCATAAATTCAAAAATACAGAAGAATACATACCTTGATTATCAATTTCAAATCATTTGTGACACCATTGCCTCTGTTCAATCTCTCTCCGCCCTCGGAACTGATGAAGAGCAGATCAAAAACCTTCTTCTCATCAATTCCCACGGTGGCCGCAAGAGCGGCGAGACGTTTATAGGTATCATTGCGAGTCTCATTGACGACATTCTCATCAAAGTACTCCTTTTGTCTCCTGAAGAGGGCCTCGCTGAACTCCCAGAATTTCTCCGGCGCGACTTTCAAGACCGCAACGCCCGCTTCATGTACGAGAGTGGATGAGGGATGCCATGGCTGCACATGCTGTCTGAAGATCACTTGGAGCTTGTCACTATACTTTTCGTCGATGATTGGTTTCACTGCGGTGTAAAAAGTATTGAAGATCTTTGCGCAGAACTGTTTGTGTTTGTTAGACTAGTTCGGTTCGATCCACTAGATGAAAACGGCCATTGCGTACAGGGCAGACATAGTCGAGGTCTAGAGTTATTGTATCAATAAGTATGTCTACGCAAGAGAGTGGGCTACTCTACTTACAGAGCTCGAGTGTATGAGGTGTCGGATGCAGGTTTGCTGCGGCCAACTTCTGGCCTTGGAATTTTGGTGCAAGCGACATTGCTGATGTTGTTGTATGGGCGTGCTCCGTGGATGGCAAACACAGATGATGGTCAAGGTTGGTTGGTGCTGGCTCTATATACGTAACTGTTTGGAGAAGGGGCGGAGAAAGATGACATGCCCCACCTTCAATGTTTACACCGGAGTTTAGGGTTATCTTCTACTACAACTAACTCTTAAGTGTATAATCGTAGTCAATTAAGCAAAAATAGGATACCTTTTCAGAAAATTTCTTCCCATGATAATCGCCCAATGGATATTTCTGATAGCAATAGAATGCCTCTACCTAAGTAACTGTCTTATAATTACATATACCTCGGAAACCTCGCATTATGTCGTCATCCTCGCGTGCTCAAGGCTTAATAAGCTCGTCGGTCGAGACGATATAAACACGTGCCGTGACAAGGAATATCATATAATAAGAAAATTACCGTATAATGTATATACAAGAACTGGATAAATGAGGGTTGATCTGGAGATCCCGGGATGATACACTCAAAAAGCCTACTTCGGCCACTGGATACGAAGCATCAAACAAATGCGATCTGTGAAGGTATCTTGCGCAAAGACAGAAAAAGAAAGAGAACACCAGAAACGGGCTTTTGTGCAATGTCATATATGCAATCCAGAATATGCCCTAGCAATCAAATGCTCGCTCATGACACAGGCTCCTTCAATGGTGGGTGCACGGAAGCCGCTGGGTCTTGACCTGAGCAGCAAAAATGACCAATCTCGAATATATTGAGCCACTCTTGACGGGTCCTGAGAAAATGTTGAATAGAACCATCAGCAGCTTCACGATGGACGCTGGTATCCCAGTGGTTCCTGACGAATGAAATTGAAATCCTTCAATTTCATCGTTATAGAAGACCATTCCGCCTTGTCCGGATTATATTCGCCGCGGACCTCAAGTCTGCATAACCCTTTGGAGCCTACTAAGCCGATAGGACCGTTAAAATAGAAAACACCCCGCGGGGATATCGGATTGCGCTGCTGCATCTCATGTTTCATCATATGTAGCTTGAAGGTAAGATAAGCAACATAAAGGTCAGAATCTTGATATTGAGAAGGAAGCATCTGCATCACGGAAAGTATTTTAGGTAGACGAGAAGGCTGGGTGTGAGTCGTGTTAGTATTTGTGTTTGCCGTCGAGGGGCTGGTCTCCTGAATGATATTCGCAATGGACTTTTCCCATTCGGAATAACTCGATAAGCTGATATTATTCGATGGTTGCAAATCTGACGGAACATCCATGTCCTTTATGCTCATGATAACGTCGTTCGTAGGGTCTTCATCTATTCCAAAGCTCTTCTTCACTCGTTGCAACTTTCGATGAAAGAAGGCCGAAGCAGCATGTCCCATCGCCGATGTTACCGTAAAAGGAAACAACGCTGCCAGGATTAGGCGACCTTGTTCGTCCGGAATGGGTTTCGATTTCAAGACAATCTCGTTATCGGAGATTTCGAAACTGTATACAAGTTAGAATCCATATGCATACCCAACATAGTGTGAGAGACATACCCAACTGTTTCATAATGGGGAGGCGCACGATATGGGAATTGAACAAATAGCCAGCTTCTCATGATTCGCATATTATCTCCAAGAAGATCTTTGAATTTCGGATGGCATGATACTCGTGTAAGCACAACACCTTCTAGCTCACCTGGATTCGGAGAGTCAATTCCATATTTCCTCTTAAAACTAACGATGTCCCCGAACTTACGTTTTAAAGACTCAAGGCGTTTGCGGTCGTGTGCATAATCCCTGAAACAATTCCATTCCGGGTCGTTTCCAGTGTAAAGCTCCCCAGGCCGAAGACGAGGCCAGCTCAGCGGTATAAATGTGACATCTTCTTCTTCATCTTCGTCAACAGCCTCTTTCCCGCCATCGACAATACCTTCGCCCAATCCTCCTGAATTGCCCTCAGAATCGGCCAGTGTATTTCCGTCTAGGTGTGAATACAAGAGCGAACTCCAGAGGTTGAATGCAGCGCCGTAGACCAGGACACTAGTAGCAAACCGCCTTGATAAAAGTTAGTATCAGGTGCGAACTTGTAACAGAGTACGGGAATAGTAACCTAAACCATGGCCTTTTGATCTTTACGGGTTGAACGTTGACTATCCTGGAGCCCCCCGTGGTGAATGCCCGATATTGGCGGAGAATTGGCCGAGGATTGCGAGCGAGATAACGCACCCAGATCATTGCCGAATATTTTTTTCTTCAGTAGACGCGTTTTTGGACATGACGGTAATCAGACGGTCAAGTCAAAGAGAGAGGAGTAAGTGATGAATTCATTGGGATATGCGATAAAGGTCAATGGACTTGTCCCTGTCAATATTTGTCAGCACGTGACTTAACGCCGATGCCGCGGGCGCGGGCCAACCACGATTGGTTGCTCATAGACAAGACGTACGGCATACAACCAACTCCTGCTTGATCGTCAAACAAACGAAGCGGCATAGAAGCTGACGTTCTCATCATTCATGATCCCACTTACCCGGGGACTGTGATTTACGCCTTGAATGAAGCCATATCTGGCTTACACTCACTGAGCGTCCGTCCGTTAAGTTGTATGCAACCATGTGGCACACCCTGAAGCTTCTTTCCTGTCTGGCGGCAGTAGCTACTGCGTCGTCTGCGCCGGCGTCTGACGGAGCCATATTCCTATTTGATGCGAAACAAGATGTCGGTCTCCAGGGCCAAGGTTCTATCCATGAGGACGCTGCCAGGCTGTTATTGCAGCAACGAATGCAATCGACTCAGACCACACCTAGCACAGCCCTGGTAGAACCTATCGTACAGCTACTGGATAATTTCGGCGGATACCAGTACAATCTCTTCCAAGAAGCAGATAGCAGGAATCAGCAAAAACTCCTTGTTGTGGTCGAAGGTCTTGTGAATGGTTCTTGTGAGTACTGCATTTCTGTGCTGGTTGCCGATTGGAATGGCTAGCTAATAGAGACGCATTATGAATAGCTGCCACACCTCAAGAAAACCCGACTGCTCATCTTCATGTCTCTCAGATGTCTTCCGATTTCATCGATAGATTTATTGCGGAGAGTATCTCCGAAACCGACGGGTTCTATTCTTCGGGCTGGAAACATTGCGAATACGAAGTTACGGCGGATCAAGCATCTAGCAGCGAGGTACGCAGCCAATGATAGCAACTACTGGCGAACTAGTTTGGTTGACTAGACATTAGACATTGCAAAGCTGTTTGTATCAGCATCCCATTTTCATTGGATCTCCCAAATCCCCGATGACTGGATTGTTTGACGGCCTGCCTTTGTCGTCACTCGAGGCGTGGTCCGATACCACTGGTTCCAAGGAGATTTTGAGACTATCGTTCAAAGTATGCTCTGTTCTCTTCTGATGCAACAATTCATTCTTGTCTCTAACACTGTCCCCTTTAGGAGCAAGCGGACCTTTCAACAGCGACGCAACTATTGACTACACTCTCTAAGATGTTCGATTACGAGGAACGCACCATCGTTCTCGTTTCTCAACCCAAATCCAGCAACAAACACACCACGAATAATCATTATTCCGTCAAATCTGTCCCTCACGTCCAATCCCGCAGAAGCCAAATTGACGACATACCATCCACCCTCCTACCAGTATGCCACAGCACCAACACCTCTTGCACCAGTGCCACAAACAGCTGTTCAGGCCACGGATCATGCTACCTCAAAGCGGGAGATTGCTACGCATGCAAATGCCACAAGACAACCGTTCGAACCGCCGATGGCAGCATTCGCACTGTCCAATGGGGTGGCCCAGCCTGCCAGAAGGAAGATATTAGCACGCAGTTTTTCCTCATTGGAACCATCACGGTCCTTGCGATCTTGGCTGTTGCCGGTGGAATAAGTATGTTGTTTAGCGTTGGTCAGGAGGAACTGCCCAGCGTTATCAGTGCGGGTGTTAGCTCAGTGAGAGCTCCTACTAGGTAATTTTTCCTAGCTTTCTCTATCTCTCTCTCAACATCATCAACAATCAAGTTCGCAATTTACTTATGAATGAAATGTATGATAATCTTTACAATTCACCCACGATTTTTGAAGGTTTTGATGTTCTCAAAGGAGAACATAATCAATATTGTATTGCAGTTACATTTTTATTACTCATCACCATCAGAATATAAAGACACAAATTGAATTTCAAAAAATTGTCCTACTCAAATAAACAAATATGCAGTCATAAGTAACGTCCCAAGACGCCAGTTTGCTATATCAAAGAACAAAGAAAATGAAATAAAAAAATCCAAACACAAATACATATTTTTTTTTGCCAATCCAGATTGGCAAAAAGAACAAGAAAACCCATAATCCGAATAACAATTAACGCCGGACCAAAACGGGGTAACAAATCGTATGGCAAATGCAACCTGACAACTATGAGAACCGTATTCACCCTTCTTCGTAGCATCAGTGCTGGGGGTATGATGTAGAAATGAAGTAAGTACATGCTGGCGGAAAGAGTAGGAGATTCGTTATGGGTGAAGAGACAAGGAGATGATTTCGGAACTGAGAAAGAAACATAAGTTAAAAGTGGTGACATGTATGTGTGGAGGTGGAAGGTAGTTGATTGCATTCACGACGCTGATCCGGCTTCCAGTTGGCCAGGTGTGCGAGCGTCGGCAGAGGCGGGCGTTCGACGTGGGAGAGAGACACCTGGAATATTTAGCCTCGGGATCCAGGCTCGAACTCGTGACTGTGACTCGTTATGATCGTTTGGTAGGGTCTGTGTTCCCGAATCCATATCTTGCCGAACAGTCCCGGGCTCTGACCTGGGTGGCACGGCGGATGGTCGCCCGGCAAAATAAGACCTTGTTCTGAATTGATGCAAACGGTTTGCGAAAAAAGCCGGTTGTGGAGATGCAATAACAACAGTTCGGCCTGCTGTACGACGCCCTTGTCTATCAGTTTCCGGGATTGCTGGCTGCCCCTCCGGTCGTGGTTTAGGAACATAATAGTCGGCCTTGCAGAGAGGGCAACAAGCACGACGGCTTGTTAACCAAGGATCCAGACAGGAAGCGTGGAAAGCATGGCCGCATGTAAGACCACGGACATCATCGTCATCTTCTAGAAGATCAAGGCAAATTGCGCAAGAGTCACCAGGACTAGGAAGCAACTCAGCTGGAACAGCGCCTTGAATTGGATCGTCATTCTCCTCTCCCTCTTGGAGGTCTTCATCATTCCGTACTTCAGTGTTGTTAGTGTCGTCTGGGGCTCTTGTGGCTGGTGCAGCATCGGCATGTTCAGTATTCGGCTGGATATCAGAACTGGGCCTTTCTTTTGAATGAGCCGACACCGTTAATTGCTCGGCAACAGGACTAAACGGCTCTTCGCTTATAGTCGAATCATTTCGCTCATGGTCTTTTAAAGGAACCGAATAAGCTTCAACACCAGGTTGTACGACGGATGCGTGTTCAAGGTGAGTTTGTTCACTCTCGCCAGCCTTGGGTGTTTCAGGTCTGTCGGAAGGCGCAGAAATTCCTCCTTCGCTCGGAAGCCCCTCGTCAGCGCGAGATGCTCGCCAAGCTTTGTATTTCGTAAGTGGAAATCGTTCGTTTACATCTTCCATAGACATCAACTTCTTTTCCCTTCTTCTCCTGTGCGGCCGGGGAACAGTCGCTAAATCAATAGGCTCCCCTGTTTCCTCGTTTCGTAATAACCGATTTCGCTGATTATATCGAAAGCAATATTTCACGCCGACAATAATCCTGTTGCAAGTTTTACGTAAGATTATCAATCACAGTCAAATGGGAGGTATCAAATGTGTTTACCATAAGTTCGTAAAGACAACGCCAAATCCAAGGGCAACAAAAAAAAGTAAAGGCGAGCTGCTTGGGCCGCCTCCCCCTCCCGAACTTCCAGTAGAAGTACTGGATGGGGCAGACGCGGTGCTTGTGGAAGTAGCGGAGGACATGTTCTAGTTGTTTTGTGAAGACGCGATGGATGATGGGAAACCGGTTATACTTTCGGTAAGAGCGGATGTGTAGATCAATGTAAAAATCAGCGTTTGTGATTCGAATGGGTGGTTACAAGTAACAGATATTTGTCGGCTTGGGGTGCTTCTGATTGTGAATATTGCTCGGATCGTTTTGAGTTAGGCGTCACAGCACCTGGTACGAAACGGCGACAGCCCTACACCAGCGAGACACTACTGTGTCAAAGCATCGCATTGAGTTATCATGACAAGGGCGGATGGTGTTCATGTAGTCGCGCGGATGGGAGGAAACTCTTGTGCAGGCCTCCCTTGGGCGGGCAGAAAGATGTCGTCTGTGAGAACGAGCCAGCCACAGACGAGAAGCAAATGGACCCCAACTTATGATGCACGCAGAGAGCACAGCAGGACTGGTGAAGCAGGGCAGCGGAGGGCCTGCTTATGCTGACGTTTGAAAGAGAAAAGTGAAACGAGAAAGATGCGCGATATCCGAGACAGCCAGCTGTTCCTGTACGGCGCAAACAGGAGGGAATCTGGACGAGGTTGTTGATCGCAGGTGGAGATTCGAGAGAGATGAACATGGGGGGGGATCACGGGGTTTCAACAACGCACTAACCCTGCGGTAACCGTATTACCGCCTCCGCCCGCGCTTACTGCTACGGAACAATGGATACCCCGGATCTTTTAAGAATTAAAATCATAGATTTCTTTCTTTACTGTTGTTTTGGTCCTTATATTGTGATGTATGTACTAATTATTATATGATGTGCTCATAAGCATGTGGTGAAGAGTCGTGTATGGTGTATTACATACAATACGAGACAATACACTAAGCGCCCATTGTCACGGGCATTCTTGGCGCATATTCAGCCTGCGCTTGTTATGTAATAGGGCGACAGGCTAGTGCTCGATCGGGTAAGGAGCGGAGTCTCTGCCACGATGCAAGTCTAAGCAGCTATGATTGGCTGATGCAGATGGATAGGTGGGGATCCGTGGGCACTAGAGAGCCCTCACCATCCATAGACACTGGAGCAGCATTTATTGATATTTTGTCTTCACCAGCAGAACGAAGGATTTATAGCTTGACGATTTAACCACAAATCTCGGCATAGCTCTAGCAGCTTCCTTGTTAACGATACACACCAACCTCGCTGGCAGCTGTTACCATTGCCAACCAAAAACATGGCCTCAAATCCCATAGTCTTCTTCGATATAGCTCTCGCAGGTGAGTTCCTTTCTTCAAAGAGGAAGCTCATTGAGCAATCAAGTGCCCTTAAATGGCTTCAAACAACGATGCAATGGGTTTTCTGAAATTCTTCAACATCTCCATACTGTCATCCTAAAAGTAATGGATATTCAACCTTCGATATACCGGACACTGACATTGCTCAACTATCTTTGGAATGTCTATAGGACAGCCACTAGGCCGTGTGAAAATGCAGCTCTTCGCTGATGTTACCCCTCGGACGGCGGAGAACTTTCGACAGTTCTGCACTGGCGAGGCAAAGAATAGTCAAGGACGGCCTCAAGGTTACAAAGGCAGCAAGTTCCACCGTGTAGTATGTTTAATTGCCTTTTCCTTACACCCTGCAAGCATCACAGACCGTCAAGGAGTGGAAGAAGACCTTACTGACAATTTCTAAAGATAAAAGACTTTATGATTCAAGGAGGTGATTTCGTGAACGGCGATGGCACAGGAAGTGCTTCCATCTACGCCGGCCAGAAATTTGCAGATGAAAATTTCAACCTGAGGCACGACAAAGCTGGTCTTTTGAGCATGGCGGTAAGTTCAATTTTTCCAATATGCCGATACCATCTTATAATTATGTGCATGATCGCTGAGGAAGAGCCTTTATCAACAGAACTCAGGTCCGAATACGAATGGCTGTCAATTCTTCATCACTACAGTTCCAACACCGTTCTTGAACAACAAGCATGTTGTATTCGGGGAAGTTGTGGACGGAATGGACATTGTCCACATGATTGAGAATACTCGAACCACGAGAGACAAACCGAATCAAGATGTCACTATAGTGCAGTGCGGGGAAATGTAATTATAGGTTGTGAAGAGGAAGATCCAAAAGCCAAAAAAAAAAAAAGTACTAGAACTTAATCGGATACTAATTCCATCTCTGAACCGAAAGAAACCATATTGTACCTTTCAAAACGGCATACATGTCAAATCCGCGTAAATGATAAAAGGGTATTCTACAACTTGAACTTCTGTAAATATTCGGTGGCAAGGGCCACTCCTTCGTCAACCTTCTCGACGTTGGTACCATTGCCAATAGCTGTGGGTGCTTTGCCACCAGCCTTTCCACCAACAGCACCTGAGACAACACTCGCCCACTCACTTGGTGAAACGCCTAATTCGCTGGCAGCCTATAGTGATTGATGATGTTAGAGTTCTAGTCCAGGTATGTTAAAAGCGTGTTTGCGAGAAATTTACCTTGGAAACATGGCAACCATGAGCGACCTTGTTTTGATTAGGGTCCGGTGCGATAAAGTATACAGTCTTATCAGCCATCTTAGACTTGATAAAGTTGAGTGACTCGCCGAGGACTTTGGCGTTGGAAGTCGCTGGCAGCTTGGTAACAAGAGTTGAACGACCTTTGTTCTCTTCAGCATCGAAGTATGATTTAACAATGTCGAGAGCCTTCTTCAGTTCCAATTTCTGAAGAGCTTTCTGGTCGTCCAGCACCTGTTTGTTAATACGTGCAAACAAGTCTCGGAATTTCGCCTTCTCAACAGCAGATATTGAGAGCTGGTTCAATTCAACCTGGACTTGTTTCATTTCCAACTCTTTGGCGGGACTGTGAGCCATTGCTCGAAGATTTTCTAAGCGTTTTTCAAACTCTGCTGCGATCGCCTGGGCTTGTTGGGCTTCGTCTCCAGTGACGGCGATAATTCTCCGGATGCCTTTGGCTATTCCAGATTCCTCAAGGATGATAAGATCTCGGATGTCGCCTGATTTTTTAACATGAGTACCACCGCAAAATTCAATACTTATGTCATTCCACCGTGGATCTTTGACATCTTTGAGAATTTCTTCGACTTCTACCCCCACAGAAACGACCCGGACGGGATCAGGGTAGGTCTCTCCAAATACAGCACGGACACCGCTGATTTCTCGTGCCGTAGCTAGGGGAACCTCTTTCGAGTAGACTGTGCAATTTTGGCGGATGTATTCAGTAGATTTCTTCTCAATCTCCGCGAGTTCCTTGTCTGTCACAGCAGACTTGTGAGAGAAATCAAAGCGCAACTTTTCCTCTGCCACAAGAGAGCCTTTCTGGTTGATACTGTCTCCCAGAATCTCTCTCAGCGCAAAGTTCAGGATGTGTGTTCCGGTGTGATTGTTCCTTATGGGTTGTCGACGACGTTCGTCGTACTCGCAAATAACAGAATCACCAACGGCAAGAGATCCGTACTTGACAAAGCCTGTATGAAGGACATAACCACCGTATGACTGTACATCACCAACTTCAACTTCTGCCTTTCCATCGAGTATAATCACGCCAGTATCATTTTCCTGGCCACCTTGTTCAGCGTAGAAATTGGTCTTATCGAGAATGATTCCAATTTGCTCTCCCTGTGGGACATCCGCAGTCGAATCGATGAAAGTCTTGCTATGATAAATGGCTTGTATGACAGACTCTAATTTTGGAGAATCAAATTTGGCAGAGTCATCAGTCTTGAGGACATCGCTCATCTTTTCTAGCTTCCCTAGGTCGTGGACGTCAAGCTTCACGGTATCGGCAGCAGCTTTCTTCTGTCCTTTGCTGGCTTCTTTGGCTTTGAGTCGTGCTTCTTCGAATTCAGCCTCATCAATATAGAGCCCCCGCTCTTCAGACATGATCTGAGTCAAGTCGACGGGAAATCCAAAGGTGTCATAAAGCCTCCAGACATCTGCGCCATGAAGCTTATTTAAGCCTTTGGACCTTGCCTGTTGGGCGTAATTCTCGAACTGTCTTTCGCCACGATCCAATGTCTTGGCAAATGAAACCTCTTCTTCGTTCAGAACCTCCATGACCTCGGCTTGCTTCTCCTTGATTTCCGGGAACATGCCTCCCATCTGATCGACGAGTGTAGGCACAATTTTAGAGAAGAAGCTGCCTATCTCCACATTGAAATATTTGCGAGCATAACGAGCTCCACGTCGGAGAACTCTGCGGATCACATAACCCCGACCCTCGTTGTTGGGGTACGCCCCGTCAGAGATGGCAAAGGTTAGAGTTCGAACATGGTCTGCTACAACTCGGTAGGCAGTGTCAATTCCATCCGCATCCTCAGATCCGAATCGACCCTGGTATTCACGAGCACCCGTAATTTTTTGTATCGTCTGAAACAACGGTATGAAAACATCAGTGTCGTAGTTTGACGACTTGTCCTGAAGCACCGAGACTAGTCGTTCGAAGCCCATACCGGTATCGACATGTTTGTTTGGCAATGGCCTCAGGGAGCGATCTGGCTCACGGTTATATTGGATGAAGACGTTGTTCCATATTTCGAGCACGTTAGGATCGTCTTGGTTGACGAGGTAGGCGGCATTTCGACCGCCGATGCGATCATAATGCACCTCACTGCAGGGGCCACAAGGTCCTTGATCACCCATCTCCCAAAAGTTGTCTTTCATGTTCCCTGGGAGAATGTGATCCTCCGGAACGCCGACCTTTCTCCAGAGGTCTCTCGCTTCTAGATCCGGCTGAAGACCTCCGCTCTCGCTGCCCTCGAAGTAAGTCACGTAGAGTCTGTCCGGGTCAAGGCCGAAAACTTTGGTCAATAGTTCCCAGGAGAAGGCAATTGCTTCGCTCTTGAAATAGTCCCCAAAACTCCAATTTCCGAGCATCTCGAAGAAAGTCTAGATGTAATGGAACGATTAGCCAGATTCGTAAAGTATGAATAATGCATATGGTGAAGTGGATAAAAGCATGTCGCAAACCGCAACTTGGGTGACTCACATGATGGTAGTTATCTTTGCCGACATCGTCAAGGTCCTGGGTTTATAAGTAACTTGCAAATAAAAAAAGGAAGGAAGAAAAAACTCATACATTGTGTTTTCCGCCCGCTCGAATACACTGGAAAAAGAGGTCAGCCATGCATTTTTCAATCTCAGATCTCAGACGGATGTGTAGTATACCTTCTGCGAGTTGACGGCACGTTTGAGATGCGCAAAGTCTGACTGCGGATCGACTGTGCCTAAGAAAATCGACTTGTACTGGTTCATACCAGCATTTGCAAACAAAAGAGTCGGATCAGAGTGTGGCACGACAGGAGACGATTTAACTGTTGGGCGCATTTTGTTAGACCAAAAAAAATTGGAGGGGTCATGGAGGGGTCCAGGCACGTACCAAAGGTGTGTCCACGTTGCTTGAAGTAATTTATGAATTCATTCCGTACGCGCTCTGCAGGCCACTGACTGGCCTTGTCCTGCGAGGCAGCCATGTTGTGCGAAACGTGGTGGCTGAAGTAACGAGGGGTGGGAGGTGCGGTGGCGGAGAGAAGTGGGAGACGGAGGAGCGATGTTCTTCTGAGGAAAAAGTCGATGCGTGGCGACCCCATCCCTCACGAACACCCAAAGGAAACCCGCAGCAAAAAGCACTCCTTGCTTGGCGCTCACGATCGGACAAACGAGACGCGCAATTCAATCATCCATTTTCGCTATTCGACGAGAGAGAGGCTCCGGCCCAGATAATCGCGTTGGCTTGAAGGGGGAAGAAGAGTTGTTGCCAAGTCAATGCCGGCCCTGTCCAAAGATTGCCCCAAGCGCCGTGCAGAAAGCGACCCCGAGGGGGAGCCTCCCATCAAGAAACTCGAGCTGCTGCATTTAGGTATAGCGACTATACATTTACTTGTGTGACTGTTGATATGGTTGATTTTTTTTTTTTTTTTCCGAGGCCCCAGACTAATCGGCACAAGGTCCGACAGCAGCCTTCCAAGACGACCAAGAGAAAAAGCAAGATGAACTGACCGGTAGTGACAACATGCTCCTGGATGACACGGCGCATACCAGTTACATCTACAACATTGAGCAAGAATTGGCGAGCATTGAAGCCCAGGAGAAACTGATATCGTTTCTTCCTGATATCGAAAAGACGCTGAACGCCGTTCCCAGGTCTCTCCTCAAAGAACCGAAGCCAGACAACGAGCTTGTCCTTTATCGCGTTCCACGGTCGTTGACGGTGGCTGAAGAAGACCAAGATAGCGTTCGAAAGGCGATTATCGAATCGAGAGCGAGGGTTAGAGCACGACAATCGGAAGCACGGCAGTTAGAACGCAGCGCGCGTACGGATTCGACAGCGCCCTCCCCCTTTTATACCGAACGCAATCCGGCATTCGAAGCAGGCGATGATATGGACGTAGATTTATAACAGTGGTTTTCCCCTCTTTCCTCGAACTATTCGGAAGGCACTGTTATTGCTGTTTTATACCCCCATGTGAGCCTAATTCATGGCGTCAGTGCTTTGGCAATACCATGTTCACCCAGTAGAAATGTGGAAAGACTGTTCATAGATTTATTATTCTACAAGCGAAGTGATTATACTGTTTTATATTGTGGCTATTTCATGGGACATTCTAATCCATGCAGAGAACCTAGAACCTATTTCCAATTAGAGATCAAACCCAACTGCTTTTCGTAGGCATCTCTATTCTTCATAATGAAATTTTCTGACTGCAACCGCATGAGATATGAACTCAACACAGGCCACGGCAAATCGAGTGATGCTCTCAAGCTAACAAACAGCTGATACGGAGTATTTCTTAGCCACATTGATGGTGATAGTGGGTACTCTCTTGGAGAAAAACTGTCATGGGTTTCAGTAGGTTCTATATTATTCTATGGGATATCTCACTAGTAGATCGCATTTCAAAAAGCAATTTCATTCGTTCATAATTGGGTGGTTGTATGAAGTGAGTTAACCAGTAGTTCTGCGTGCCTCAGGCACCTACCCAATCTCTAGACCTTGCCGACGGACGACAAAGCTCGTTCTCGCTTCACCTAACGCGAATAACTATTCCAACACAAGAGTTCCAGTCCTTTCGCAATCACAATGGCCGGGAAAGATCTATATGAACACAGTCAGAAAACGTCTCCCTCACAAAATAGCAAAGCGACCTCAACAGATCATGACAAGGTCGAAGCCGCAACCGAACCCTCAAAAATAGTCGGACCGAGTCTATCTTACCATCACGATTCAGAAGGTGATGAGCATTCAGAAGCCAGTGACGATAGCAGTGACGATGATTTTGGACCTCAACTGCCGCCAGTTGGAGCTACAGCGTCTAACGATGCCAAATATGAACGCGAATCGCGGTATTCGCCACCTCCAGAGCAACATGAGATAATCACGGAAAGTGCGACCACGAAGAAAAGACAGAGAGACGACTGGATGGTTACGCCTCCTGACAACCAGTCATGGGCTTCCGGGATGAACCCAACTACTATAAGCAATCGCAGATTCAATACAGGCAAGTCCGCTCGCGGCGACCAAAGTTCAGGTGGAATAGGCGCAGCATGGACGGAGAATCCAACTCAGAAAAGACAAAGACTAGAAAATGAGGTTCTAGGTATAAAGGCTGAGCCCGATACGAGGTCAGCAAGACCTCGAGATTTGTCATCGAAAACAAACACAGCCACGGCAAACAAAGTCCAGCCGAGTGTAAGTACCTACTTTCCTTGTACGCATCACAAGACCGCGACTAATACAACCCTGTAGAACAAAGGTAATAAGCCTTCGCTGTACGAAAGTCACCAAAAGGCTATGCGCAATACAAGCGAGGAAGATCCTAGTTCACGGGCCTTCAGCTGGGAGAAAGATATTGCTGGGAAATCAAGCATCTCAAGTGCATCGCGGAAAAAACTAGTGAATCAGGCATCTGATTATAGCTCTAAGTTCACTGGGGGTAAATATATATGAATGTATATCAATGTCAGACTGCCAAAAAAAAAATTACCTCAAGCCGTTACACTCATCCTAACAGCCGACTAATGCTTCAGATGTTCTAGGGACTCACCGGTAGTCAACTGCTTAGAGCCATTGTATCAAGATCAGGACTTAGAGGCCAGCATTAATACATATGACGGGCGATGCTACACTGAGCTTGGTCTTAGGAGCCATTACTCTGCTAAGAGGCAATTACTTCCAATGTATATGGTTTGGCTGTATTTGGAGCTCTGGCTGCTGGTGCAACAAATGCCTGACTTTGCCCCAGAAGTCATTGACTGCCAACATTGTTACATCAGATTTGCCCACTCCAATCAAAAGTATCAACTGATGGTATCTGTTCACACTCATGGTCTGCATCGTCTTTGGCCGTTTCTGTGCTTGCTCCTTATCACAATAGACAAGTCTATTACACCCACTCTGAACCTACGAGCTTGATTTGATTTGTGTCTTAGACATTGACGCTTCAGGAAAAGCAAATGCTGCAGATGCCGTTATATATAGACCAGTGGGACAACAGGAGCAACGAAGTCCACTGCCGTTACAATACCACATTAGCAGGAACCGCTCGCACTATTCCACCTGATATAGGTTCGACCGCAGATATTTGTCTTTCCAGTTCGTCCCTTGATTTCATCATCAATGCTTAGCTATTCATTTTCCGATCATTCTGCATGGCATTCCGGTCGTCATTATGCCTAGGCTAATCGATGAGATGACTACCTCTCTCATTACACGGCCTCATATTGCATCTCTCTTTGGATTTCCACCTCTTGCCACTAAAACTGGCAAAATCAAGTGTAGACTTAGAGCATGTCCATCTGTCAAGTCGCTGCTATCAGCAGGAGCTTCTATGCCTTTGTTTTTGAGAATCCAGGCAACGCCCAATGCAATCCAACTTGTCCCAGTGAGCACCTAATACATTATTCATTGAATTGATACAACAAGTTATGTTCATCCTAGTTTCTCTTCAGCTGCAGCTTGTATCATGTATTGAGTAGATTACCGTTCACCGCCTGCCTCGGTAGGAAATAATATTGCAGGAAAAATCAACCTTGGTCTGTGGCCAATGATGTGCATGGAATAAATGGCGGTATACTTCGTCCGAAAGGAGGTATATTAGTCACGTGCTCCCCGTGGAAAAAGTTATTTGAGCTTATCTTTTATCGCCGCCGCGTCGCTCACTTCACTGCTGCTGGTCTTTTCCCCCCAAGTCCCTGGTGATTCGCCTTTTCTTGCTGACCTTCTCTCTGTTCATCTCACTATTTACACATCATGGATCATTCGCGCGATCCCTGTCCCTGGGTTGCCCTGAGCGACTTTGGCGGTGCCTTCTGTATGGGTACCATCGGTGGTGCCGTCTGGCACGGAGTCAAAGGTTTTCGCAACAGTCCCTACGGCGAACGACGGATAGGTGCTATTACGGCAATCAAGGCTCGAGCTCCGGTTCTAGGTGGTAATTTTGGCGTATGGGGAGGCCTTTTCAGTTGTTTCGATTGTTCGATCAAGGGAATTCGTCAGAAGGAGGATCCTTATAATGCCATCATCGCCGGTTTCTTCACTGGTGGTTCGCTCGCTATCCGTGGTGGTTATAAGGCTGCCCGAAATTCCGCTATCATGTGTGCCGTTTTCCTCGCTGTCATCGAGGGTGTTGGTATTGGTTTCCAGCGCATGATGGCCGATAACACAAAGCTTGAGGTACGATGAACTAATCCATAACACGGAAATCAATTCGTATGACATCGGAAATGGGACATATCTGCTAACCACAAGTGCACAAACAGCTTCCTCCACCTCTACCTGAGCAGAAAGCTGTGGCTTAAAATATATCTTTCCATTTATTCAACGACACGATCTGTCTGCCTTCGATCGAGCAAACCCTTCCTTCCATCTCTGTCTTCATAACAACATCACCACATTGAGTCTCTCTTCTCAGGCGTTCGGTTTGGGCCACCATTAAACGACATAGCATAGATTTCCCTGCTTTTCTTTCCTTTTTTATGCTCCGACCGACAAACATGTTTTCGGAGTATTGTGTTCTATAGGCAGCAAGTTTATTCTCAAGGCTAGTCCCGAGGCAGGTGTATCTGTTTTGCGGCCAAGTAGCTGAACAAAAAAAAATAAGTCTGCTTATCCTGTACCAAAAGTGTCGAGGACGGGGTTCTGTTGGGTTTTTTATATATTAGTGCATGTCTAATAAGCATAATACGGAATTCTTCTATATATACTATACCAATTTGTCCTACATACTTATTCGGTGTCTAGGACCTTCACCTTTCACAATCTCGGAGATTCGGTCACTGCCTTCTTTCTACTCTATACGCAAAGCGGATATTATACCACCACTGAGCAAATTCCACAAATTTGACATGATTACGATACATGAGTTGATTGATATCCATGCGTTATGTTCCTCCGAGCACAGACTTGAACTTCTCGCTCATCACTTTTTAACGAGTCCCCAGAAGGCAAGCCAACACCTGTGTCGCCGTACTTCATCTGAAGAGACTTAGAAGATCTCGCAGTTGATTCAAAGTGTGGTAATGTCTTCAACTCCCATGTGGAACCAAGCTTCGGGTAGATTTCGATTGAGAACAAGATATTAAATACAAAGTATTTCTAAATGGAGCTCATCTTAGCTTCACCAAAATGTGGCTACTAGACTCCAGCACCATGGTGAGGTGTGAGCTCATTGCTGGAAACTCAGGTAACCTAAGCACAGCCTGAGTTACCTAAGCCCCTATTCCTAGAAACAGGGAGCCGTTTCCTCAACGGGTTCACTCCTTTTCTTTATCCGGTTGCGGTTGCTGCTGCAGCAGTGGTGACTTGGCTGGGGCAGCGCCCTTGTTTGTGTCTACGCGGCGGCTTTGCAGACAAGGGGAAAGCCATGAGTGTCTGTCCTGTGCGTTATGTCGCCTTGTCGTAGTCGTAGTCGATGCTGAACTTAAGAGGGGAAATCAGGAAAGACAGGAAGAGAAGGGAGGAAGATCAGCAGGGAAGGGCAGTTACAAACGTGACTTCCTTCTCCAAATATGCCCACATGGCCTGCACAGATTTCTGCTACAAACGGACAAAAGCCTCGCGGCCTCCTCTGAGGGCTTTTTGCACTTCTTCAGTGGGCAATTGAATGCCACACGACCGGTGGAAAAACAGCACATGCCTGCATCTGACTGCGTAGCCATATTCTGACAATCAGCACATCTTTGGTATGTCTAGAAGGAGAGAAATTAGAATTTCGCTGAGTTGTGGGAGGCTTCCCAAATAGGCAATCGTTGATATCGGCTTGGATCCCTGGGGCATCCACCTGTCCGCCCTATGCCATCTGCAGCGCCCCATAGTTCTGCTGAAGAGGCAGTTGCAAGTTCTTTCTCCTTTTCTTCCTTCTAGCATCCTTCGATAGGAGCATATTCGAGCTTGCACATTCCTCGATGTTGCTAGTTCCTGAGCAAGCCAGCTAGAAGGTGGGCGTATTCTCCTCATGCATGTCTTCGTTCTCTTTTTCGTTCTCACCACCAAACTCGTCTCAGAAAGATCGAAATTACGGGAACCGACATTCCGCCAGGGTAATCAGAGAGCATCTTCTCATTTTGTCATGCAGGTTCGAACCAATCAACTTAGGATTGAGATGCGTTTGTGTGTGCATAGACAAGGATACCCTTTTTATCCGCCATTCAGAGTTTTGATTTTGAGCAGTTGAATCCCGCCCACTTTGAATTGACCGGGTTGCTTTTGAGTCGGCTAGGTCTTAGAGACACAAAGTTATTATGGTCTTCGCAATAACAAAGGAGGACAGAGATAAATAGCCTGGATCAAGCAACACCCTGATCCTTCATGTACATCCAATTGAAAAACTGGCATGGCTAACTATTGAAGGAGGTATATATAATATATCCCAATGACGGCGAGATCGCTCAAGGCCAACATTAGATTGGATCAAAACATAGACAAATGTCTTGTCTTGAGATTGAGTCTGGTACTGTCTTTTTCAGTATGTCATTTCATTGTCCCCTCGATCCGTTGAGCAGATAATTGTAGCGATTGGTCTGTAGGCCCTATTAGAACTGGTGGATGCCAAAAAAATATAGAAAAAAAATTAGAAAAAAAGAGACACAAAGTAGCATGTCCTGGTTTCGATCCAGGGTCCTCCGGGTTATGAGCCCGGCGATCTTCCGCTGATCTAACATGCTGTGATGGTAACTCGCCCCTTTAAAAGTTCTATGACACTTCGCCCTCACCGAGGCCTTTAAGCCATACTATCTACATTTCCATCTGAAAATATTCATCACTATTCCCATTTGTGTTTTGAGACGTGAATATCTTAGTATCTTCTATATGATTCCCCATCAAGTTTATCTTGAATATATTAATATGGAAAGAATGGAGCGTTGATTCCACACTACATCAAAAGGTAACATAGCGCATGAGAAGGGGTGGCACGCTTATCAAAGCAATATATTCTACAAGTTCTGATTTGTAGGATGACACTTTTCTCTATCGGAAAATATATTGATCAATATCTGATGGTTACGCTCTGCCGCCCAGCATAGTGCAGTCCGCCCGCCGACATCTCTCGAGTGCGCATCGACCGCATCACCCTTTGCGAGGAGCTGCTGGACTATACCGCAGTAACCCTCTTGCGCTGCTAAAGACAGAGGAGTCCATCCGCAGGAGTAGTCCTTGGTGTCAGGCTGAACCCTGCTATCTCCAAGCAGTACTTGCACCACCGACTCATGTCCTAGCCAGGCCGCCCAGGCCAGCGGTGTCCATCCCCTCGAGTTAGGGTCAATTACTGGGTTCTCAAGCAGCAGCGCCACCACACTAGAGTGTCCATTTTCTGCAGCCCATGATAACGGAGTTTGGCCCTCATCGTCCCTAGAATCGACATGAACATCCTTTTCTGCCAGCAGTTGCATCACTACATCCACATGACCCTGTCCTGCGGCCCAGGATAGCGGGGAGCGTCCGTCAATGTCCTTTGAATCCGAATGTATTCTAGGCCGTGCCAATAGTATCTGCACTATTGAAAGGTGCCCTCTCGCTGCTGCCCATGACAATGGCGACCGTCCGAAGAAATAGTCTCTCTTATCTGGATTCACTTTGTGGCTGGCGACCAGTAGACGTACGATGTCCACATGGCCCATCCACGCGGCCCACGAGAGTGGCGTCCAGCCTCTTTCGTCCTGCTCATCAGGATCTGCTACGGCTGTTGTAAGGAGACGTTGAACTGTAACAGTGTCGCCGTTTTCTGCGGCCGCAAATAATGATGTCGTTCGATTTGTTAAATGCCGGCGTTGTAACTGAGCACTTCTCGGACACATCATTATTAGTTCCCGTGAAGAGAAGAGTAGGACCTGAATTCGGATATGGAGCATTTGTAGTGCTTCGTATAAACTGCATGCATGCTAAACTCGCGACTAATGACTCCCCTTGTAAGCACGTGGGCGTAAAGTATATCGCATTCACGCCATACCACAAACATGTACATCCTCTGGACAATAGCGCTTACCACAAAGAGAACATAGAGCAGAATAAACCATTCTAATGGGGAAAGGTAAATGTCATTAGGTGGTATGTCGCTTCCGCGTCTTTGCGGGTTATGTGAGGACGAGGCGGAAAGTGAAGCACCATGAGCAATAGTAATGGGTCTCCCCTCCTGACTACATACATATATATGCGTACTAACTTACATAGCACACGAGCACAAAAGCTTGTGTAATATCTGAATATGGAAAGCATTAGTAATGGATGCATGATTGTCCTTGATCCAGGCCTAGGCGCCACCCTGGATAGCAGTACCGACCCAGGGCTAGCTTACTGAGGCAGATATATCATTACTACTTACTACTACTAGACAATGACAGGCGCCATGTCTATTGGCTTGCTTTGTTTGCCTAGGTGAAACAGATCCAATTGAAGCAATCGAGATAACGCCCTTGCATTGGCTTGCTTGAGAAGTTCCTTGACTATTCCTAATATCATGCGTATATGAGACAACTGGCGTATCATATGAGTCTTCTGCATTGCACAATAAACACAGCCGCTTGGTACTACTACAGTTATTTTTGCGGTATCCAACTCAGGTTAGCTCTCAGAATCATAGGCGCGATAATACTCACGACATAGCGCCTGACGCCGTGCATGTGATTGCCATCATGAGCTTTACTTCAGGCTCCTGTTCGTGCGGTCTGCCCAGTAAAGCACGTTGACCAGATTACTGGTGTACGAAGTTCATCCCATCAAGAATCTGTCTCACCTGGCAATCCATCGGTGCTTTTATATAAAGCATGCTAGCAGATTCCCTCTGGCTTAGAACCTCTATATTCACAAGGGGTCCGTTTCAAGATGCTTATCAGTCTCTGCATGTCCTTTGCTGGCTCTTTCTCGTTATTGCTTTGCATTGCTGTTCTATCTTCACTGATCGCAGCAGTATGCATTTTATGGAATCTGCACAAGAGACGTACTACCCTGGTGGGTGTTCCATGGCTTTTCCGCAGCAAGGGAATTTTCGCGCAAGGGGCAGAGCGACTTTTCAATATCGACCCGACGAGCTATATACAGGAAGGCTATCTTAAGGTATGACAGGGTGGACGGAGTATGAAGCGTCATATGCTTACAGATCCGTCACAGCACTGCAAATCCCATTCAAAGCTGCCATTCGTCCTGCCCAACGTACTGGAAAGGGACCCGGTGATAATCCCCAAGGATTATGTCGACTCTCTTCTTTATGCTAAAGAGAGTCAAGTGAGCTTAAAGGCCAGTGTTTCCGACGTCTTTCAGGTTGCCTATACGTCCCACTCCTCGGCACTCGGCGATTTGTATGACATCGTGGTGAAATTGATGGGAAAAGATATAACAAACCTCCTTGATTCCGAGTCCGTCGCTGAGGCCTTGTCTCACGAAGCGCGAGCCAGCCTTTTAGAACAATGGGGTGACGACACAGAGAATTGGGTTGAAGTCCCGTTGAGTTCGAGCGTCTCAATAATGTGCGGCAGATTGGTCAACTTGCTTGCAGTCGGGCCTGAAATGTGTAAGACCAGCGTTAAAGAAATCTTGAGCCGTTATCTGCTTGCATTAGTATGACGTGAGTTGACTCTAGTGACGAAAAGGTAACAACCCCAACTTCCTACATGCCATTATTCGAACTTCAGAGATCATTGTCTACGGATCGATCATAGTCAAGTCTATTCCTGGGGCTTTGCGTCTGTAAGAGACTCAAAATCCTATTCAATTACAATCCCCGATGCAGTTGTTACTGACTCATGGCTCTAGATGCATAGGTCCTCTCATTAGATTAGCAAGCCGGTGGTATCAAGGACTTATTTTGAATGCACTTCGGCCACTTCTAGAGCAGAAAATGGCAGAGCATGAAAATGTAGGAAACTCCAAGGTAAGATATTTTCTAGCCCGGCTATGGTAGGTGGAGATGGTGAAGTTGTAAGTTTATACTGAAGTGATTCTAGGTGTCTACATTTCTAGATTGCTTAATGAACATTGCACACAAAGGCAAGACGACAATCAAGTGGCGGCCAGAGGAGTTTACGTATCCGATCTTCATGTTCACGTTCCCCGGCGTGCATTCATCTGGTGTCCAAGGCTACAGCTTCTTTCTGGATCTTCTCAGCAGTCCCCCGAAGGAAGCCGTATGGGACATCCTTCTCGAAGAGATACAGTCTCTCCATGATCGTGGTCGGGGGATATGGACAGCCGGGGATCTTGATCAAGCGGTTCTCCTGGACAGCGCCATCAAAGAAAGTCTTCGTCTCAATGGGCTCAGTTCTCTTACACCTATAAGAAAGGTACTCTCGTCCCTTTCTTTTCATCTTCTAGAGACTTCCATGCTCATACAATGATTACCGATATATAGGTGGTTGATACCAACGGCTTTACTCTACCAAACGGCCTTCATATCCCTTGCGGAACCTGCATCGCCATTCCCCAATTCTCCATCCACCGTGATCCAGAACTGTACCCCAGCCCGCATGAATATCAGCCGTGGCGTTTCTCTCAGTCATTGGACAAGGACACATCCATGACAGAGACTAGTGGTACCTTTCTGACATTTGGTCACGGACGCAGGACCTGCCCAGGTCGGTATATCTTCAGCCATATTTTTAAGCTGTTGACTGCAGAGATCCTGCTCAACTATGAAATCAAACCAATACCGTCGCGGCCCAAGACAACTCGTACGTATTAGATCAGCGGTCCGTATATGCACAAAAGGGAGTAGACAACTGACTGACTTGTATCTATAGGATTCGGCAGGTTCATGATACCATACAAAGGGCTCATGGTTAGTGTCAGGAGACGAAAATCCAAGGTCTACAACTGAGCAAAGGCGATTTTCTATTTGTAGAAAACAAATTTGGGTTGAATGACCGACAACTAAACCAGTTTTTCATTTACCATATTGTACGAGGGCGCTTATTGCATCTCTATCAAAACCAAGGAATTTCATTGGTGATAGTAGTAGTAGTGGTAGTAGTAGTAGTTAATTGACCCGCTAAAGCCTTAAGCTAGCTTCTGTCAGAGAATCAGAACATCACGCCAATAGATAAGGAACGCTAATGCGTATCTGAGGACTGCCTCGCCATAGATATTAAGAGATATATATATAAAGACTATAGGCTTATAAGAATATATATAAATTAGAATAGAATAAAAATAGCATTAATCAAATAATTCAATATAATAAATTAAAGAATTTAATAAAAAATATATATAGAAATTCTTATTTATTAAATATTTAATTTTGTTTTATTATCTTAGATTAATTAAGATATTCTTAAAATCTTATTTTTATTACTTTTATCTTTTCATAATTTCTTAATTTTAAAAGTTCATTAATTTTATCTATTAATAACGTATTTCCTGAGTAAATGGAACACCTGGGTAAACAGGACACCCCCTTAAAAATTCCCTTTGATTTTTAACCTATCATTTTCAAATAAATATTATAACATCAAAAATACCTCAAATATGTATAAAAATTAATCCTAACTATAAAGAAAGACTTCTTTTAGCTATTAATATATTAAAATAAAAATAAATCAAGAATATGCACAAAGCTGCGCGCCTTTTTAATATTAATTTAATAATATTATAAGTACATATACAAGGCTAAATCAAATACTAAAAGATTAGTATAAAATATAAGAAATTAACTCTTACTAAGACCTCACTTTAAGATTAAATACTCTCTTTAAAATATTAAGAATGGCCCCCTAAACTTAGTATACTTTATAAAATAAAAAATCTTTAACTTATTATAAAAGATCCTATTCAAATTCCTAATAAAGTACATAAAAACTAAATAAAATTCTTTTTAAAGTAATAACTTAATCTAAAAATAAGATTTACACGTTAATTAGTCTGTAATAAGGTCTAGTATAAGAATCTAATCATTATTTAGTCTTTCTTTAAGTAACTAAAATAATTAAAGGCTAAATATAGTATTTTTAATAAAAATATTTATAACTTTAGTAAGATAGGCTTTACTATAGTGTAAGGCGGAATCCTGAATGGAGTTGGGAATAGCTTCGAAGTATGGCGAGCATGTGACCTTGCCTGGCTTCCTGCTGCTAATTGGACTAGCGGCTTGGTATATACCGCCTTAAAACTGTAGGTGGCCTTAGGTCTTTATGAAGTAGTAATTAGCTGTTAAGTATATATGTATATATATTCTATATTTAAACCTATTCCTAGGCTGAAGCTAAATCCTAGTTATGTTTTTATAATTTTTATTTGTCAGAGAATCGGAAAGTCACAGCCAATCAATAAGTACTACCTACGGAACGGAAGCAGCCATCATTATAATAAGCCAAGATTACTACAGCAGGACTATGCCAAAAAGGGACTAATTACTATATTGTCACGCGTCTGGATCCACCTTAGTTGTCACTGGCTGTGTTGAGGTATGATATGATAGTTTGAACTACATAGAGGTTCCTAAGGGTATTCCTTGCCAATAGTTAAATAGAGATATAGCTTAATAATAAAAGGTATCTATAATTAAAATAGAAGAAATGTCTTAAAGTATTATAATTCTTTAAGGTTTATCTTACTAATCCTCTTAATATATAATTAAGTAACTTTAATAGGCTTCTGGTATACAAAAGTTGTAGAAATAAAGGAAGTCTTAAGCAAAGATAGAATATCCTAAATAATAGAAGATTATATACTCAAATTATCTTAATTAATTTAAAACAATAGAAAAAAAAAAGTAAAATAAATAAAAAAATAATAAAAGATTAAAAAACTTCTTGCTATTATATTTACTTTATAAAATAATAATTTTATTTTTAATACTAATTTTAATCCTTCTATCTTTTTTAATTATATTTTTATTTTTATTCTTAAATCTTAAAATAATTTAAATATTTAATAAATTCTTATATATCTTTTTTAGATCTATATTTCTTTCATTTTATAAGATAATAGATATATTCTTTCTCTAACTTATATTATAGTATTCTTTTAATTTTATATTCTTTATTATTTATTATTTTATCTTTATTTATTAAATTAGTGATTAATTTTAATAATAAAATATAAATATTATATTTATATTCTTACTAGTAGCTAAAATTTATAATTATTATTTAGTTTTATATTTTTAATATTAAAATTTTTTAATTCTAGTATTTATTATAAAAAATAAACTCTTTTCTTCTTTTTAAATGTTAGTATATCCTTCCTTGTATTTCTTATTATAATATTTTTTTATTCTTCTTTTTACTTATTTAATATCTTTTAATAAATTACTATATATTAATTATATATATATTACTTAAATATTTACTTTATTTAATACTTCTTATTTAATATTTTTCTAATTTATCCTTAAAATTTTTTCTAGATTAATAAAATACAGTACTTGTTTTATTAATATTTATTATATTATTTATTATAAATTAAATAAAAGGTAATAACTTTAATTATCTTAATTCTAATCTAGGTAATATCTTAGATATTATTTAATTACTTAAATTATTCTATTAGTCTAGCTATTAATCTATTAATAATATACTATTAATAAATTATATTCTATTTTATAATTTTTTATAATTATTTATTAAAATTTAAATATAAATAATTATCTTAATTAGATATAATTTTACTTAGTAATCTAAATATTATAAATACTTCTTATAATATTAATATTACATATTATTATACTATTAAATTCTTTAATATTAGTTTAAGGATAATATATTTTATAAGTTTATTTATAATAATAATAACTTTAATATATATAATTTCTAAAATAAAATCTTTTAATTTCTATACTTTTATTAATATTTCTAAGATATACATTCTTCTATATAATTAATAATTAATTAATTTATTATAATTATAATTATAATTATTATATTTCTTAATATAATTTTTAATTAATTTTCTTATTCTTAAGAAGTAATATATTTATTATATCTTTTTTATTATTTAATATAATTCTATAATATTCTTTAATTAATAAATTTAATTTATTTAAATAATTTTTATAATTATTAAAAATAATACTAATATTAATATTTTTTAAATAGTTAATTTACCTTTTAATATTACTTTATTATTATATAATGCTATTCATAGTGTTTTATTATTTTTAATAACTTTTACTATCTTATAAAAACTTTTACTTTTTATTATAATTATTATTACTAGTATTATTTTATTATAATAAATTTTATCTTTATCTTCTACTGGTATATTTATTTATAGCTATTATATTTTAATTATATAATTTGCTCTTTTAATATAATAATAATATTTTCTTTTTCTTTAATATATTTAATTTAAAACTTAAATCTGAATAAATACTTTAATTATTTAATTTATCTATTAATAAGCTTTTTAATTGTTGTGAAGTATTTTAGATTATAGCAATTACTTTTCATAATTATCTCTTTTTTAACTTCTTATAAGTAGTATTTTTATTATTTAAATATTTTAATTATAAATAATTTTTTTAGTATAAATATTATAGTTCCTTTTTATAGTAATAAATTATCTAGAGTAGAAGATAATAGATTTTAATTTTTTATTATTTTCTAATTGTTCTAAAATAATTTCTAATATATATTTTAATAAATTTAGTTAAATTATATTTAGTTTCTCTAAATTATAAAATATAAGAATTAATACTTTCTTAATTAATTCCTTAACTTTCTTAAATACTTATTATTATTTTTCTATCTGATTAAATTCTTAATCTTTTTATAGTAACTTTATAATTAGTTATATTATTTTTATATAATTTTTTAGATATTTTTTAATATATCTTATTATACCTAAGAATTGCTATATTTTATTAATATTTATTAAGATAGACTAGTTAAATATTATATCTTTCTTTTTAGATTAAATCTTTAATTTTTTTAGTATATAAATTATTCCTAGATAATTAATAATTATAGTATTAAATTTATATTTTTTAATCTTAAGTATTAATTCTTTATTTATAAGTACTATTATAACTAATTATATATATTCTTTATATTCTTTTAGATTTTATAAATATATAATAATATTATTAAAATAAACTATAATAAACCTAAGTATTTCTATAAAATATAGATTATATATTATGCAAATTATACTAGTAGATTTTTTAAATCTATAAATATAATTACTTATTTAAATAATCCCTTATTTATAAGAAATATTATTTTCTAAATATTATCTTTAATTATTTATAGATTATAATAATCTTATTAAATATTAAAGATAGTTATAATCTTTACTTTTTATAAAAAACCTCTCTTTTATTTTTAATAAGATATTTTATTTATATTATCTACTATTTTATTTTTTAGTGCTTTATAATTTAATAATTATTCTTTTAGTTATCTTTTTTATTAATAAATATTAATTATATTAATACTTTTCTATATTTTAGTTATATATATATAACTTTATAAAATTTATTAGTAAATTTATTCTTAAGTTCTAATTTATCTCTTAATTTATAATATTATTTAATTAAGGATAGTATAAATCCTTCTTTTAATTTAATTTATACTTTAAATTCTTTATTATGTATTAATAATTACTATTACTTTTTCATAAATAGCTTAATATACTAATTATTTGTATTTTTAATATTATTTTATTAATAATTATTATTCCTTTTATTTAGTTAATTATTAGATTCTATATTTATAACTACATTATTTTAAATATAATATTATAGTATTCTCTTGATACTAGTATAATATTAAGTATAATTATTATAATATATTATTCTGATTTTATAATAATATTTAGTGCTTACTTCTTATAACTTTAATTATTTCTTTATTAATTAAGATAATTATTGTTTATTTATTT